ACAAAACAATGAATTAGATGATTTTCATGGTTTGGTAAACTTGTGTAGGCTTGCAAATACATGGCTGGTCAGTTCTGTCAACTCATCCTGTCGCAATTTTCTATGCTTTTGCTAATACATTGATGTCTTTTGTTTTGAAAAATATGTTTAATTTTCCGAATCTATGTCAAACAAATTGTGACAACTTTACGAATTACTGCTGGAAATGCACTCCACAGTAAGTTATCACTCCAACAAAATTATTACCGATTCTCCGGCTGCATTTATTGCCACCTTGCGGCGGTGTTTCATTAGTGTTCTCATGTACTCATCATACTAACTCAAGAAAGTTCCAAAAAACTTACAAAATGCAAACAGCCAGCGGCAAAAGAACTTAATTCCAAACGTGTTTACTTTTTTTATTCGAGATATATTCTATTCTTAAATACAGTGTTATTATTTTAATAATTGCTTTATCTGTACTTCCACTCCCAGGAACATTAGTTAGCCTAACAAGACAGTTACGATAGTATTCTTAGTCACCACAAGTAATAGATTTCATTGGTACTTTTATAAGTAAAGTTTTCTCTCATTCATTAGCTTTGCGCAGTGGCAGTATCGTAACCAATGAGGTTTATCCGAGGTGCGATTATTGCTAGTTGAAAACTATTACCAATACCCCGCCCTGGTGATGCAATCGCGTCGCCTGTGGCAATTTCTGAAGGGTTCTGTGGAACCTATCCTCTCGCAAAATCAAATGAAAAAACAATAAATTAGATGATGTCCATGGTTTGGAAAATTTGGGTAGGCTTCCAAATATACGTTTGGTCAGTTCCGACAACTCATCCTGTCGCAACTTTCATCAGTGCATACACGTCAGATTATTGGGTTTTCGCGTTGCCACATTGCGGCGGTGTTTCGTTAGAGTTCTCTTGTACATTTTAACTCAAGAAATTTTTAGCACGATCCAGAATTCCAAGGAACTTACAGAATGCGAAGCAGCTAGCAGCAAGTGAACATATTTTCAAATGTGTTTACTTTTTTTATTCCAGATATATTCTATTCTTAAATGCAGTGTTATTATTTTAATAATTGCTTTATCTGTACTTCCACTCCCAAGAACATTAGTAGCCTAACAATACAGTTACGATAGTATTCTTAATCACCACAAGTAATAGATTTCATTGGTACTTTAATAAGTTAAGTTTTCTCCCACTCATTAGCTTTGCGCAGTGGCGGTATCGTAACCAATGAGGTTTATCCGAGGTGCGATTATTGCTAGTTGAAAACTATTACCAATACCCCGCCCTGGTGATGCAATCGCATCGTCTGTTGCAATTTCTGAAGGGTTCTGTGGAACCTCTGCTTTTGCTAATACATTGATGTCTCTTTTTTGAAAAATATGTTTAATTTTCCTAAATTTTGTCAAACAAATTGCGACAACTTTACGAATTACTGCTGGAAATGCACTCCACAGTAAGTTATTCCTCCAACAAAATTATGACCGATTCACCGGCTGCAATTATTGCCAACTTGCGGCGGTGTGTCATTGCAATCGCGTCGCCTGTGGCAATTTCTGAAGGGTTCTGTGGAACCTATCCTCTCGCAAAATCAAATGAAAAAACAATAAATTAGATGATGTCCATGGTTTGGAAAATTTGGGTAGGCTTCCAAATATACGTTTGGTCAGTTCCGACAACTCATTATGTCGCAACTTTCAACAGTGCATACACTTCAGATTATTGGCTTTTCGCGTTGCCACATTGCGGCGGTGTTTCGTTAAAGTTCTCTTGTACATATTAGCTCAAGAAATTTATAGCACGATCCAAAATTCCAAGGAACCTACATAATGCGAAACAGCCAGCAGCAAAAGAACATAATTCCAAACGTGTTTATTTTTTTTATTCCAGATATATTATATTCTTAAATGCAGTGTTATAATAATTGCTTTATCTGTACTTCCACTCCAAGGAACGTTAGTTAGCATAATAAGACAGTTACAATAGTTTTCTTAGTCACCACAAGTAATAGATTCCATTGGTACTTTAATAGGTAAAGTTTTTTCTCGTTCATTAGCTTTGCGCAGTGGCAGTATCGTAACCAATGAGGTTTATCCGAGGTGCGATTATTGCTAGTTGAAAACTATTACCAATACCCCGCCCTTGTGATGCAATTGAATCGCCTGTGGCAATTTATGAAAGGTTCTGTAGAACCTATCCTTTCGCGAAATCAAATGACAAAACAATACATTAGACAATGTCCATGGTTTGGAAAATTTGGGTAGGCTTCCAAATATACGTTTGGTCAGTTCCGACAACTCATCCTCTCGCAACTTTCAACAGTGCATACACGTCAGATTATTGGCGTTGCCACCTTGCGGCGGTGTTTCGTTAGAGTTCTCTTGTACAATTCAACTCAAGAAGCATAGTACGATCCAAAGTTTCAATAAACTTGCAGAGTGCGAAACAGCCGGCAGCAAATGAACATAATTCAAATCGCAAAAATGTAGATAAATACATAAATTGCCAACGATTTTTCTGCTACCGAAAAATTTGGATTCTAAATCTTTATATTCTTGCATTTTAACATATATGGAGATTCACAGTTTAATATAATTTCAAGGAAATAGGTAAACGGAAGTGTCAAGGGACAACTCATATGCATTTTCTAAATATTTTGACTTGAGAAACTACCTATTGCAAAAACATGATCTATATCAACATTTGTTTACATTTTAATGTGTCGTTTATTTATAATTTAAGTTTTGAATTTAGCCATGAAATAAGTTTGACAATCTCATTAATATTTTCAACCATCGTGGTATACATATTGGTCATGTTACAAAGTATTGCAGATTGAACAACATACATATCTCAGAATTAGTCCTTTCTGTACTCCTTCATGTACATTTTAACTTAAGAAATTTATAGCACGATCCAAAGTTCTAAGAAGTTTGCAGAATGCGAAACCTGATTAAATTAGTAGGCCTATTCACTTTGTATAATTTACTTAATATTAATGAAGACTTTCATAAAATTTTTATTTGCATAAAAACTCGACTGTTACGAAAGCATTCCGGTTCACCAGTCACCACAAGTAATAGATTTCATTCGTACGCTCATAAGTAAAATTTTCTCTCGTTTGTCAGCTTTGTGCAGTGACAGTATCGTAACCGATGAGGTTTATCCGCGGTGCGATTACTGTTAGTTGAAAATCTTTACCAATACTCCGCCGTGGCGGGGCAATTTCTGGGGGGTTCTGCGGAACTTATCCTATGGAAAAAGTAATACACCAAACTCCCGATCGATCTCCCGCGACATCTTGCGATGCGTTTTTACTGAACCTTTTAAAATCTCCTTCAATGAAGTGACGGCCGTTTGACGAGGTCGCTATTCGAGTTGTTTGGAGGTGGGTGTCCTTTTTATTTTTTTTAGTTTGATTTTTTTTTCACAAAAAAATAATTTGTGCTATTTGATTAAATGCGACAACAGCTTCGTATATAACATGGCGTACTATAACAGTGGCCAAACTTTAAATGAGGCTCAAACATGCTGCATAAACACTAAAATCGGTTGGCGATGCTGTGAACAGATGAGTTTGACTGTATGAGTTTGTAAGCATCCAAGATTAAGGTACCGTACCTATTTGTGTATTTTGGATCTAGTTAGGCCTAACTGTAATGCGATTTGATCTTACCAGTCTGTCAAACCTGAGAAATAGTCGTCTTTCACAGTCTCACTCTTCGCACTTCGCAGCTTCAGATCGTAAGATCTGAGAATCAGAAGATCAAATTGTTCCATCCTCAGTCACACCCTTTCATTTTGTTATTTCAAAATTAAGTTATTTCATTTTCAGGCAGACAGGTTTATGCCATTGGTGTTATTGCAGTATTGCCTGAATGCTGCAACTATAAATCTAACGACTAACGTTATACAGTTATATGCTTCCGAAAACAAACAATACAGTAAATCTAATCCCATACCCGACTTGGAATGGTAACCGGACGAGAGGCCGTGGTTCGCCATATGGATAAGCCGTCTTATCGGCTTTCCTCTCCCCCGGGATAAATATGTAAATCCTATCCTATCCTTATAATGCAATTTATGCACTCAACAAACAGACAAAGTCCACTGCCTGACTGCAGTACTATGAATGGTCTTGTTACAGTGCTAGGATGACTTGCCAGTATCGGTACGTATGATTCGAATGACGGTCAGACAGTTAAGATAACGACACTTGGCTTGCGATTCGATGATCATGTGCTTTCCCCAAAGTCAGAAAGTAAGGCAAATGGATACATTGGGCACCACTCAGGCATTGACAGTAGTCTGGTAGTACAGAAGTCTAGAAGTAGCAAACAATCGCAAAATGAATTGTTCTACAAAATAAATTTATCTTGTGATAAGAATCATATTTTATCTGCAAATCAGTTTTGAGGTGTTTTGAAGGAATAAATAGATATTTTTCTTATTAAATTTTGAATTTTCCATTCACTTTTTCCCATTTTAATGATTGGAATCTTTATTTTTCAGAATTCAGGAATTATATTACTAACAACTTATTGACTCAAGTAAATTATCTGAGAATGGCATTCACATTTGCAGCTTTCTGTTATATCGCAGCAATCGTGTTGACTGCGTTTTTGATATTCTTTGCGATCTGGCAAATTATCGCATTCGATGAATTAAAGACTGACTATAAAAATCCGATAGATCAATGCAACAGTCTCAACCCTCTAGTTCTTCCGGAATACGGAATCCACGTCTTTTTCAACCTTCTGTTTCTATGGGCGGGAGAGTTTGTTACAGTTTTTCTCAATATTCCTCTTGTGGCGTACCATGTTTACAGATACATGCACCGGCCAGTAATGAGCAGTCCTGGACTCTATGATCCCACCACGGTAATGAATGCCGATATCTTGGCATATTCCATGAAGGAAGGTTGGGGAAAACTTGCTTTTTATTTGATATCATTCTTTTACTACTTGTATCGAATGATCTACGTATTGGTGACATATTAATTGAAGATGAAAAAAAATCATGGAATAGGACTGCCCTCAAGAATGCCTGCAATAAAAGATTTAGTAATGTTGCTCCAGGATCAGCGGTTCCCGAACTTTTTAGAGTTGGGACCCATTATTTTTTACCACAGCTTATGGCGACCCATTTAACTTTAATAAATTAATAAAACATTGATGAAGGAAACAAATTTATTTTCTCAAATTGAATTTTCAGTGAAGCTAGTGGGAAAGATGAGCTTGTTTCTTGTTATTTTCCATAATAGACGTGACATTTATTTCAATTTCAGATAGTTTTAGACGTGAAAAATTGAAAGTTGCAGTTTATTTCAAAATTTGCTTTTAAATTTGCTTTGCCACCGATCCTAATAACCAATATAATTAATCAAAGCTTTCTACATCTTTTCACGACCCACTGTGATTCCTCTTGCGACCCACCAGTGGGTCGCGACTCATAGTTTGGGAACCGCTGTCCTTGATTGTTTCATGAACATCTGTACACTTTGCAAATAAAGAATAATTATTTATTTGATCACATATGAACTCTATTATGTATATAATCTTGTATACATATGTACAGTATTCAGCTGTAAAATTTGGCTTGAGAAATTGATTTTTTTACGCTCACTTGCACAAATAATATTATATGAACTTAATATTTTCTACATGGCAGCTGATAATATAATTAGTGTACTTATGCGTGAATAAAAATGCTCATTTCATTCCATAAAATTAGTTCAATTTGCTGTTTCAATGTAGAAAAAAAATATCAATCTTTCAATAACATTTTTATCAAGCTAAATTATTTTGAGATATAAAACTTTGGGCAAATGATTAGAGAAACCATGTGAAGTGGAATTCATGGTATTTCACTATAATACTAAAAATTGAATTTACATTTCACATCTTCATTGTTCTCTTACTGTCATTAATCATATTAGATCAGTGGTTTTCAAACTTTCTAAGCTGCCCTTTCTTAAATTTACTAAGGTTCGCGAACTAGCAAACAATAAGCTACAAATGACAGATAGTAAGGCAAAAGTATGTTTTATTCAAAAAAAAAAACTCTGAAAATACATGTATGGAACATAAATATTCAAAATAAAAGAAATGTAACTATCCAAAGTCCCCCTTTTAAAAACTGTCCAAGACCCCCCTCCCCCCTTTGGGAGGCGTGTCCCACTGTTTGAGAACCACTGTTCTAAGAATCTAGATCATCGAACCAAAAAATTATGAAAAGTAATATGGACATAATTATTCATGAATACATTTTAAGGCATGTATATAGACAAGCCGTACTTTTTTCATCTAGATCACAAGTAGCTTGAAATGCCTTATTATCAATGACAGAAAAATCTTATTTACTAAAGTGCTTTATAGTGGTTTCTTGCAACTTTTCAGTCAATACCTTTTCCATTTTTAATGAAGGTCTAGGGACCTGGTTTAGTTGTCTAGAAACATTTTTTGATGAATCGGTGATATCTTATGAACTCTAAAAAGGACTAAAAAATCCAAAATACTACAGATAATATTCAAATTTGCTTGCTTACTAACTATTATTATGTCATTCTTATGATATTATGTATAAATAGTATGACAGCTTTTCATACATATAAGAAATTATACTTCGTTGTTTTCTGTTATTGTCATGTTTCATTGTAATTTTGTTCCTTGTTATTCACCGCTACTGTTTAATTGTATCAATGTTTTTGCCTTGTATTTATTAACAAAGCACAAAATTAACAAATTTCAACTTGGCCCGATATTACATGAGAACTTGTCATTGCTTTATAATAAGAAATATGGATGTAGCTTGCTGCACATATATATATATAAAACTAGCTGATTTACGTTGTTCAAAAATCATCACCTATATTGTTTCCTTTAGTACTTCGAAAAAGAGGGCTCAAATTGACTTGTGATAAGTTATTATAAAATTCAATTTTTGTTACTGGTATCTGCAGTATGGGTCATGAAGCATTCCAATTTTTTTCAGTCTTATCACATAAAAGTGAAGCTTCTATGAGTTCAAAACAAAAAGTTATTAAGTTCAAAATTTGGTGTTCTATATTATCATTACTGTTTTCTGGTCTAAAGTAAATGGCACAATATACAGGCATTATTTGTATTTTATTTTAATGTGAATGATATTCAACATTACTTTCAAGGAATGAATTTATTATCATAGTTGAATTTTGATGACTGGAATTCATTCTGTTTAGTTTGATTATATTGTATCACTTCATCCAAAATTTTCATTAATAAGTATATTATTGTATTTTAATAAGCACACAGTTCTCCAATTTTGATGACTAATTTAAGAGAATATGTATTTATCAATCCTTGCATGTAGCATACTACCTGAAATAATCATTCTGAAGCTTTTGTTTTTCTTCAATTTTTTTGTCAATACTTAGTCATATTATTCAAAACATGAACATTACTCATTTATACTCTTTTTGTTTATTGTGATATGCCACAGGAGTTTTTGTATCTGGGTTATGTAGAGGAAACCTACCTTCCCTTCCCTATGCCTGTAAATGCATTTTCATTTTGTGCAAAGCTGCTGTGTAACTTACTGTAATTCCCACTAAAGATATAACCCAGTGAAGTGGTATTTTCTTACAGTATAACGCTAATTCAAAATTCTTAATTTCTTGTATCTCGACCCATTTTAATACTGCTGTGCTATCAATAAATCATTGGAGCATAATTGGCAGCAGTGACTTATATGGTTCATTCATTCCCAGTTTAAGCCACACCCAATTTTTCCTAATAATTTCTTCGACCACAAAATTTGGTACTTTATCAGTGAATTTGTACTATTTTGTATTTTTCACTGTTTTTATTTGCATGTTGTCGATTAGAATTACAGTAGTTCGAATATATAGATAGCGCACAATTTTGTTCGATCTTGAAGAGAATTTTGATAGAGTATTGATGAATTCTGTATTTATTCCTCCTGGAAAGTAAGTATGGAAAGTGAAAATTAGTTGAGAACTCTTTCGAACAAATATTTAACTAGTAGGCGATTGAGACTTCGTAGCAATAAAATAGGCTGCATATTATGCTACTATAAGATGAATTAATTTTGTTGCTTCTCGAGCTTTTTTCTAACTTTGATATAGCGGTCATATTGGATGCTTGAGGTAATGTTGTGAGCATCTCACTTAAAGTTGAATCATTTACTGTTAGGAGAGTCACAAGATACCACTGTTCATATGAGAGTTTATTTGTAACAGGATTATCTATGGTTGTTGCCTTATACAAGACATGTGATATTGTAAAAAGCAACCAAAAGGCTTCATTTGATATTGGAATAACATTCCTACTTAATATTAAAATTATTTTTCCAGGAATCCATTCCAACTTCCGCCTCTCCCACAAAGTCATTACATACCATCACCGTCCAAAGATATTCAAGATAAGAATATAACTCTGACGTAAGTATTTTGGAAATAATTATATAATTCATAATTTTTATGTCTTGTATTGAAGATTTAATCTGACTTCCTAAAATATTAAACTCTTCAAATTTTGTTTCAATAAAATTGGAATCATCTCGTTGGTTGGGTTGTTCACATACACCTTGAATATTTTTCATTTTGAAACCTTAAAACCTGAATTGTTCTATAAAGACAGAAAATTGATAACAATCTCACCATTTTATTTTCAAATATATTCCGTTTATGCAATTTTGCTTTGAATTGCGCAACCGCGTGAGTCAGAGTCATATTATAACTTTTCATATAGCTGTTGCAAGCAAATATTGACACAATCTTGCACAAGATTCCATTCTAAGGCAGAATCTCGAAAGATTTTTGCATTTAAGTACTTCTATTTCATAAAATTACTGGCACATCTGCCAGAAACCCTGGCTTCATCTATGCTAGGGGGCAAAACGATAGTCATAACATAAATGCATATAAGATATCAACCAAGCTAAAAAACCGAATGGAACACACAAAAATATAACAACAATACACTGTACTGAACTGCAGGCCCATTTCATTTTTGTGTTAACAACGTACTCAAAACTGAAAACCTACCTTCCTCACACAGACCACAGAAAGTTATTCGCCGACACGAATACTCCTTACCTCCTGAAGTCTATACTCCTGAGCAATATTCTATACATGAAGAAGATTCTACGAGCACAAAACCTTCTATACCTAGTTACGAGAAAGATTCAGTTGCAAGAGATCTTGAAAGATATTTGAACGATGTAGAAAGCTGGACTTCTTCAAAGTTTGTTGAACAGTGGCCATCGAAGGATAGTGTTGGATTAGACGAAGGTATACAGAAACTCCTTAATAATTAGCATCAGAGTTTTGTAATGTTCTTTGGGGTCTTTTACTCGAATAATACTTCAATTAATAAAAGGTACTAATTTTGAATTCTGGTCCCTCGTGTTTGTGTACACTGTACACAATTTGTTAACTCTATCCGTGGATGCATATTCCTGGGATGACTACAGCAATATTTCCAAGTATACCAACTAGCGATAACAACAAAGATAACCACTGATTTGTACCAATGCTGCTGCTCACTTGTTATGCAAGAGACGAATATAAATGTATTTATTGATATTTCGGGGCTCCCGAAGTATGCGAACCAAGATGGCGGACATCGGAATGTAATATGTGTACTAGGTTAGGGTTAGGCCATAATTTTAGGTATAAATACTACGGGAAGCTCTTGGCTAGTCTTCGAACTGATAATAGGACTAAAATAAGTAAAATTGGAAAAAAATTATCGCCTAACCCTAACCTATTACCCATGTTACGTTCCGATGTCCGCCATCTTGGTTCGCATACTTCGGGAGCACCGATATTTCTTTTCAATCTTTGAAAGCAGTTATGGTTCTGATACAAATTTTGTGGGTTTTTCCTCTGAACTAAGTCTATAATTTACGATGGTTACATAGAAATTTAGATTGTCAAACTTTAAACCACTCTTTTTAGCTTGATAATTGATAAAAGGGTCAATCTTTGAGTTTTTTCACACTATTTAGTGAATTTCAATAATTCCTCCCATTTAGAAATATCTGCTCTTCAACTAAGCAACACTTCTAACATGCCAAGTAAACCTGGCCCACTCACATCAACAGCAAGGACAGCTAAAGACAACTCATCTTATGGTCGCGATCCAAAACCACTGAGAATAAAAACTTCATTTGCTACTGATAGAGATCTATCAGCTGAATCTCAAAGATCATCAAATATAGCAATGTAAGTTTTCTTAAATTATGTATTTTTCATTGTATTCCTGTTATTTCCTGATGAAAGTTTATTTTGGACAAGGCTCAAAAGAAAGCGTAGTAGTATTCAAATAAAACTATTTATTCCAATCAAGCAGGATCTGAAGATTGGTGTGGTTTTGTTTCAAAACAAAATCATAAGCAATTAGTTGAGACTTGAACCCTTTTAATAATAATGAGTAAAAAGACAATCTCTCTGTTAGTCGATAGTTTTTTTAAATAATAATTTTATAAAATCGCTCGAATACGTTCAGACATTTGAATCACTTCGTTCATACATTGTTATCTCTATATTACAATCTCTCTTTCCTCCTAATCGTGTAAAGATTAACTGTTGATACTCATGCTGTCTTGTGACTTTTAATTACATACCTCATAATCTTGTGAGTATTTTTCATTCAAATTGAACCATGTTACCAGTTTAATAATTCTAACTTCTAAATTCAGATTTAGGTAATTAAATACTGTAGTCATTTTTATGCCACCCCAAATTGAGTAGTTCAATGCTCAATAATTTTGTAACTATTTTGGCGCTGTGTTACTTCCAATATATAATAATATTCAAGCATTTGCTTGTTTAAAATGTAAAGCGTAGATTGTGATTATGAAATAAGATTCTTATGATAATTTTGGAATCTATTTTATTTTTATTTTGGGCAATTGTGCGATTTTTCACCAAGTGTTTTCAATAAGTTTCTGAGTGACCAGCTTGTTATTATAATTGACCAAGATCAAATTTATTTATATATTGAAATTCAGTATTCATTTCCTGATCAATAGAATATCTGGATTAGGTACTGGTAGTTATTATTTCGATGGTAAAGAAGAATAACGATTACTTATTCTCAAAGTGAAGCTTATAAATACTCACCCAATTGCATACTGGATACCAGACAGAGAGGTCTATAAAAGTACAGTGTCAGTAATTCTATCTGGAATGTTTAATAATATCTCTGCAACAAGATATTGTTCTATTATTTTCCAATCCTTTCATAATTTTTTTTAAAATTATGTTTAATAAAAGTAATTACAGCTTTTAAATTCTATTTTTTTCTTGTAGGCGACTCAATCGTTTTCGTTATGGTGACCCAAAGCCACCATCAGAAAGGAAATCCAAGCTTCCAACTCCTTCAACATTAAACAGAACAAAACAATCTACTGCAGCATCAAGAAATGAACCAAGTCGTGAAAGAAATGTAACGAGTCGCCCGAAGTCTACCTCAATGCGTTTAAATGATCTTCAAAATGAAACTACTTCAAAAGATGTCTCTCATATTTCAAGAAATACATCTGGTAAACTATTGTGAATGCAAGCATTTTTTAAACGCAATTTGTAAAATTTCAAACAGTTTTTTGCATCGTTAAATTGTCAAAGTAGTGTCATTAGAAGTTTTCTTTAGATTAGTTCTGATGCTTTTATAGACCTGCTCTTTTGAATAATCTCATTATACTTCTCTGAATTTGACATTCATCCTATATTTTCTGTATCATATTTTTAAGGTAATTTTGATACTTCCTAATCCTTAAGTATTTCAACTTCTCAATTAAAGATTATTAATTTTACATATCATTTGTTTTGACTGAACAATTATTTTTTTTTTCATTCAAAAAACACCATCTATAAAATTTTCTGCCACTAAGATAAATATCCAACTAGCTTTATGCAGCGGTCTCCCACAATTTTCTATTAGCACTCCTTCTTTCTCTTCTTGTTGAACTTTCATAGCAATAAGTATCAAAATCTATATTTTCATTGCATCCAATGATACATAATTGAAGTAGCTTAAAAAAACTGGTATTTTATTACCAGGAATTACTGGGAAAACTCCTGCTTCACCTAAACCAGAGAAAACGATTTTAAAACTTCCAGAAACGGAATCTCCTGTCAAGCCTGGATCTCCGGAACCAGGAAACACTAGTATTTCAACTTTGAACTCAAGATTAGAGAAGCTGTTACAAGAAAGGTGAACCAAGATTTATGATAATGTTATGCATCTGAAACAATTATTATTAGTGAATAACCTTTCCTATACTGACCTTGAACTGGAAACCTCATTAAGAGAGACTGAAGTTCTAAAAAACAAATGTATTTAGTCAAATTTGGGCGCTCTCATAGTATGTGAACCAAGATGACGAACACCGGATTGTAGTATTTGTACCAGGTTAGGGTTAGGCTATAATTTTATTCCAATTTTAGTTCTATTACGAGTTCGGGGACTAGCCAAGTGACTCCCGTAGTATTATTACCTGAAATTATGACCCAACCCTAACCTGGTACTCATACTTCGTTTCGGTGTCCGCCATCTTGGTTCACATACTACGAAATTACCCAGATTTGTTATTTTCCGAATCTCTTAGACATATCTAACGAATGAACCTTCAAAGTACTCTTTGATATTAATTATTTCTCATTTCAGCTCATCAGTGATTTCCTCTCCATCACCTCAGTCCTCACTCAAATCAACAACTAATAAATCATCAAGTTTTGATATCAAAGTCTCTTCGTTTGATACAACTCAAGCTTCTGAGGAAAATGGCAGACCGAGGATGTCAAATCCCCTTCCTGCCAACATTTCAAAAAGGTTTCAAGAGATGGAGATACCAAGAAAAATGCAGTGGCAGAAAGGTATTGTTTTTAATTTTTATAAACAAACTTTTTCAAATTAATTCTTTCATCAACTCTTTTCACAATAAATATTGAAAGCAATCGTATTCGCTTCCTATAAATGACTTTTTTATCTTTAAAAATGTAGCCTAGTCAATATTATTCAAGGACTAAGCCCTAATGTTGTCATCGCAAAATGAATGTGAACCATTTTTCATTCATTTTCAAGTATTGAACACCAAAATTTTGTGCACTTTATTGTGCAATAGTTGTGTTGAAGGGCGCTTATGTAACAACCACAGACAATATTGAATTATAAAATTTTAAATATCATCAAAGCCCAAATTTTTGATATCAACTCAAACAGCATTTAATTAAGAGGAAATATTAGAGGAATTGCGCCCAGTTTTTGTTACAGAAATTTTCAGTTCTTACCACTTTATCTGCCTCCTGCCTTGAACGAACCGCGCCGTCTCTTGCCATGGTTTCATGTATATTCATAAAGTCATGTACCAGATTTTAGTTTATCATGCGGAATTATATCTACCCAAACCTGAAATCTAACCCCAAATCCATCAAAACTGTATCCATAAGGAAAGTGTTCCAACTTACCCAAAGTTTGTCACCATCAGGGGCATTCCTGCCATTACAGCCTACATGCCTTGGATTGTGGCAGCACAGTTTTGCCAATCATAGATTTAATTTGCTGTCGTGGTGCCCCACTTAAGCCATTGGTTTGTGGCCAGGGATGGCCAATACCGAATAATTAACTATTTCGAATACATTCGAAATTATTTTTTTCGAATATGAAATTTCGAATACTTCCAAAATAAATACAAGCTTATCTTATTGTATGGCGGAATCAGCATGCAATAAACAATGGAATAATCGTTACCTACAAGCTGGCTACCAGAAAATTTATATCCGCTGATTGTTGTGATATTTTATAGTAGTATGCCTTTCTTATTTTCACAAGTACGATAGTGCGAATTAATTGTAATAAAGCTGTTTACCATACGTTTATGTCCACAGATGCCATGTATTTTAAAGTTACTTTAATAAAAGTGAACCTTTCAAGATAACGAACAATCAAAGTGGCGATACTATTTCCTATTTCACCGTCATTGCATTACGCGACATAGCGCGAAAAATCGTTTGAGGGTTTATCTTTAAAACGAAACACCTGGCTGACGGCGAAAAGTGGCTATTATTCGTAATTATTCGAAAACCAGCCGAAAAGATATTCGAATACTTTGATATTCGAATGTTTTCGAATATTCGATTCGTTTTGGACATCCCTGTTTGTGGCAGCTAAACAGTCAGCCGCGCGGCCGTGGTTTGGTAATCATGGTTCTGCTGCAGCTTCAGATGTCGTAAAATACTTAAAACTGCTCTTGTTGGAGTGGGGATCTGGTGTAAAAGCCCCAATAATGCCCGCTAAAAACAACTATGCACATAGGTCATATGTGTGATTGTAAAATAAATCACATATTGTATATGGGCCATTCCATAAATTTGCTCCAAGTTTGTGTGAATAAGGTAAAACAGGCATTGTTTCTTTATTATTACGGGGAATGTTCAAAATGGATTGGTTATTCAAACTTTTAAAATTGATATAGAAAATTTTTCTTTGAAAATATCTCATCGTCAGAGCATTAGAATCACTTTTGTGTCATAGCTTAAAGATATTGGATCCAATGCGCATAACTCTGATCGCACTAAAGGGTAGACTTATGTGCGCTAAGTATTTAGGGCCGTTTTTAGGGGGCCAGAGTTTTGTGTGCGGTAAAAGTGTGAAAAGCCTTATAAAAGAAATATCATTCACTCGTTTATATTGCCCAATATAAAAATACACAAAATTATTCTTCAGTCAAGGTTATAAGAAGTCATGCAGTGAGGCAGGAAATATTTATCTAATTGGAAGTATTTTTTGTATAAACAATCTCGGAATTGATATATTTATTTTCAATCATTGTTTCCTTATGTTACGTCATATATATATATATATTTGGCCAGCAACAAAATACCGTAATTTCTATATTTAATATTATTTCACAATGCCACAAGATAAGAAATGTTGGCAATAATCATCGACACAAATTAGGCGCATAATCTCTGCCATACGGCAATAATAACAGGAAATTGTATTGTTTATTTTTTATAATCTTTTCATACACTTGTTATAATATTGTTCTGCGTCACAATAAGAAAATATAATTAAATGAGTTTGCATAAGTTCATTACATTATTTGCATTGTGTACAGAATTGTTGGTCTTTGACACATCCTATTCAAATTTAGATTTATGCCGTTGGGAGTTTGTTAACATGTAGGCCTAAAGAATTAAGGCAAAACGTCAACTCTTCTTCATTTCTGCCTGATTTCCCTTTCAAATACTAAAAAAATTATTTCTGTTCTTACTTGCCTTATCTAACATTTTTTAAATTTTATTCCAGAGAACTTCCCACCGTCTCTATCAAAGCCTCACGCATCACCAACGAAAGCTAGACAAGAAAATGACATTTTATTTCAATGGAGACTGAAAAGAAAACTGGAAAATGCAAGAGATAGTGTTGCTAAGAATCAAGGTAACAGTTAACGTTTTGTGACGTTTTGCCGTTAATGTTGATTTTATTACGTTAAATTCCAAAATAAAAAATGGCTGAAAACGAGAAATTAATTTCAAACTCTACTGGATTTTTTTACAACAGATTTATTATAACCAGGGCTATGGAATTATGTTTTCACCAGAGTCGCATTTTCAAACTCCCTGGAATATGATTTGAAATTTCAGACTTTCAACGGCAATAATTTTATAAGGCGTTCTACGAAGTTCTTTAAAAACTATCGCACATGCCAAAGTCTTCAATATCATAATTCAATTTTCTCTCAGAGTGTCGAAGGGAGAACTTTTCCTAACCTAGAATAAAGTTTAGGAATTCTGCGCAGCCTCGGTCCCACCATTTAGATGGGCACGATATTAATGCTCAGAACTCCATATTAACAGGTCCACCACCTCAACGTGCAACTCCACGAAGACAATTTTACAGAAACGAAGCAGAAAAACCCTTTTCTACTCAATCTCACATATATCAGCACCAACCTAACATTTGTGGTGGCCACCAACATTCTACGTTTATACCAGATTGCTCACAATACCAACATCAACCGACCTGCAATTGTCAACAGAATCAACCACCCTGTGATGGACCCAGAAACGTTCCAGCAAGCCAAGAGATTACAGACCAACCCGATATAGAATCCAGGCCATGTCAAATTGGGTCCAAATCACCTGAAGAATTCTCAAAAGTTTTAAAAAGTGTTGCTGTTGGTTCCTCTCCCATGATATCAGCTGAAACACAAACAACGAAGAGCCTGATTTTTTCTGATGAGGAAGTTGTGTCTGAAGGATTTGATAAAGATAAACAAAAAGGTATATCTGTTTTATGAGAAGACTAATGATGAAAATTCATTCGAATCTTACATGATTTGCAGAGCGGGATGCCCTAGAGCAGGGCTACTAACTATTTTTATAGAAGGTCCGCAAACAAAACTTCAAAATTATTTGGGTCCGGTCTTTCCAGAAATTATATTTCGGCATCCTTAAACGAGCACTTCCTCGACCGGCTAATGATTAGTAGCAAATTAAAATTGTTTATTATGGTGTTATAGTTCTTTTCGTATATATTCTAAACTATGAAAGTCATTTTATAATAGGAAATTCAAAAAGTTGGGCTAATGATCCCAAATAAATAATTAGGTGCGGTCCAAATCCAATACTCGAAAGGTCTGGATTCGGACCGCGGTCCGCCAGTTGAGTAGCCCTGCCCTAGAGCAGGGGTGTGCACCCTGTGGCCCACAACAAAAGATTGTGCGACCCACAGAAAAGTGTGGCACGCGGGCCTGAGTTTGGACCACCCTGGCGTAGCCTATACCTAAGACTCAATTTATTAACTATGCATATGATGTCACAAAGCCCTGAATAAAATTTTTGTGCCCGCAACTTCTAGAAATCCGCTGTAAAATAAAGGTGCTGCGCGTGATTTTATCAAGTTATTTGCTTCTGGCCTGCTGTATTGAAGGTCCCGTCCCCTGTCCTATATGCTAACAATGTTTGATTTTTCAAAATATTGTGCTCAAATTCTGTGCCCATCACCTCACTCAGGGTGGCAATGCTGAAGTGGAAATATTAGGATCCTTTCCAATATAATAGCCATTTACATATTTGGTGGAACAAATGTATACGAATGGCTGATAAAAAATGAACTCCTGGATCACACATTGCCAGCTTTAATATTTATTTCAGTTGAATTTTACCTTGCTAAAATTCTGAATTTTACAAATTACTGTTACATATAGATCAATGGACCCATTGCCTATTAATCCTATTTCCTAAATAAATATGCTCAAACCAAGGCATGCGACCCATGTAAATATATCACAACTTATATGCATGAAAAACACTATAGTATGCATATCTTGAACTGTTCTGTTCTTATTTCACTTTTCAGAAGATGCTGTGAAACGTTCAGCTTCTCTGAGTTCATTCCCACACACAAGCACTCCCGCATCAAGCGTGTCATTTCACAGAGTTAAAATCATTGAAGCTGATGTTGGAAATTCTCCACAAACAAGTAAAGGATCCCCACAGGTAAGTGTTGTGTTGTGAACAAATTTAGTAGTAAGAATGTTTAGTCTGGAATGTACAAATATTTGAAGAATTGATTGGGTATCATTTATGTCTAAATTCTTATTAACATTTCAATGAATGTCACCCAAAATGCTTTATTCATTTTCTGTAAACTATAAAATTATACAACCGATCGACCGAGTTTTAATATACTCCATATTTGAAGCATTTTTAATGAATATTCTGAATAGTACTGTATGTTGCATATAACCCCTACCCCCTAAAAACAGACCTAAAATAGTGAATTTATTAACATTTTTAGTGATCAGACTTCGAGTTATCTGTGTATAAGCCGACCTCTTAGTTTGTCATCAAACCGATTTTTCAACTCGACTTACATGCAAGGACTTTAAATTATGCGGTTTTGGTGATTTCATCTTTGGCACTTGTATATGAAGTTATATATGAAAGTACCATTTAACCAGTACTTTTTCAATGTGTTCTTTTCTTGTTCATATTTTGTCTATTATTGTATAGTGTTAATACCACAATTTCTCTGTTTTGTTATTTATTAGGCTCGTGTTATATCACCTGTCAGTTGTAGGACTGAAGCAACAACAGTATGGAGCAGTACTATGGAACGAACTAATAAGAAGAATGCAGAGGATGGGAAATCAACCGTGTCAAGGTGAATTTGTAGGTCCAGAAATGAATTGTGCTTTTCACTAATGGGACTCTAGGTTCAGGCAAGCTCTTGTCCCAAATTGTGTGCCAACAGAGTACCCTTAGACATGGGCATGGCGAGGAAAGGGGTGTTCCAATCCTCAGACCATCTCCCTGGCTACGCCCTTGCCTGTGGCTCTCTATATGCAGTTCGGGGCTCCCGAAGTATGCGAACCAAGATGGCGGACCTTGGAATGTAATATGTGTACTAGGTTAGGTATAAATACTACGGGAGGCTCTTGGCTAGTCTTCGAACTGATAATAGGACTAAAATAAGGAAAATTGGAAAAAAATTATCGCCTAACCCTAACCTGTTACCCATGTTACGTTCCGATGTCCGCCATCTTGGTTCGCATACTTCGGGAGCACCTGCAGTTTGTGCTTTTTTGTTACAACTAACTAGTTGACCATATACATACCCTCCATTAGGAAGCTATGGCTATCTCAATCTTCGACTTCTCAACAAGTAATAAAACTTTATATTTTTCACTTGGCTTAATCAGGTCCACACAGTAGAAGGGAATACAGCTGCCAAGTAACAAAATAGCAGGCGGTGATTTGCAATAAGATCGAACCGTCTTATTAGCTTTCCCTCAGGATCAAAATGAGAATCTTATTCTAACATTTTTGTCAGAGACCTGGTCACATACTTTCAGCAAACGTGGATAAAGAAATTACCTAAATAACTATTATTGATCTTTTGTTTCCTAGTGTGAAAACATCAGAACCTCGGTATACAAGTGATTCAGAAAGTTGTTCTCCCACTGCTAATGTTATAAGACAGGTAATTCTAAGTGTTTCATTATCTTTAATATTGGGTTTTAGTAAGTAATTTTGAGCTCTATAAACAAGGATGTGTTGATATATGAAAGTAAAGTATCGCAGAATTTAGGATTAACTTCAATTTTTATTTCTCATTGTTTTTTATCGATCTCGATCGGTAAGTATGTTGATAGGTATTTGTCTGTCTGTTAGACATACGCGATATCTCACGAAAGCGAGGTTGAATCTGCTCCAAATATTGCATGTGCATTCATCATTTATCGGACCAGAAGCCTATTGATTTTGGATGATTTATGTCGTATAATTAGCAAATTATTGATTAATTAGTGATGGGACACGCAGTGTCGCTATTGAGTCAGAGCCGCTATATTGAAAAGTCGACGGTTGTCGATCTTTATTTTGAATCTGAAATCATAGGCTCTTTGCATGTCAATGGTCACCTATCACTTTGTTTTGAAATAAATCTTAACTTCTGAGAGAGTGTTTAAGACAGGGGCCACGACCCGACCCACCAAGCCATTTAGTATGGCCCTTGTCCACACTGAAATTATTCCCCATCAAGCATATAATCCGAATCCGACAGTTTATGTTTAAATAGTGTGTTTAAAAAGTACACAAGGGTAAAAATATATAATATTTTTTGCTCTCGCCGATGCATTGAAACTTTCACTGTTTCCCCCTTTCTTCCTATTACTGCAAGGCTATGCAATAGCCACATTTTCTTCTCTTGCTTCTCCTGCGTCAAAAAACTAAATTTTTTGTGTGACCCGTCTAGATGTCTGAAGTTGGTTATTTGGCCCACTGACAAGAATCGTTGCACACCCCTGGTTTAGGACCTCACTTTCAACTTTTTTAAAATCCTATATCTGTAACTTGGAATTTATAGCAATACAACTATCCACATCAGGCCTGCACAACTCAAATTACCACGAGGGCCGCAAGCATAAATCTGAAGGCCCGGTGGGCCCCGAACTTTGCCACATAAATATTTCACAAGATGAACTGCAAATCAAAATAATATTATGAAACAGGTATTTATTGAAACTAGTGCAAAACAAAAATCTCACGATTTCGAATGTGATTGGAGAAGCGGCGCGCTTAAATAACAATGCCGGCTTTGATTGTTAGACTCGAGAAGTGACGTGTTTCCAAATCACCCGCGAGCCGCACAGAAGTATCTAGCCGCATGCGGCCGCGGGCCGTATGTTGTGCAGGCCTGATCCACATTGTTAATTAGAGCAGTGGTTCTCAAAGTGGGCGTTGCGACGGCCAAGTGCGTCGTTTAAATTTTTCTGGGGTGCCGCAAAACTTTTCCTCTTCTGCGGAATTGTACCCGCGGTACGTAGAAAAATTCTAAATTCTCGCTATTATCGTTTGAATCACACTTGAAAACCAGAGAGGACAATCAATTTGAAAATTGTAACGATCGACCTTATTTAAATGAGAATTCCCTAATGTCACAGGCCATTTAATACTGTTCCAATTATAACATCACACAAACTAGGTAAACCTGAGTCATGCATTCCATTCATTTTAATCCTTTTATGAACATGGATAAATCGAGCATTGTTGACCAACGTTCATCACTCGATCTGCGTGTGGACTCAAACGGATATTTAGGTAAATTGACGCAAAGGCAGTTCTCTTCGGGCATAATTTATATAAAACTCATTGCAAAAGTGGTCCTTTATTGAAAGGTATCAAAACATTTTTCACGGGGAGTCGTAACTTGAACATATTTTGTGAAGTTTGTCACAATACCAAGAAGTTTGAGACTGACTTATTTCACATACTATGGTATAAATTTTTCTAGGTAATTGGATCCAGGTTATTCAATGAAACACATACTCCAACATCATCTTCAAGTCGAATCGAGAAATTAAAAAGAGAAAAGAAAACAAAAAGCGCAAAACATATTGAACAACTTGACGGATCATACAGGGAAACTCGAGATGAAGAAGGTACTTCATGATTTTGGGTATATACGAAGCACTAGATAAGCCGAACTCATTTGAATAGCGTCATGGCCATTTAGACAATCTATCAAAGATACTGTTTTGTGTGTTGTGATTTTTTGTACCCTGTGTATGTTCAAAAGCATCTCTATCTATTAATAATTATCTAATAAACAAATTTTCAGGTTCTAATCCGGGTAAAACTTGCACCTTTTCCCACTCTACAGCCCTACAGAATTCTTTTCTATATTTCAGCTATTCCTTTCTATATTTGATAAAAACAGTGAATGAGAATTTCATCCTAAGACATGTTTTGACCCGATTAAATTAGACGACAATATTGTGCTTTCTACAGTATTGAAATAATCTATTTGCATTTACAAATTTCTCAACTTAAGTGCTGGTAACATTGCAATTTTCGACTATATTTAACATGTCCCAACCGTTGAATATACCATTTTTTTGCAGCTGTTCAACCAGAAAGATCTGAAACACTCATAAATTCTGGCACTCCCAGTCATAGTCATTCAAGCATATCAGGCAGCAGCCAACAAAACAAATCTGAACTTGGGAATTCTGAACCTAATAACAAAGATAAAACAGAACAATCTTATGCCTCATTCGTCACTGATGATAAAGATGTGGAGGATTCAAGTTCGAAAGAATCAGAGACTGGACTGGAGGAAGAGAATCAAGATGAATTTGACCCAGGAAGGATGTTCGAACAATTACTAAAAGGTAACGGGACAACTAGTTTTAAGGATGTAGTAACAAATTCCTGAATATTTCACTCGCATTTTCTTATTTTCAATATAATGTCTTCAAAAATAGTGGCTGGTATTATTTAAATAAAGCGAATTTATAACTCAATCACAATGTAATAAAATAGGTAGACTATGGCAGAATGATATCATTCTAACTTCTTGAACTGACATGTCCAAACTACGGGCTAAATCCGGCCCGCCTGATGCTGCCACAACCAAACTAAAACCAAATTTTGATGTTTTAGCTGAAAACTAGCCCAAGGAATTTGTGAGATTGTGATTAATTTAGTTTTGGCACAAGGCTTATTGTTTTCCACTTTTGCTTTTTTAACACTATGAATATTCTTCATGAAATGTAACTTTTTAGGTCACACTTACATGGCCCGTAACTCTATGTGGGCAAACCTTTTTGCCCCAGGTCAAAAAAACGTGCCCGTCTATGCTCTTAAACATAATATGTTCTTATGTGACAGTGCAGGAAACTTGTTTGAAACAAAAGGATTCTCCTCAATTTATAACTTTTTTCTAGATCTTTCTAATGATCCTGGTGATTTTAAAGATGATCCTGTACTGATGACATTGCGTAATCAACGTGATCAATTCATGCAAGAATTTAGGTTCGTTGCTTTTTTTAAAATTTTTGTATTCGGAGTGGGACAAAGGCAGTTAGTTTCCACTAAGACCAAGATTGAATATCTCACAGTCACATAGTATTTGCCACTATTTAATATTAAGAAAATTGAATACCTCTTTTCTCTATATCCGTGCCCGGGGGCCAAAATTAGACAACGAATGGATATTCGCTGCCAGGAGAGGAGAGTGCCCGCAAGGGGCGGATATCGGTACTTATAATGAAAATACCAGTAAAGTTGAATTGTTATGAATATATACATGCTTAAACTGTGTTAATGACATAACAATTGGCGGTATCTAAAACGCAAAAAGGTGGAAATATACTCAATTCGGTCGACTATATTAAATCGTTTTGTGGGACACTGCACTATATATTATTGATTCTGGGTTTATGCACTGATGTGAGAAGCAATCATTTTTTGAAGGGCCCTCTTACTCAACTCATTACACTTTGAGTGATAGCGGCCAAGAGAACTTAGATCTTTAGCACTGAAATAGATAATTACAATACTCTCAACTAACAACTACTAATTACCGAATTTCTTTTATTTCCTTTCGAAAAATAACACTGGGGCCTCATGTTGGGGGATGTCTTCTATTTTCATTCATCAAAAACAAAGTTACAAAGTTTTCAAATATACAAAATGTAAAAAACGATATCGTTTTACTTATAAATAACACGTTCTTTAACAAGTTCGCAATACCAACTAGGCCTTTTTTTTAAGAGGAGGGATAATATTAAAATCATGTTTGAAATTCAGACTATGTCTCTTATTTTTTAATTTTCGGGGAAACACTGTATGTCCGATATTGCTTTCCCCATAGGGACCCACATGAGAACTAAAATAGCCTATCATCTCACAGTTATATTGTTAGGATAGGATAGGATTTACATATTTATCCCGGGGGAGAGGAAAGCCGATAAGACGGCTTGTCCATATGGCGAACCACGACCTCTCGTCCGGTTACCATTCCAAGTCGGGTATGGGATTAGTTTTTACTGTATTGTTTGTTTTCGGAAGCATGGACTTGGTGGTGGAGGAAGCCGTAACCGACCAGCGGTTACGTGAACCACCCAACGACGGCGAGGAGTCCAGCAATCCTCTCGCATTTAACCATCCCTGCATGGGATTCGAACCTGCGAACCCACGCAGAGTAATTAGAGGTGCGGTGGCGAGCGTATTCCTAACGCTTAGCCCGTTGAGCCACACCGCCGCGCAGTTAATGCAGCAGAGGCTTTTAAATCATTTGCTTCTTTATTTTAATTCCAGGAATATTGAAGCAGAAATAGAAAGGACGGCACGCCAAGAAAGTGGTCAGAACAAAAATTAATTCATCAGTTTGGTATCATTACCTCAAGAAAATGTTCACTGTTGGCATTAATATATTATACATAATAGTATACAAGACTTGTTTTGGATTTCAAAAAAATGTAAATTCAACTAATTTGTATGTTTTTTGAAAAATTTTAAAGCTTCTTTCAACTGTGACTCATCATTTTTTCTCATAAATAGCTGTTGCATAAAACCAAATAATACTTTTGTTCTTTTTCAAATACGGTTAGACTCAACTGCAGTGGTTTACAAAATTTGCAGGCCAGGAGAGGCGAACGCCCACAAGAGCCAGTACGTATAGTTAAGATGCTTGGATAATTGAATTGTTACGAATATACACACGCTTAAATTGGTATTATGACATAACAATTGACGGCATATAAACCACAAAAGAAAAAAAAAACTATTTCTCCCGAAGTTTGGCTGGGCTGTACATTAAATGGTTTCGTGGTTTGTAATTGGCCCACGGGCTGAGGTTTGGGAACCACTGGACTAAAGATTGATAGATTGTATAATAATAATATTATCTTTTATTCGAATATAGGCTTTCGCGTGTATTTTTTTGAAAATCTGTATCATGTAGAAATGTTCATTTGAGTAGATGTTTTAAATATTTTGACATGAGTTGGTTGCCTTTTTATCAACAAATATTTGTGTGAAGTCACAAAAATTCACTCAGAGGTTGCAAGCAAGTACTGCACCTCAAGCTTGAAGTGTATATTATTAGATATTGAGATTGTAATATTCACATCCCTTACTTGGCGCTCCAGAAGTGTGTGTAATAATATGATGGTAACTAATTTTTTCGCCTACTTTAAATCAAGTTGTGTAAAGGGACTGAAAACCTATGGGTAGGGGTATAAACACTTGGCTAGAACTAAAACAAGGAAAATCTGAATAAAATTATGGCATAACCCTATCCTGGTACACATACCACGGGTGTACCCTTTACTCTATGTTCTATTCATAAAAACTTTCATTATCTGTCACTATACTCCAGCTAACAAAGTAAAGCTTCAAGAACAAGAAGATTGCAATTACCTGAATACTTGATAAATTCTACTTTTATTTACTTTTTCTTACTGTAGTTGCTGCTAATAGAGGAATCAAAATAGTTTGTGTTGAACATTAGAAACTGTGTAGAAATATATTTTTATATCATTTGTACTGAATATATATATATATCTTTATATAAAATTATGCTGCAGTGCTATCTTGTAATAAAAAGTGAAATTCAGGTATTTATTCTCTTTATGCAGTAGATGAGTAGAGAGATTAATGAATATTTGAAAAATGAGATTTTCAAATGAAAAATATTTAAGAATCAGAAGAGACTGTTCAAGATGTTTAGTCCAGCGGCTCAGCGCTATCGTTTTTCCAAGTTAGAGTTATAAGTCAACAGTAAAAAGAATAAATTAAATTAAACAATAGTGCCAAGCTGCGTTAAATGGTAATGATGTCCCTATTTTGTCTTTTATAAGAAAAAAAAAGAGTATATCAACACCCATGCATTTAGCTAGACTATAATGATAAGATCTGTATTTATTGACGAGTCTGTCACTGCGGCCCTATTTCATCTCTCGTAACAAGCAAATAATAGTAACACCCGCACTCTCTGCTGCCTCAGAAAGATAAGAATTGTTCTTACCACCTCGTTACTCAATTTTGAACTAAACCACCTCTGATTGAATGCTAAAGCTGTATTGTCTACTCTGTATTGTTTCTGATATTTATCCCTCAACGCTTTCTGCAAACCAGACTACTCGCACTCCATGTTAGATGTCGCAACTAGGGGTTTGAAATTATTCCCTTGCTATCTGAACTTATGACAGCAATGCAGAGCAATCAGCGATGTCCAGGGTGTTCCCAACACTACACAGGAAGTACAGTTTCAATAATAAATATTTTATTTCTCTATTGATCTAACTAAATCAGTATCAAAAATAAAATTAATATTTTCATAATTTCAACTAAATTATAATATTTACAAAGAAATCTCATACAAACTAGATTTGTGGCAGGGCTTGCAAGTGGCCTCATAAAACATAGAAAAAGATTACACATTCTCCAAAAGTATTTACAAGTAAATCATTGACTAATTAATTAATATAGGCACTTCATTCAATTATTAAAGAATTGAACAGAAATTATAGATTTTCAAAAATTCTAGCAAAGAAAAGTTGTTCATCTCTGTTATTAGTAAACATAATACTTTATTAAATGTAAAATATCATCCATTGGAAATATCAATTTGTAACCTTTTGTAGTATGTTGGAAAAAATATGATCAAACGGCTTGATGACACTTCGGACCTTTTGTTCGTTTACCAGGCATTATGGGGATACCTATCTAGCTGATTCATGATATTTGTATTGACTTGGGATTCAGATATTAAATTGGTAAAATGTTTTATACATGAATAGCCAAGCAAGTCTTTGTGATTCAAAATTCATTCATCATTTCCAACGGTAATTAATGAAAATTGAAATATCTTTTGAGTTATATATAATTTCCTAAATAGGTGCATGAAAATATGAAGGACTGTAGGAGGAAGCACCTATTTACTATCTTGTGTCGGCACTTTTTGATAATTCTATGGATGATGCTGGATTCTCATACTGAATCTGGGACTCATTTTGAAATCAACAGAGAAAAGAGTTTAAGCCTGAAATTTAACCCCTGACTACCCGGAGTTTAAGATTCTAGACTTCTAACTGTCCAATCTTGAAGTAGGAGTTATGAAATTGCGAGGGCTTGGAATCAATTTTTCCTGTTAAAGTTTCTGAATAATATTTTCGCCAAATGTAGTCAACTTTTGTCAGCCCAGAATCTTGAGGTCTGGGGTCAGCTGAGAATCTGATGAAATTTCACAAGTTGCTCCAAGTTATTTGTTTTGTTCTTTAACTGGTTTTGTTACTCTTGAAATATTTTTCTCCAATGGTTTTTCATAAGTTTCGAAATCAACTTCGAACCCGAATCTAGCTCTCTTCTCTTCTTTTGCTCTCAATAAATCATTTGTTGTGGGTTGATCATTCCAAACCTAGTGAGAAATAAGAGTTTGACAATTGTTAAATTCAAAACAGAATCATTTTCTGATCATTTTAACATAATCTGCTTTAAGTCTCGCATCCATTAGATGAGTGGTTCAATCAGCTTTCCCTTTTTTAGAATTTTCAAGTCTCCATCCAACCTAAAAAATAACTACTGGTAGCTAACAATAAGCTACAAATAACAGATAGTAAGGCGAAAGTGTGCAAACTCTAAGGATAATAAAGATACAAGCACAACAGCTCTTTGCAATCTATAAACAATAAAGAAATTCAAATATCCAAAATAAGGCGGGCAAGATGAAACCTAACAAATATTTTTATTCTTAATAAGCTTCACTCACGGCCCTTAAAAATTGTCTACGCAACAACCCCCCCTTGTGGGGCACGCCCCACCGTTTGAGAACCACTGCATTAGAAGTTACTAATGCACAATTCTACACTAGGTTATTGGAGCTTAAATGATTATTTGTGACTTCGCTTAAAGATCAGTTCTAGTTTATTTGCTTTATGCAGTGTTTATGTTTAAAAATGTTTAGGAAAATAAAATATGTTGGGCATAAAACATATAGTGCGATATTAAATAGGGTGAAATGAAAAAAAGCTACTTTCCATCACATGGTAATAAAAAAGGGGGTAACATATTAAAGCTGGGTTAAAGGGTTGCCTATGAAATGGCTAAACCATATGGTGAACCACAGCGTTCGCCCTTACTGGTTAACAGTCCATGCCCAGTGTGGGAACAACCGCGAGATTCATAAGCATGGACTTAAACATGTAGGAAGCTGTAACTGACAACCCGTAATGTGAACCACCCTGCGATGTTGAGGATTCCAGCAATCCTTTCAAGATCTGAATCAGTGATTTCGTGCAGGGTAATCAGAAGTACAATAGGCAATTGCATTCCAACTCTAAGCACAATGTGCCAACTGCTGAGCCAGTGTGTAACAATGGAATTTATCACCCAACAGTTTTAAGTCACTACCAACCTTTCTAGGTGTGAATGAAGTACCATCATGTCTTCCTGTTCCTGATGCCAGTTCACTTGCGAGATCCAGGATTGTTCCTTTCTTCTGAACAGGTTCATCATACGGTTCTTCTGGAACTGGTTCTAGAATCTGTGAATAAAATATGAATGGTAGTATTAGCTGGTAGTATTGGCCTTGTAGAAGCAGTCACTAATATGTATGTGTGGCGCAGGAATACGCTTGCCACCGCACCTCTGATACCCTGTATGGGGATTGCAGGTCTGCTCGGGCCATTGGTGATTCACATAACTGCTGGTTGCTTACGGCTTCCTCCACCACCAAGTTCATGCTTCTAAAATAAATATTTAGTTGACTAACCCCATACCCGATATGGACTGGTAACCAGATAAGAGAATGTGGTTCGGCATATGATCAACCCATTTATGTTTTCCTCTCCCACAGGATAAATATGATTACCATGCCAAGTCTCCACAGCGAAGTTGCGCAACTGAGAATTACCAAGAGATCTGGTATGTTTATTCATTAGATTCAAATTGAAGTGGCTAGTGCTGTACTATGCGGCATTCTACTTTGATTGTTGTTTTGGAGCCTGTTTCAGAGTACATATGTCATAGAACAAATTATAAAACAGTCACCATATATTACACACCTCAATCTGGACAACATTAGGTCTTTTGTTCTCTTTATTATTTTCATCTTCCGGTCTCAGGTTTGCTGAACTATCAACCGGTGTTGTAGGTGCAGTCATGTGACCCTGAAATGAAAAATTATTGTATTCGTTGCGATTTGTAATCAAATTATCAGGCGTGGCAATATATGTACAACGATTGGTATAACATTGGAACAGTTTGACATCACATTTCTGATAACTCTGAGATTCTTAGAAGATTACAAAATTTAATGCGGGTCTTTTTGTAAGCAGGGATTGCTGGACTCTTCACAAGCAGTGAATGGGTTCATGTTCCCACGGGCTAGATACAGCTTCTCTCTTGAGCTCAGAGTAATTCGAGAAACAACCCAGACTCCTATTAGCTAACATTTTGTCTCTGAACCCGGCTCCCAACTGAAGAAATTATCGACTCCGACTCTAGCTTCCTACGCTGAGAAAACAATATTTTAATCACAAAAACTTTGGCGCATTTAATTATATGTTGAGATTTGACTGAACTAGCAACTAGGGGTTTAGCCAATTCAAACCAACTCTAATAATCTGGTATTCAAATGTGTGGTAGAGTAACTCGTTTTGGTTATCTTGATTAAATAACTCTATTGTTCGTATAATCAGACCGAAAAAGTATATCTTATAAACCAATTTTCTTTTAAATAAAAAGTAAGTCAGAACAAGAGTTGAGTTCCTACTTATAAAATACTCAAAGTGATGTGAGTCATCCAAATTAAATGACTTGTGCTTAGCCAAACAACCGTCAGTGAGACTTGTGAGAGACAGTGAGCTCAATGATTGACTTGACACAAGATATACAGACCTGTGGTATCGGTGGAATAGTCAGTGGTTTTGGTGTGCTTGGTCCTGTTGGTTTTTTCTTGCTTCCTCCTTTCTTATTATCTTTCTTAGGTTTAGGAGCAGCATCGTAGGCATCTTTGATCATCCAATATATCTCATTGTCTGCCCAATCTCTTGCAACATCAAGAGCGCTTTTTTCTGGAATATAATATAAGAAATATTGGACCTCCTGAAGTATGCGCACCAAGATGGCGCACAACCTGAACTCAGGTTGTGTACCAGGTTAGGGTTCAGGTTGTGTGACATCTTGATGCGCATACTTCAGGAGTACCGAAATATTTCATGAAGAGTGCACTACTATCAGAATAGGATTGACATATTTATCCCGAAGGAGAGGGAAGGTTAGGCCATAATTTTATTCCGATTTTCCTTATTTTAGATCTATTACGAGTTCGGGGACTGTCTTTGTTAGCATAATGAATATACCCTCTGCCCATAGGCTTCCGTCCCTTTACACAACTTGATGTAAAATAGGCGAACAAAATTAGATACCTCCATATCGGTACACACACCTCTGTTGTGTCGTTTAATTTATAACACAAGTTAGATTTGTTAGATCTTCCCAAACCACTTTCATAAATTGAGAGAAATTAATCTAATCTAGTTAACAATCCCATATTTTTCAGTAACTTGTAACCAGAAAGGAGATCATGATTTTCTATATGGCTAAACCATGCTGTGGAATTTCCTCTCTCAATTTCAACTCTTTTATTTACTTTTAATTTATATTGATACTTGACAGGTACCAACAATTACAATGCATATGATAGTACAATAATTTCATCAATTATTTTACAACTTTACAAGATATCACCATCTTTTTTCAGTTCACCCATATAATTTATATATATTTTATTTTTAAACTCAGATATTTAAATGTTACTTAGGTATTATAAATATATAATTTGAATAATGGCGACAGCGTTATTCCTATCTTATCTGAATTTGAGCTTGCATTTTTTGTTCAAAAATTTTGGATCTGCAATCAATATATTGACAATAGTTTCTGCCCATCCTATCCACGTTCAATCATAAATGGGTACTCCCGTAGTATGTGAACCAAGATGGCGGACACCGAAACGTAGTAGGTGTACTAGGTTGGCTACAAATACTACGGGAGTCACTTGGCTAGTCCCCGAATGCATAATAGAACTAAAATAGGGAAAATTAGATTTAAAATTATGGCCCAACCTGGTACACATACTACGTTCCGGTGTCCGCCAACCTGGTTCACATACTACGGGAGTATCCATAAATGTCTCTAAATTTGATGCACTACCAACCTTTTCTGTTTTCATGTAGAACGTTGACTCCGCAATCCAATAAGAATCTTACGACATCTGGTTTGCCTCCCTCGATTGCACGCATTAGTGATGTTGCACCGTTCCACGTCACAGCATTGAGATCTGAACCGGCAAATGCTAACTCCTGTGAGATATGAATGTTGCATACTAAAATCTCTAACAGCTGTACACTTTATGTAATAGCCAAATATCCTGAATCTCAGATACAATACAATTTTATTTCTATCTTTCATCCACAATACAGAACATGAAGAAAAAATAAAAAGCAAACAGTGGTACGTACGTACAGCCATTATTCAGCAGTGGCTACTTCTATCATAAATCTGGACCTGGTAGGACCAAAACGGGCACAAAGGACATTGGTTATTAAATGTTTAATCCGTCATATCAACCAAATAACTATGCTTGTTTTTTTTTTGCGCAAATTATTCTCAAAAGTTATTCATGCCAATATTAATATATTTACAGAAATAGAGTCATCTCAGTATCATAGGAGAAGTACGGTAGTCTCATAATAACAATCAAAATCCCACAACCAGAATTCAAATAAAATAGAATTTTACCTTGACTATATCTATCTGTCCTGAATGACAGGCATGATGCAATGCCGTCCATTTGAAATTATCTCTTGTTTCAACGCTTGCTCTGAAACATAAAATATCGCGAATTAATGTTATGGTAGTATATAAATTACCGGTAATAATATTCATAACAATAGGAATGAAAGCGAATTTGAACATTTAGGATAGTAATTTCATACATATTCCGGGAAAAGAGAGTAGCCTACCATAAGTAAAAAGGTACAATCATATAATAAACCACAGCCAGTTATCAGTCCAAATATGGTATAGAAATAGATACCCAATTCATTATTTAAACGCTTTTTATTAGATTTCATGAAGTGGATTTTGAATATTCACCGTGACAACAGTGATGTTCCCAATTATTCAAAACCTATTTCAGTATTTTCCTCGATTTTTCTTTCAAGAACTCACCCCAAACTTAGCAAATACTTTGTCATTTCTAAATTTCCACCAGCAGCTGCAGCCATGAGTGGTGTCTTGAAATATTTATCCCGAGTATCAACTGGTGTTCCACTCTGAATTTAAAGAAAAATAAAATAATAACAATTATTTCTATGTTTTTTTAACAAGGAGAAGTAATTTTTTGGAAGAATTTGCCAAGTGCAAGCTCACATGTTCTTACTCAAAAGTGAACTCATCTCCTGGCAAAGGTATGAAACAGTGGAACGCCAAGAGGAATTGAAGTTACAAAATTTATGACATTGAAATGCTTCTCTGAAGTTTACTAAATTGGGTAGGATGCGAACCATTAAATTTTCTAATCTTAAACTTCTCCGTACATACATAATAAAAGCTTTGGGAAAACTAATCAACCAACCTTAAAAGCAGCTTTTAAAGACTCCATATCTCCAAACTTTGCCGCTTCTGTTATATTCATGAACTGACGTTCCGGTGGGTGAATGTACCAAGCACTGTCATCCTCCAATGGATGCTTGGGTGGGTGATCTCTGAAACAGAAATAGCATTTATTATTGGTGGGTTGAAATGCTTTTATGTTTGAAATATAGTTAAATTCAAACTTATATCCAATATATTACAAGAAATATGGCCAGTATTTTGGGTAACTCACCTGAATTTCTATTCTATGTGTTGTTATTCTATTGGCAACGTTTAAAATCAGTTATCTTACTTATAAATCAAATAAAACAAAATAATTTATGAATGGCTAGAATTTTTTTCTATCTGTGAATTCTTTCCTATCAATTTCTTTCGATTTTATGAAAAATATTTCATACAAAAATAGATTCATAGCAATCAAATCTCGCACACATCATAAATACATTATGAAGAAGACGTGTCTGGATAAGATGGGATTTCCTTCAAGAGTAGGTGTAGTCAATAATACAGATTAATGCACAATGTGATCAGCCTATGCCAAATATGTAAAATAGTTCAACAATTATCCCTTTCAGATGAATGAACTCTATATTCTTAGTCCTCTTGCATCTTAATTACCACTCACCTGTTGAACCTAGTAGTATCTGTCCATAGAATTTGTTTCTCTACATACGCAAGAGGTGGACCACCATCAGCTCTCCTTGGACCTTCATCATTTACACATATCGGCATCGGTATCTTGGCTTTTTTTCCTCTCTTTCCTCCCTTCTTTCCTTTCTTGCCTTTTTTACCTTTCTTCTTTTTGCCTGATGATGATGACAACATGTTTTAGTATAGTTTTTAGTATAGGTTAAAAATTTCTGTTTTATGAATTTTTGGATTACCGGTAGTAGGTTATTTTAGGGCGCGGCGGTGTGGCTCAACAGGCTAAGCGTTAGGAATACGCTCACCACCGCACCTCTAATTACTCTGCGTGGGTTCGCAGGTTCGAATCCCATGCAGGGATGGTTATGTGCGAGAGGATTGCTGGACTCCTCGCCGTCGTTGGGTGGTTCACGTAACCGCTGGTTACGGCTTCCTCCACCACCAAGTCCATGCTTCCGAAAACAAACAATACAGTAAAACTAATCCCATACCCGACTTGGAATGGTAACCGGACGAGAGGCCGTGGTTCGCCATATGGATAAGCCGTCTTATCGGCTTTCCTCTCCCCCGGGATAAATATGTAAATCCTAATCCTATCCTATCTCTCTTATTATAAATGTGGTGCTGATTTACATCCAGGCATAGACATTTCACATTATCCCAAGAAGGAGGGAAGCTGATAAGACAGCTTCATCATATGATCATCATACGGCATACTTTATCATACGCTCTTCACAACAACTGTGATTTCAGTACGTACTTATTACAGACACTTACTTTAATGTTGAATGTTTATTTCAATTGAAGTGACAAATACAATAACTCTGATTCTGATGAACAATGCTTTTCGTTTGAATACTAGTCCAGAGTGGTATAGGAATCAACTATTTGTTTCAGATGCATGAACTAGATGGCTAAAAAAGCCATATCTGACCTGGGGTTACAGGGACCACCCTACACCGGTGATGAGTCTAGCAACCTTCTCACACATTAATCTCCCTCACAGGGTAATCAGGAATGCGATGGCATCCCGCACACTCAATAAATATTATTTAGAAATAATCACACAGTTCCAGATTTTTCCACAGAATCTAAAAGCAATGTATTATATTGTACATAACGCCGTTGTGCCGTACCTCTTTGTCTTGTGTATTTTACTAGAGTTGTATTTGTATAGTCAATTTCATGTCTGTTGTCATAGTATAACTAAGCAGTCCTAAACTGCTGTTATTATTGTTAGGAGTACATGTTGCACATCTGTGTCTTAGGCCAGTAAGGTCTTGAACATGTATCCCATCTCTGTTATACTGTTTGTTTATTATGCAGATACTGACTGTTACACTTTTGAGGCAAATAAACATACATACATACATTATATATGACTGTTACCTTCAAATGCTGTCATGAGATATGTTTTACTGATGTATTTTTTGCCGGAAATAAATTCATCAATTTCTAAGACTCCTCTGCGATCTTTATCATGGACCTGGGGAAATAATAAAATAATAAGTAAAGGCAACAGAGCCTAGCGGTTAAAGCACTGCATATATTAGGTTGTCAACTCAGGTTGTTATTCATCTCCAGTCCATATCCCATGACCCCCACCCAATCCTAAATGTATAAATAGGGTAGCCAATGCCAAACCAAGAATATATTCTGGTCTTAGCAAGAATGTTATTGAGCGACCGTTTCATATAATTCAAACCTGCCAACCTTGCTAAAGAGAATCAGCGGCGCAAGAGTATTTATAATGCTTAACATAGTGAGCCTAGTGTTAGACCAATTCTATAACAGGCTGATGGTGTGGCTTATCGTGCTAAGCAATAAGGAATACGCTTGCCACCACACATTGGATTACGCAGGTTCGAATCCCATGCAGGGGTAGTTATGTGCAAGAGGATTGCTAACCGGTGTTCGGTTACGGATTCCTCCACCATCAAGTCCATGCTTCCGAAAAACAAATAACAACGGTAACTAATCCCATGCCCGACATGGAATGGTAACCGGACGTGAGGCCGCGGTTTGTCATATGGTTAAGCCATCTTATTTCCTTTCCTCTCCCCCCGGGATAAAGATGTAAATCCTATCCTATAAAAGCTTGACAAGTTGCGAGGACAAAATGTACTCACTTCAAGTAATCTTCGTTTAACATCATCCTGCAGCATTGGAGCTTCTAGTTTTGCCATCACTTTATCAAAACTATCTTTGCTCACAAAATTTCCTTTCGAAGTTGGTTCATCGCCTCCACGATTTGGAGGAATTAACTATGCAAAGAAATTTCATTACAATGTTTAAATTAGAAATATGAGACGAATGAAAAGGGTTAAAATTGATGATATTTAACTTTGAACTTCAACATATTTAGTAAAAGTGACTATAATATCCAACCAACAAGTTTTGCAAACTTTGTCATAGATTGGTTTCAGTTTTTTTATACAAGTGTTCTCAAAGACAGCGAGCAGCAGCAGAATCAATCAAGCAAACACAGTTATGGTATAATATCTAGAATGGAAAGGATTCCACAAAGAGTACCTGTACCGTGTAACCATCAAAGAAAGCGATCGAGCCCAGAAAGTTTCCTGCCTGATTGGGTATATTTTTATTGTGTAAGCATGGACACAAAACCAGTCTGAAATCAAATTCAGTATCCCAGTAATGACACATTTTAAAATTCCCCAAAGTCATAAATCTCTGAATTTGGAACTCTCCAGAAGTTAGAGTCAAAATTTCAGACTGATGTGAAATGGACTTATAGTCTCATTTTTCTGGTATTGAAGTCAGTACTGGTGTTGCATTTTCAAATTCAATATAGCCAAATATCTACAGTCAAATTTCAAACTTTCGAAATCCACGACCTCAGAAGAGTACATGAAAGAAAACACATAATAGAAAAAGAAACTAGTTCGAGACAAACCTCTTTCATTAATTCTTCTTTAATTATTTCTTGTCGTTCATAAACCCAATCATATAACATAACTAATTCAGGATCGTTTGGATTCTTCATTCCTGGTTTAGAATATTTTGTGAAAACTTTTTCAGCTTTCCTGAAATTGATATTTAGTTGATAAATCTTTACAAAGTAAACATATATCACTAATTGAATTGCAATAACGATAATCAGCATTTGAGATGGAACTATTTAAATTTACTCTAAAATATAAGTTGACTAAAGGAAAGCAAAAATATAGGGTATCCAAAAAATCTTAATTTTTTTCAAAATTGCAAAGGGAACTTATCAATACCATCTATTGTTTTGGCGCTCACAGATGTATTAAATGAAAAATACTTGAACAATTATTGATTGAAAAACAACAAAACTGGTAAAGATATATTGAGAACTGACTTCATAACAAAATTGAAATTGTAAAGGGACTTTATGGACACACTGTATGCTGTATAATATGTCATTCCATCACATTCCTATGACATGTAGACAATTATTGTAAAACTATGACACTCTAGGATCATACCAGTGAGATTAATTCCCCTCATTAATTTAAAACCATTTATAAAAGACATTAATTGAAAGCAGATTCACCTCAATTCTTTCCCGGCATCTTTATGACTTTTTTCTTTTGCAAGAAGTCGAGGAGTAAAACCATCTGTATTCTTTAGTTTAGGATTACATCCTGGAAAAATGGAAACATATATGATGTGTGACTTTGAAATACTTTACCTCAATCTTTTCAACAAATAGCTTTTCATTTGTGCCAAGTTTGGTCTTATGCCGCAACATCTAGGCCACCACGAGCAAACATTTTTATTTACTAAATTTGAACACAGTCTCAACCAACTCTATGTGAAAGTTTGGACTAATAATTTGTAATTTTTACATTGACATGGATAGAGAAACCAAGTGTCAAAACATAATCTCTAAAACAGTGGTTCTCAAACAGCAGGATGTGTCTCACAAAGGGGACATCGACAATTTTTTGAGGGAACGTGAAGCTAATTAAAAAAAAAAATAAAATATTTGTTAGATTTAATCTTGTCTTAGATTTGATCTTATTTGGAATATTTACATTTCGGGGCTCCCGAAGTATGCGAACCAAGATGGCGGACATCGGAATGTAATATGTGTACTAGGTTAGGGTTAGGCGATAATTTTAGGTATAAATACTACGGGAGGCTCATGGCTAGTCTTCGAACTGATAATAGGACTAAAATAAGGAAAATTGGAAAAAAATTATCGCCTAACCCTAACCTGTTACCCATGTTCGTTCCGATGTCCGCCATCTTGGTTCGCATACTTCGGGAGCACTTTCTTTATTTTGGACATTTACGTCTCATCCACATATTTTCAACGTGTTTTTTGAATAAGCCATACCTTCACCTTACTATCTTATATTTGTAGCTTATTGTTTGTTAGTTATTTTGGGGGAGCGAGACAAATTCCAAAATTCCAAACCACTGCTCTAAAATCTCAATTTATGATTCCCCACCTCTTTGCGCTAAATATTTGCATATGTTCCCGAATCCTCCCTCAGCAGCATTGTGGAGTGGATTGTTTCCGTCATTATCAAGTAGATTGCAATCTGCACCATAGGACATCAAACTCTGCATAGATAAGCAATTAGTTAGTCAGATACGGAACGTAAATCAACTAGAATTTTGGGTAAAAAAATTTAATCTTCATAGTATTCTGCGGCCCATTGTCAAATGCAGGTAAAATATGTTCATTTGATCAATTGATTTATTTTTGTTTAATTATGCAGTATTTTTCAAAAAAATATATATCTGAATCTGATTTCTAACATACTGGTACATATTAGTTTAGGCACTAATAACTATTTTCTTAAAGAAAAAACATGATAATTTATGAGTTGATTCTCGGTAAAAATTACTATTATTCAAAATTCAGAATATTTCAATTTATCAGCCTTATGGTGGGTTACATAAGTGGGTTTGATTTTGAGTGCTTGTAACATCCAATACCTTGACTGTTGAAAACAAATTAATGAAGACCGAAATTAGGCATGAAGACCATTAGAGAGTGTATGTATGTATGTTTATTTGTCTCAAAAATGTAACAGTCAGTATCTGCATAATAAACAAACGGTATAACAGAGACAGTATACGTGTCCAGGACCCTCCTGGCTCCAGACACAGATGTGCGACACCCCAACATGTATAACTGCAGTTTAGGACTGCTGCGTTATAGTAGGACAACAGACATGAAATATACAAATGAAACTCAGTAAAATATACAAGACAAAGAAGTACGAAACAAGGGCGATATGTATAATAGTCATTTTGTGGCACATTCATGTCCCAGGTTCCGGTGAAAAATATGGAAATAAGGTATAAGTTACCCTTTGATGCGTTATGCCAGTGATGTGCACTCTAAGAAACTTTGTACAGAGATCTCTACAAAAATGACTTATTGGTAATCATAGACACTGCTATCAAATTTTATTTTTAATCAAAGTTGAATTCTCACCTTTACAGCTTCAAAACATCCTTTTGATGCAGCAAAATGGAGAGGTGAATGTTTCTTTCTATCAATTATATTAGGATCAGCTCCTTTGCTCAGTAAAGCTTTTATCACTGGGACGCAATCTGATGCACAAGCTATAGAGAGAGTACTTCGGCCAGTTACCTAGTAAATAAAAATGTAATGTAACAATGATTTAAAGTAGTAATACATGATGAGTATAAGAATTATTTTTGTGTTGTGTTTGGATATTAACATCATACTGACGATTCTTAACAAAGTAATTTGAGTCTTGAAGAACTTCGTAATACCACGATCAAGGCAACAATGTTCATGTATAACAGGGGTCGTCAACCTACGGCCCACGGGCCGGATCCGGAGTAATGTAATCCGGTCCGCGGCGCTTCACCGAATTATAGTAACGGAACAGCTGTTTTGACAATTATATTCTTTACGTACCAGAATTTATTGTGAGACACATGTAGACTGAACTATAATATAATCCAACAAGTATAAAATTCACAATTACTCGTTTAATGAGCCTATAATTTAATCATGATCAGACAAATGGCAACAAAATGCAGAAAAGTTGATGCTGAGTGCAAAGGGTTCAATGGCGTCAAAAATATTTAAATAGCAATTTTTGAGATGCAATGCAAGGAGGAAAAAAATCTATATTCTGTTCGAGATATGTATCACTCATTGATTTTTATTATAAAAAGTATAATCCGTTGGCTTTTCAACTTTCTAAAAATATGTGCGGCCCGCTAATGATTTGAAACTCTTAATTTTGGCCTGCCATCGACAAAAGGTTGCCGACCCTTGATGTACAACACGGACCAAACTTTCATGATTCATGGTCCTGTTTCAAAGATTCTCAACATTCGTGGCCTGTGCTCTTCTATATGAAATATCTAATTATGCTTTAACTTTTCATCAGGTATATTTTATGTACCATGTTTAATAATAATAAGCCAATCAATGAAAATACAAGAATAAAGAATTGATTGAACAATTCACAGTAAATTAACTTCAAATGAATGCAGTCATCATGAATGGTGCCTAACGGGGGCCTTTGCTTGTGGCACGAAGCGAACTGGGCATTCTGGAAGTATTCATACCAAGATGACGCACAACCTGAACAAGCCCGACCTAGTACAATACTATGTTCAGGTTGTGTGCCATTTTGGAACAAATACTTCGGGAGCACCGAAAACTGTGCTATGACCTTTCCAAAGAAAGCTGAGGGCCCAGTTCAACAAACTCTGACATAAACCAATATACTATGTTGTTTCATATTATAGTCGACAAATGAAAACCTTACTTTATTGACTGCATTCGGATTTGCTCCTTTCTCTAACAAGAGTAAACAAAGTTCTGCGTTTTCAGTTGCCTCTTGACATGCCAAAGAAAGTGCCGAATCACCATTCTCTGTGACATTGTTCAAATCTACCGCACGACTAAGCACAATGTCCAAACACTTTTTATGGCGCTTCGTCGCACAAATGCAGTAGAACATGACATCTGTAATCAGAAAAATTGATTGATCTTATTTATCATGTCTGTTATATCGAAGACATGAAGAGATGAAAATTGCTGAATATGATAGCAATATTATGGCCTCTTATCTGAAGTGACCAAGGTCTCATGTAAAGTAGTCCTGGTTAGGAATAGCTTAAGAAGGGATGTGCAACAAGCGGCCCGTGGGCCATAACCCGGCCCGCAAAGCCATTTAGTGTGGCCGTTGTCAACCCTCAGATTTTTCCCCATCAAGCATAAAATCCTAATCTGACAGTTTATTTTTAAAATGGCGTTCACATGGGTAAAAATACATAATGATTTTTGGTCTTGTCTCTTTCCCAATGCTTTTATTACTACAAGGCTGAGTGATAGGTGTATTGTCTCTTGCCTTTCTCACAGCGCTTTGGCTGTAGCTTATATGTTAATTCGTTTGTACATAGAAAAACTAATTTTTTTGTTGTTGTGGCCCAGCTAGATATCTGAAGATAGTTATATGGCCCACCAACAAAAAATGATGCAAAAAATCTTTACGGTTCGACGTTGCTTACCAATTACTTACACCCTAATGAGGTGGATTTGAACCCAAGATGTTTGGCCTGCAATGCTAACGCAGTTGAGACTAACACTTTAGCTGCAAGGCCATCATGTCTACAAATGTTAGATATCAAATGTACGCACCCACAATCTCAAATATGTTTACCAAAAACAGGTGACCTATAATAACATAATGGTAACAAAACAAAGCAATTTGAAAACACGCGTCAACCTTAAGCCAGCATTCATAATCAAGAAGAGAGAGAATTTCATTGTTGCATTGTTTGATTATTAAATGCCCATTATTACGGAACAGTCACACAATGGAGCAAACCTTTAATGACTCTTGTCAAAAGATTTGTTTGATATGTTGTGACGTCACAATCATTTTACATTGTTATGATAACAATAGTGTGACTAAATCAATAAAATTTTATTGTTGAATCATATTAGGTAGCAGAATTCATATTAATATGAAAAATATTCATAAAAGTATTTTTTAGAAAACAGATTAATATCCTAAGTTAGTATTAAAGTTCCATTATTCTATGTTTTAAGTGTGTATGTAATATAATTGAAAACGTTTTAAAAAATTACATCTAAATTAAAAAAGATTCTATTCCATTTTTTTAACAAAGATGGACAAATATATCATTTCAAACCAAAAGTGATGATCGCACTAAATCATGATTTTGCGATTTAATTGACACCCAATTTTGCTTCCCCATATAGAGAAAGCTATTAAGACAAAATTGCCATAAATCACCTCTTCCTTCTACATCTCTCATTCTCATGTCAGCTCCTGATTTAGCAAGAAGTGTGACCGTTTTGTCGTGGCCATATTCAGCTGCTTTCATTAATGGCGTGCGACCTGTTATTATAAAAGATTCAGAAGTCAAGTTTATATATGAAATTGACTAATCCAAGGGGTTCTCAACCTTTTACCTGTCATGAAACAATCAACCCAAACCCCCAGTAATCAGACACCAAATAAAGTTGTAATATATTGACTAACAATTTTTAAATTGTATTGCAAAGGTGTGTGACTTCTGTCCCTGTTTATTGCGCAATTTCCTCTAGGAGCAAAGGATATTAAAAAATAGCAACGAATAAAAACTCAACTGCCATCTAAGTGCTCCTGAAAATCTTCCTGTGAACCCGGGTTCATGAACCCCAGGTTGAGAACCCCTGGACTAATCAGATAATATTGTTCAAAGCAAGGTTGTAAGTATTTCTAAATGGGAACCATTTTGCTCCCTACTTTTCAATGGATTCTTGTATAGAGCCTTGTTTGGATTGAAATTTTTAACGATATAATAGATTATTAAACACGAACACTCAGGGTAGATATATTTACTCATACATGAATGGTTAAAATCCAAGAAAATTTTAAAATAATAGACATATAAGACTCAGCTAATATTTTTGAGATAATGAATTTTTGGATATATTTAAGAATATGTTTAGTGTATGTTTTTTCAAGTTTGAAAAAGACTCTTCATACAGTACATTCATGATTTACAATTGTTACAGGGGGCATGCCATCTCCACTGTTTGTAAACCCTGAGTGATGGATGAGTCAAGTCAAGTTATTGGTCACCCTCGTCTGGAGATTAGCTTAGTGCGAGTAATTTCGGTCGAATGATGCGAGTCAGTACGAGTGACTCAGGCCGATCTCAAGTTGAGTAAAATACTCCCCAATCATAGTCTCTTCTAGCACAAAGCCTATTTAAAGGGTTTTGAGAAAAGTTTTGAAATCCATTCAAACCTTTAAAATCTTGAACATTGGCAAATGCTCCCAAACTCAGCAAATATTTTGTCATATTTGCGTTGTTAGATTTTGCAGCTAAATGAAGAGCACATTCACCTTCTTGGGGTTCTTGATAGTTGATCAACCTATAACGATAATACAACTGTTTTCAGAGCCGAGGAAAGAAAGAGAAAAATGGCAGAGCAGTTAGAGGACTTGATATTATTTTCAGATTCAGTGAAGCATGGGCCCTGAATAGGTAAATGTATTTCAAACTTGACATATTCTTGCGTTGATATTAGTATCATCTACTGATCTAGCTTGGATACTCAAAGCTAAGTCGAAACAATATTAATTAGGTATAATAATAAAAAGTGGTCAAAAACCTAATTTTTAAATGTGATCTGTGATTTGGTGTTTTGCACAATCTATCTCAGTTATTTATTTATTTTTTTGGACATAACTATTCATAAAACAAATTATAACTAATGCTTTAATTCAGTATGGCCGAAGATTTCGAAATTAGGATAAGATTTTCACATTTATCCCTGAAAGAGAGGAAATCCGATTACGCGTCTACATCAAATGGCGAAGCAGTTATTTTGTGCGGGTATCAATCGGGTATGAAAATAGTTAACCAGTTATTTGTTTCAGATGTGTGGACTTTGTTGTAGAGGAAGCTATAAACAATGAGCGGTTAAATTAAAAAAACTTACATGGGTATGCCTTGCGTACAAAGCTTAGAAATTTGCACTGTGTCTTCTTGCCGAACACATTGTAGTAATTTATAAATCTGAAGAACTTCCAATCTCGATTCTGCAGTTACAGCCATTGTTGTACTCCAATGATGATGTCACAATGTAATATATGATGTCACAATATAGTGACAATACGCAGATACTTCTTTTAAAAATAGTTCAAGATGTATTTCTTGTTGTTCATGTCACTGAATCTGGTGTTGCCATGGTTTTTATATTTAAACGAAACTTTTATGCCTGAAAAAGCAAAAATAAATACATTGACTGGAATATTCTATATAAGGCATATTAGTATTATATTTGAGTGATTTTTGAACAGGGCTATTTCGTGCAATCCCCTCATATTGCCTTCACAACTTCACTATTTCGTAAAGTCCACCGAGATAATACTATTGTCATATTAAAAGTTTGTTTTAAATTTTCTGGCGCAAACGACTTAAATTGCTAAAAGCGCCCTATACTTTCGCTAGACACACAAAGCATATTTTAAATGCGGTAGTTTCCGCTCCCGTTGCCAGCCGACCAGCTGCGGAATCAAGACAAACTGCTACCCTATGTTCTCATATTAACTATTCCAGCTTATGGATCTCTACACTCTACACAAATGGCAATACTGGATAAAAACTTTGTGCAATAAAAGACGTATCATAAGAAGACTCTTTAAAACTTGGAATGTTATTCTGAAGTTCCTTATACTCAAGAGGAGTTAATCAAATATTACGTCTCTTCCAATCTTTATCGGCGTTAGTAACTAACGATGTACAACATACTCCCGATTACTTGCATTAGGAATTTATAGCACATATTTAAGACATTTATTGGACCTTTTTTCTTTATCTAATCTAGCATTTGCATAAATTGGGTCACTCACTCTATACTAAACGGTATGATTACCGCGCATTAGCCGTTCTAAACTGGTTCAGTTCGATGGAAGGACAAAAGTTGGCGTAAAATCAGGGAACTTCACTCGACTTCTATAATAACTGATATAATTCTCGTGTGGCGCTATTATGCACAGATGTGACTATATGGACAAAAACTTTTCCTACGATCTAAGACTATGCCAAAAATTTTCAAGCATCCAACCCTCTCGATTATAAAAGCAACACATTCAAAAATTAAACGCGATAAAAACCCACAAAAAGCCGCCCTACACTCACAAAAGTCACCTATGACGAACAGAACAAAAGGCTCAGCTGTAACAATGCTGTGGTTACAATATTGTGGAAATTTACGTCCGGACCTGGCATGGACAGCCGCAAACAACTTTCTGATTTAGTAACAGTTCGTGACTGGCCGGTAATATTCCAAGTCTCACCTCTTAAGAAAACATATCGGATTTCTAAATTCGACCTATTGAAGGCGATTGCATAATACAATACGGCTGTTGCGGGTTTTCAAGTACACTTAAATGAACGGTTATACGATTGTTTGGTGTGAATGGATCTCTATATCCCCGTAAATCGAAGCAGGCGAATCAAGGCCTTAAATACACACATTGATATAGCCTTGAAGTTTATCAATGAGTTTACGCCTGTCTGCGGCCTGGAACGCACACTACACAGTCTGAAATACTCGATCATTTTTTATTTTTTTTATACGACTGTTTTTTGCGCATTCCGCTCCGAACTAGGTGCTATGCAAGCAGTCATTTATATTAACAATATGCGAGAAGCGACTATCAATTTTCGGTACTTTCGTAGTATGTGCAACAAGATGGCGGACACCGGAACGTAGTATGTGTATCAGATTAGGGTTAGACCATAAATCCCAGTACAAATACTACGGCAGTAACTTAGCTAGTCCCCGAACTCGTCCCCGTCCCCGGCCTAACCCTAACTTGGTACACATACTATGTTCAGGTGTCCGCCATCTTGTTGCACAAACTACGGAATTACCCAATTTTCTGGTATAAATTCAGTTTATGTCAGTCCGTGAAAATACACTGGACAGTCTAAAATACCCAGTCAAATCTTGTTTATACGACGCTTATTTGCATCTTTTTGCTTAGTTGCGCGGAATAGAAGGCCATGTGAGCTCCAAAAAAAAAGATTTGAGTGGAAAATAGAAAAGAACACAACATTTTAATACTTATGCAGTGCGCGGCAGAACGAAAGTACTGCGCGGAGATTCTCGGCCAGCTGATAAACAAGAAGCTATACTATAAATTCAAGTAAAAATTTCTGACCAACCGATATCACTTTCTCTAACCAGATCAGTAACAGGACAAGCGGGGCATAAAAAGCCGCTCAGCTGCTCTTTATAAGGGCGTTCCGCTCTAAAGAGGCTTTAGATAAAAACTGATATCAAATTGAGTTCTACCTTTTCTTTATAGGGTGTTAAATAATTTCGCTCCAAGTAATACTTCGGTAACTGATATTAAGGCAGTCACAGTAAAAATGGAATCCCATCTTAAACTAGAATCCAGAAAATAAAATTTAAAATCGTTTGCCTATTTTCCCTTTATAGGGGCGTTTAACAACTTCTCTCCGAACAAGACTCTAAACAACAATTGGTATTCGGGCAGCCTCAACAAAAATGAAATCGTATCTTAAATTTGAATCAAGAAAATCAAATCTAAAACTTTTTGCGTGTTTAGTCCTGGCACAATTCAGTTCTACATTTTCTTTAGGGCGTTTCATAATTACGCGACGAACAAGGCTTGAAAGCCACTATGGTTTGAGCAGACCGGACCTCAAATTTGTACAAGACTAGTAATAAGAAATACAAATGAATCTTATAATTTTTAGCACTCTACGTATGGGCTAACTTTTAAGTGAACAAAACAGTTGAACTCTCTGCCGATACAGCGAAAATCAAATGCGTGTTTAGTGGTGGTATCTTGGCATAAAATTTACTTCTACTTCCCTTTATTAGGCGTTTCACTACGGACATCTTTCTTTTCATTTCGCTACGAACGCAGCCCCAAAACACTATATCGTTTCCGAGACAAGAATCAATATTTCCAAAAGAATCTTATATTCTATTTCTATAATATTCTACCTATATGCTAACTTCTACACGAACAAAACAGTTGAACTCTCCGCCAATACGGCGCTCTGTGAGTGGCATCACCTGATGCTTCTATACTTCAGATATCGTATGAGTTGCTACTCGTATCATTCGTATCCATTCTCAGAAACTACCTTCACAATATATTCTATAAAGCAAGGGTCGTATAATCAGCACTGAAAGTATACATGGCCCATGCCTGTGGGTGCTTATTCACTTTTATTGCGACCTACTCTGTTGACTGAACGAGTTGGTCGCGTCGGGCTTAATGAAAGACAAACACACTTGAGCAAACGTTACTATCGGATTTAGGGGTTTAACTTAACGATATCGCTTACGTAGGATATATAAAAAAAGTTCACGTACTCATATACAACAATAATAGTTTTTAGGAATTTCATTATTTGTCGTTAAAAAAACCTCCAGGAAACCTTATATAAGACAAAGATTTTTCTACGGTTGCTAAAAGTCAAAGCCGTATGGAAGAGGAAAGTAATCAAAAGCGAAATGCTAAATGTTGTTATTAACTCATTAACAACATTTAGGGAGACGATTCTGAATTTTTGTCTCGGGTTGAGCCATAGCAACGCCAATGGCCTGTATGCCAACACATATCAACGGCATAAGCCGCAATTTGCTTCGAAAACGTCTTCAATAAATCACCTTACAATAAAATACACGACTTCTTTACATTTTCATTCACCTATGCTTGTTTTTATTTGAACAGATCATCATTTATTTGCACAAAATATCGCATAAAGTTCACAATTTATTAGAACATGTTTTCTCTTTCCACTCGAGGTTACTTATCGGAAACCTAATTTATATAGCTATAACCACGGCAATATCATTTCATGACTCACAAACATAGTCGCAATGTTTGATGTTGAGTTTTATTATATTGTCAGAATATTGACATCGCAGTAACTCTTGTTCTTATAATGAAAATATATTACATAATCGATAATATAACTAGTAAATCTTAAAACCGATGAAATTTTTGTGTCAGTGTATAAAACTCATTTTTGTTTGAATTATTTTTATATAGAAAGTAGAGATGTACCAATGTATCGGGTATCGGCAATATTGGTCATTTTTTCGGTATCGGCCATGTATCGGTATCGGTTAGATGAAGGCCGATATATTTACTTTTTTGATATGGTCCAGAATGTTTTAAAAGATAAGTTGTAATACTACTTTTTAATTTATTTTTTGTCTGGAGAGATCGTGAGCTATGAGCCATACATGTCCCCACCCCCTCGAGAGAATAGCTATTTATCAGCCAAACTAGCTCAACTAAGTTGGGTATTTTCGCTGTCAAATTTTTATATTGACATTTTTAATATTACATAGTAATTATGAAAAAATATTTCAACACAGCACATAACAAAAAGCAACTAGGCGCCCAGTTTTAAATCATACAGTGGAATTGGGGTCCTTATTAACGGCACATGCACTTTTGTCGTCAAGTACGAGTGTCATTTAGTCCGTCGACATCGATAAACTGAATTCCGACACAATTATCCCTCTACGCAGGTATCAATTTTAATTTTGTTTACCTACACAATTACTTTATAGATATGTTGACATGATCGCCTAGCCTAGCCCTAGACTGTCTCAAAATATATGATAGCAATTGTAAAATATTATAAATAATACTCGACGGTTATAGGTAGTCCTTCTTTTTGTCGGTGCTGATTGATATTCTTTATGTTGGCTTTTGTAAAATGCTTTCAATTTGAACGTAGGACGGCGGCGCTAGAATGTGTGGGTGATATTCGATATTCTTTTATTAAACACGAATAACGTATTCGAAGGTCGCGATATTAACATTAAATTCAAATTGGACATCCCGGCTTATGAGTTTTCTAATTGAACACCAAAATTACTAGCGTTACTGTACAATGTATCTTAATAATCAGTTAAAGCAAACACCAAACATTAATTTCATATTATGTGATATATCTTTTTTTCGATCTGAAATAATGTGTACTATGAACAACGCTCAAAGACCATTGTTTTATCCCGTCAACCCTACACAGCACACCTAAGTGAGTAATATTTACATAGTATCGGTATCGGAATATCGGTAATATCGACCTTTTTGTAGTATCGGCGTATCGGTATCGGCGATTTTAGCTGGTATCGTATCGGTATCGGCGACAAAAGTGGTATAGGTACGTCAACACAAAGCAGCATTTATCACCATTTCCAGACTAGCCTACTTATTCCACCAAATCATTCCGTGAACAAGTGTTCATTTACATGAAACACTGTACGAATTGGCAGTACATAGTTTAGTACGGCTACTTCCTATATGACGGCGCAATGCGCATCTAATTCAATTAAATTCGTGTTTGTTAAAACACATAAAATATTCACTTTTAAAAACAGTATGACGTCACAATATTTCGGCTCGCTATAAATTAATCCGCGGCAATTTAACATGCAAATAACAGTGATGTTAGTGAGTAACAGCGAGTTATTATTATAATTTCCATTTACAGTAGAAACCCTACCTACGAAAGGCCATGGATACAAAAAATCTAACTTACGAAAATTATTTTCGTGAAAATAAGATTTTTCACATACGAAAGGCCTTTACTGTTTTCACTGCCTATTCTGAGGATTTATTAATCATTGTAGTTGCTTCTCGGCCTGGCGTTGTTCAAGTCTATATTCTATTTGAAATTTTTCCTGAGTGGAGCAGAGTACATTCTTACTCAGGTGCCCACGAACATAAATTGCTACAATTATTGATACTCACTTAAAATTGAGAACCAGCGTTTTCGAGCAAAATATGGGACGAGCGATGCTTAAAACGAGACGTTCAATTTCACATGCAAATAATGACAGACACAGCAGTATCGTTCAGGTACTATCGCAGATAACAATTTGAAGGGGAAAGAGCAACTTGTTAAGAACAATTGTAATCATCGCTAATAGATAGCCGGTCAGAACGCAAAGCGAATTTATGTTCCTTTGCGAAGAAATACAGACATGGTTAAATTGGTGACCGTGCATTTGAACCCATGTACATTTGAACCCATGCGTATATCCACGGGTTCAATCTATATGTGGGTGCTAAAACCCATGGGTTAGGGTTAGTATGGTTTTAACTATCCGTGAAACAAAAAAAATTCCATAGGTGCAACAGCATACAGGTGCAATTGTCATGGGTTCAAATGTACGTGGGTTCAAATGTAATGGAACCGGTTAAATTATATATATAAAGTTGCAATATATATCTCGCTCCGAATTCTTCAACGGATATTATCCCTTCCCAGTAAGCAAGGACTTCGTAAAATTTATTGTTTACTGTAAACATGCAGAACATTATATTAATACAATATCAAATTCCATTGAGTTCATTTTGTCAAAATAAAAACATAATGAGATCTATTTTTAACAACAGAACAAAGAATGCGGGTAACAAAATGAAAAATTGCACTGACTATTACGGTAACTCTTGCCTTAGTTTCACGAATACCGCTATTTAAAAAAGGGCCGTACAACGAGCATCGAGCGCTTACTGGAAGAAAGCGTTCCGAGTAAATCATACAATTTTTTTGTTTACTGTCTATTTCAAATTGACAAACTAGTCATATTCATGGAATGAGGAAAAGTTCCCCCGCATTGTAAGTTTACATATGCCCAGGGAAGGTGACTTTTGGGAATCAATTATTGTACATTTAACTTCAATGTTATATACAGGGTGGCCCAAAAGTAGGTATACAGTTATTTTATTTATTTTTTATTACCTTCGAAGCAGCTAGAAAACTAATGTAAAATTCACACTTGATTTATTATCTAAAAAAATAAGCAATTTTTGTGGTACAAGTAATATAAAGTGAACTGCAAGTAGCTTTAAAGCTTATAGAATAGTTTAATAACTGTATACCTACTTTTGGGCCACCCTGTATAGCAACATGCCCCACGGTTTTTGCTACGAATTACAACTTTTTATCTTGGTTGGAATTTCATAATTATGAGAAGAGGAAATGCGAAATAACATCATCCCAATAAGGTCAACCACGATCTATATGTGGGTTTTTCACAATTAGGTTCTATAATTTGGTTTTTTACAGCGCACTAATATTTAGCCTACAACTACTGTCTAATTCCGTATTGTGAATAGTGTACATCAGAATTTCTAGTTGAGTACATTAGAAAGCGCATTGTTCCTGCTCAAACATTGTTTGACTTATATTATAGTCAGAATTAACCACGCTCTACTCTTGAACGCCATCTTTGCTCCAGGGCAATGAAGCTCAAATGTGAAGTGAAAGCATATTTCTTAAAAACATTGAAGGCACAAATACAAGTTACGCACCTCCGCTAGCTTCTTTTTATTTATAGGATGTCCATAAAGTCTTCAAATTTTTTAAAATTGCAAAGGAAATACCACAGATAGCGTTACCAAAGCGATACCACATATTGTTTTGACCCTCACATTTGTATTACATGAAGTTAAAATACTTGAACAATTATTGATTAAAAAACAGAAAACCTGGTTAAGATATATTGAAAACTGACTTCATAACAAAATAAAAAATGTAAAGGACTTTATGGATACTCTGTATATATTCATATTGTTATATTTTCGTATTCAAGTATTGAAAAAAATTCAATGCCAATTTCGCCTCAAAGCAATTGAATCTGCCTAGATACGGCTTTCACTTAACGACTCTATCCAAAAATAACACAAGATATATCGCAATTAGAAGACCAACGAAAGGACTTGCGCGACCTTCGTCTAATAGTTCGTCTGGATTTGAGTCAGGTATCAATATCATTTACTGGAAATCAAAATCTTTTGAGTATTATATATCAACACATGAAATTCGATATTCCATTATGACAAAACAATTGTTACACAGATTTTCCTTCGTTGACTGAAAAAGCAAATTTAAAATAGGAGCGACAAATGTTTTAATGCTCAGGGCTCTCGCTTCATTCACGCGCGCCTTATTAGCAATTAAAGCTGGAAAATTTGTTTAGAGAATTCTGAAACGACGTATCATAAGTCAAAGAATGCTAAAAAAACTTAAGAATTCTAAGAAGACCAGGCATTTTGTCCCATCCTCAGTCAAGTAATTCTCTCCGCTTTATAATTTCCCACAGGATGCGATTCCAAACGCGCAAAATTACGGATGGTAATGATTGTCGCAATGATAACAAATGCAGTGTGCAATCGTTCTGAGAGGAGCACAACACTCAAACCGACTAGACGGGAAGATGTGCATGGTTACTTACCTAGTTTCACAGATTGTGGACTATAAAGATTTACAGAAACTTTAGGATAGGATATACATATTTATCCCGGGCGATAAGACGACTTATTCATATGGCGAACCACGGTCGTTCGGTTACCATTCCATGTCGGGTATGGGATTAGTTGGTTATTTGTTTTCGGAAGCATGTTCTTCATGGTGGAGGAAGCCGTAACCGACCAGCGGGTGAACGACCCTATGGCGGCGACCAGTCGGGCAATCCTCTCGCACGTAACCATCCCCGCATGGGATTCGAACCTGCGCACCCACACAGGGTAGTCAGAGTTGCGGTGGCGAGTGTATTCCTAACGCTTAGCACGATGAGCCACACCGTCGCGTCAAATAAAACATGCTTTAATTTAAAAACTGCGGAATATACACAAATATAAAATAGATATTTCTAATATTTTCGATTGTTAGCCAGGATTTCCGAAAGAATTTGAATTTGCCCACACTCTATCACAAGGCCGAGTATAATGGACGTGTCGGGAATTCGAAAGAAATAGGCTATATTACGAATATGTCAGACAGGCCTCAAAAAGTGAAAAAATTGATGAAGGAGATTGTTTGTGGCATAAAAAAGAAAAACAGGGGACACCCGGATTTGAACCAGGGACCTCTCGATCTGCAGTCGAATGCTCTACCACTGAGCTATATCCCCACGAGAGCAACAACTTGTTTAAATAATATATAACATCATACAAAAAGCCGCGGGCGAAAATTTTGAACAAAAAGCGAGAGCGTTACGTTTGTTTTGATATGAATGAATGCCCGTGATATTATACGGATATAGACTTTAATCAAAGCATGTGCCTGTGTTTTAAATACAGAATTTATGGATACATGGAAATATGATTTAAAGTACTCACCCAAATTTATCCCCAGGTACTCCAGAGCGCATCTGAGCGCAGAGCGCTCTGCGGCCTAGGGCCGATTGTAGTCACATATTTTCATGATTTTTGACAGTTTCTCAATTTTGTTTATATTAAAACTGTGATGTCACAAAGTAATCATACGCCTCGATAATCAAACAAAAATTTTGATGGTTTATTTTCGATGTTAACAATACATGTTGTAAGAAAATTGAAGAAAATATTTATTTTCCGTATTTAACGGATCCATAAAAGTTTATTATTCAATTGAATATTCAAATTAAAAAAAAAAAAACTAGAGCTTTTCACGAATCCACGGTATCTGACGTCAAATTCAGAAGGACACGAAATATGTTGCAACCTGCGAAGGCTCTTACGGTTCGGTCGCGTGGCGCAGTCGGTCGACGTGGAGGCCGATTTGCTGGCGGTCGTGGGTTCGAAACTGAGGTCGGCGCTAGTCTTTCATTGTAAAGGATCTTTGGGAGTTCCCCAAGAGAAATCTGAATTGCTCACGAACGAGAATGGTAAATCCCCTCGTTAATAAAAATGAGAAAATTTCAAAGGATTCAGTGTTATGCTAGAATTTCTGGATTTGGGGAAAACAATAATTCTGTAATGCATCACATTGCTGTATTAGCTACACGTGTAGTGTAATGTCAGAAAGGTAATGCAGCATTTTGTTTCTGTAAAGGTATTTTTTAACTCTTTTAATAATCTGGAGCCGAAATTTTGGATTGAATGATAATCTAGGTCTGTGAGTCAGAATTTCAGGCAGAAGGGAAAATTCGTTAAGTCTGTAATTTGACTAAGCATACTCAGACAAATGAAGGAGGCTCACATACAGACATATGCCAACATTTTTTATCATAGCCTATTTTTGGGGGTGCTGATCCTGTGATCTGCAGTTGATCAGCATTTACTGATTTATCTTAGTTGGGTGTGAATTTTCTTGAATGCACAGCCTTCGAACATAAGTAAAGAAGAATTATTATGGCTCCCGAAGTATGCGAACCAAGATGGCGGACATCAGAATGTAATATGTGTACTAGGTCAGGGTTAGGCCATAATTTTAAGTATAAATACTACGGGAGGCTCTTGGCTAGTCTTCGAACTGATAATAGAACTAAAGTAAGGAAAATTGGAAAAAAATTATCGCCTAACCCTAACCTGTTACCCATGTTACGTTCCGATGTCCGCTATCTTGGTTCGCATACTTCGGGAGCACCGAATTATTTCTGTGTAAATTTATGGGCGACCTACAAAATGCCAAGGGCTTGTGAAATTATATAGAAACATATATCTCATGCATAGTCTTGATCTCTAATCAATATTGAAATATGTGCTTCTGCACCTTCAGTATAATAATTTAACTTATCGAAACACTCTTACGCGTTGTCTTTACAAAATTGTTTTTGTAATTTTTCTTTCCCATTGATTTTATTATTTTCTGTCTTCCATGTTTGCATGTATTACAGTATTAATTCATCCAGCTAGATAGTCAGATAACGAATATTTAAAAATTAGAGTGAAAATTCACACTCTTTATAACTCATTATACAGCTCAATTAGCACAAAAACATGAAAAAGGTATAGGTAGGCCTAGTTGCTTCAAATGTTGTAAGTACTTTTCCATTAGATTCTGATTGAAAACACCAGTAATTTATACTAGGAACTGTATGTAAATTACTGTATATACTCAAATTGTTTTTGAACATGCCGAATGTTTTTTCAAATTAACAGCTTCAATTGTTATGTCCAATAATCTTCTAAGTTTAGGAAAACATTTTGTGTGTGGAACCAAGATTATCAGATTGAATCTTTATTCTACTGTGACAAAAGCAATGTCAAATCAAAATATCAAGGTCATTCATTTACCAGAGGAGAAGCAATTTATTGCGGAAATTGGGGAGTCTAAGGAAAAAGCACATATAGATTATGAAGTCATTGGAGATGGAATATGGGACCTTCAACATACTCTTGTACCCGAAACTTTTCGAGGACAAGGAGTTGCAAAAGTTTTGGCAAAGTCGGCTTTCGATCATGTTGTAAAAGAAGACTTAAAAATGAAATTAACTTGCTGGTATTTGCAAGGATTTGCAGACAAAAACCCTGAATATAAAGATAGAATCGTAAATTAGATTTGTTTTATCAAGATTATCCAAATTGTGCAATGTGTTTAAATTTGCAAAGTCTAATCAATTAACAGTCCACAAAATACAAGTTTGATTTGTGAAATTATATTTTATTCTTGTGTTAGGCATGGTTTATGAACCGTCAAATCAAATGTATTTATAATTCAAGGATATGCAATTATTATTTTGAAATCTAATTTTAATAATTATGATTAAAGGTGATTATTTGAGTGTTTGGGTTTTCAAAATCTCAGTCTTTATTTTCTATCATATTTGCTTCAAGTTGAGTCTTTGATGATATTTAATCATTATCGGTTTCATTAGACACCAAACACTCTATGTTTGGTCACCCTATGTTGAAATTTATTCTCTCTTTATTGTGGATTATATTTAAATGAGTCGAAGTTTTTGTCACTTAAACCGACACATCACCATTTACCGGTAATTGTGTTATTTTTGTGAAGGTCAACAGCTCGTCTTTTTTTCTGTAATATTTGATATGTACATTGTAGCATTTTGTGCATTTTAATATTATTTTAAATGCCCCAAATTTCAATTTGCAGTTTTTCAAATTATCTGTGAGAAATTTATGTGTTACTGTTAATTTATTTCAATTATATTTTACAGATCATGTGAATGAATTTTAATTTTCCTCTAACATTAGTTGAAAAAGTGAAATTACTTTGTAGCTTATTACTGAAACTGTAAAACTTGAAGATGCCTAAGACATGCCCCCATTGCAAGTGTAGCGAGCTAGATGTGGACCCTGCTCGAGGGGCCACCGTGTGTATGGGATGTGGCACTGTCCTCGAAGAAAATTCAATTGTCTCCGAGGTTTCGTTTATGGAAAATGCTGATGGTTCATCTTCTATGGTCGGTCAATTTGTGTCCGGAGAAGGTATGTCTATACATTTATTTTCGCTCGAAAAAATATAATATAATCAATTAAAAATATCAATTATTAGAAGCTGAGTTATTATAAGTGAATTATTATGAGCTTTATGTCTGCAGATATGTTGGAATTCAAAGTGAAACATTGACGAAATACATTAATTCTAAGTTTTCTAAGGGTGTTTTTGTATGTATTTTGTCATTAGATTTATTTTTTAATGCCCTCCTCGTCATTCTGTTCAAGATAAGACAATGAGCCATGAATATCAATCTCCTATAATACTCTGTATTATCTGAAAAAAGTTTCCATACAAACTACAATTAAATTGAGTAACTCTGTTTGAGATAGAAATTTCATCTTATCATCTACTTTATCAAATTCAATCTTTAAACTATGCTTAAATTTCTTCAGGTGCAAATAAACCTCATTTTGCGGGATTACGACATGGCATCAGCAAGGAATCTAGGCAGATGACATTGGACAGAGGTACATTATTGATTATTTAGTTACTATTCATTCTTTCAATTCAAGGTCACACACACTCACATAAGTGAATGAGACTCGCGAGCGAAGCTGCAAGCAGCCAACAAAATGACTAAAATAGCGTGAGACTTGAAGAAGTTAAGTCAATGCAGTCAGGATGGCAACTATGTTTCGGCTGATTTTCTTAACCCATGATTGTACATCTACTTAAATCCAGTTAACAAGAAAATTTTTTGCAATGATCCCTTTTCTCTATTGAGAACCTTACTTAGGCATTACTGTAAGCACAGACTCGTAAAATACACTTGGATATAGTAGTATATAGAGTCAACAACAGTTAGAGTTCTCAACCGAGGGCCCGTGGCCCCACAAGTGAGTCACAGAACAGTTGGAGTGGGGCCACAATGCAAGGCGCAAACTTCACTTTACAAGAAAACTTCCTGTTCTTCCTAGTTTCATTGCTTGATAAGGTTATTTCACATGGTGTTTTCACTTAGTTGAGCATGAATTGTTTGAACATAATGAGATTTAGAATCTACCAATCAAAATAGCACTAGAAATACTACTGGAATGATAAACAGCGGGGCCATGAGTGCCAAAAGCCTCCGGAGGGGGGGACACAAGACATAAAAGGTTGAGAACCACAGTTCTAAATCCTCTTTGTTGGGCATGGCTTGTTGTAGGAGCTTTGATACATATTTATCATCTACGTATGGGATTTGAACCAGGGCTATCTCCACCAGTCCAATGCTCATCAGCCAGTCATTGTTCACCGACTGGCAAAGCGAATAGTTAATCTTGGAATAGCTGAACAAAATCTTTTTAAATTGTATATATAAGTTTATTAATTCCCAAATCAATTTTCTGCAGGAAAGCGTGAAATTAGAGAAATGGCTTCCTCTCTTCATTTGAATCAACATTGCATTGATACTGCGTTCAACTTCTTCAAAATGGCAATCAATAAACGTTTGTCTCGAGGAAGAAGAATTCAGCACATCGTTGCAGCTTGCCTGTACATGACTTGCAGAATTGTGGGGACTCCTCGTATCCTTTGTAATTATTGTAAAACCAAGTCTAGCTATTTAGGACGTACGGGATTTCAAATAAATTGTTTAAAGTAAAGTCACTCGCACTCAATCAAAAGCGTAGTAGACTCATCTCCAAGAGCTACAGAATTCATATTTATGCCATTGACGAGAGACGCTGAGGACTTCCAAGTCAACCATTATGGGGTGTATAATTAGACCTAACTGAAAAATTCTCTACTTGTTGCTGTTCATCCATATGAACAATTTGTATATATTAGTCAAACTATATGCGTGTATTGGATAAATTTGCCATATAATAAGTCCCACTTTATGCATGGAAATTACACAAACTAACACAAGGTTAAATTAAAGTCCTAACCATACAGTCTAAAATACTATGAAACAGATATTTAGTTGGCATGCAGTTAGTAAGATCAAGTTAATATGTGCATGATTTGCAGACATATCACCATATACTTTAGTTACCATACCTAAGTTAGCTCAACGTTAAAAGGCCAATGTGGACAAAACCTCTGAGATTTTCCCCACTCATGATATTACAGTTACTTGTATTCTTTAGTGTTTTATCCCTTAACATCAAACTCAATCATGCCACAGATATGCTGCTTGACTTCAGTGATATTACTCAGGTGAACGTTATATTTTGAAAGCTTTTTTTGTTGGTTTGGAGCCTAGATGTACTCAGGGTTGAACTAACCAACAACACCACACAAGTATTGAATGCTTACTTACAAATTACATACATGTAATTTTTTATCGGTCCGAAACCTTTTCTTCAATATTAACGATAGACAGAGAGAGCTACATTATCTTTTATTCTAAATAAAGTTCGCCAGTTAATTAAAGTTATCAGCTGACTAAATTTTTTTCAGCAATTGGCAATGCATAAATAACTAAGAATGTTCTCTTTCTAGGTCAATGTCTTTACTCTGGGAAAAGCCTTTCTAGTACTGGCCAAAGAGCTTCACATACACCTACCTGTACTGGGTAAGTTTCGTTTGTGATTAAATACTAGGAGTATTATTAATTGAATAAAGTGGAGCAAGGTGGCGTGAACACTAAGTTTTTTATTCAATTGCACATCACTGCCTAAATTAACTGAGACCAGGTGGTATATTACACTCAAAATGTCGTTTGCGCACTTCAGAGCAGTGTCTTAACCTAGAAATACAAGCTCGTGTTTTCTGTTTTTCTAGCGACCACCCTGTATCAGGACAATGTAATTGCTTTTAAATTAGGACTAGCTTTTTTCTATAAGTATCTTCATTTAATTACAAAGACCCATCCATACTTTGACAAAATAGAGCCATTGGTTTAGGAATGTATATTTTATTTAAATAAGAAACACTGACAAACACTTAAACACTTCAGACACACACTGAATAATAGTAAAACTTGGCAAAAGCAGGCAAAGCACCATAAGTAATAAAAAATCAAGTTGTTGAATAGCAAATATGAATAAATTCGGTTTCAAACAGTACTATTATAATCAAATATTTGGGGGTAATGGGCAATACAGGGATGTGCAACCTTTAATACTGGAGGCTGGGGCGCCTGATAGGCTTTAATTTTACGTTATTATTTACGTTATTAATCTTATAACATGCGCTGTTCGCCTCGCACAAGCGAGCTATTAGGGAATTGCAACGTCATAGATATGAATAATAAATTGGATCTAGGTATAGGCTTCGCAACGCAAAAAGGGGTTGGAATTAATAAACTGGAAACTCGTGTCGCGGGCAGCACAACATTCAAAATTGGCACTTTGAACACCCTGGTCTAATGGAAGACTATAAGGTCATGCCAAAGATCAATATCAATTTAAGAAAATTTGATTTTTATATGTATGCAAAAAAGATGCTGCTGAAATTATTCGGAACAGTGTATGAATAAATTAAACATTTGCTGTGTTCGCAATTCAAGATTCAAAGGTATTTTAACTAAGCACCAAGCATTATCGAAAAAAAAAAAAAAACTATTTTAGGATATTTTCATAGCACCAAAGGAATATATATGGGGATGTTGGAAAAAGTATTGATGTCATTATTATTTAAAATAAGATTACATCAATATATGGTTCAAATTAAAATACAAAAAAGGGCGCTCCAGAAGTGTGTGTACCAGTATATGGAGGTAACTAATTTTGTTGCCCACTTTACATCAAGTTGTGTAAATGGACGGAATATTCGGCTATTCACAGACAGTCTCCGAACTCGTAATAGAACTAAAATAAAGAAAATCGCAATAAAATTATGGCTTAACCCTAACCTGGTACACACACTACGGGAGTACCCGAATATGTATTTGAAAACTGGCAGACAGCTTAGCCGACTAAGAACTGTCATGCTATGCTATACGTACGAGGTCATAAATAGGAAGGTAAGATGTTAGTCACTTGCAACTTATTCAGCGTTATTTTCGTTAAATATCTTTAGCTTTTTTGGCATGATGGCATTTGCAAGTACTGTTAAGATGCTCCTCTGTAAAATATAAGCTCTGGAATCTGTCCTCCTTGCACTCCAGTTCCTGTTAAAGATAAAGAGAGGATCTGGAGAGGAGAGTACCAAATACCGGTAGGCGGTTGGTTAAATAAGTAGACCTATAAGAATTTATGGAAAGAACAAGGGGTTTTAGCAGTTTGACATGATTTGGGATAAACATCAGTATTTAGGCATAAACGATCGACTACGAAGGACAAGGGACATTTGAATGCAGCTCACTGGGATGATAGTGAAATATTATAAGCATTTACAGATTGTGGTCTAATTTCAGTGCTCCCAAAGTATGTGTACCAAGATGGCGCACAACCTAAACATAGTATGTTTACCAGGTTAGGGTTATCAGGTTGTGCGCCATCTTGGAGTGCCCTAATTCTGAGTAAATCTAGATTTCTTCAACACACTATGTACCAGCAGTATATAGGAATGGACCACTGTTTAAGCAATTAATAATTAATCAATTAGAAATTAATGGCTAAATCAACTTTGAACAATTGTGTTCGTAATTAAAAATTATTGGCTAAACCAGTTTGTATTTTGAAGGTATAGTTGTTTATTCAAACTTGTTATTACTTAGGCCTGTCGATTTTAATCGGTAAGTATGTTGATAGATATTTGTCCGTCTGTGTGTTAGATGCATGTGATATCTCACGAAAGCGAGATTGAATCTGCTCCAGATTTTGCATGTGCATTCATCATATGTCGGACCAGAAGCCTATTGATTCTGGATGAATTATGTCGTATAATTAGCGAGTTATTAATTAATTAGTGATGGGTCACTATGGAGTAAGAGCGATGTTTAGGGGGATCCCCTAACTTTCGATGGATAAGTCTTCGGTCTCTGACCGATATCCTCGTTATATACTTGTACAATTAGAACTAAGTCTATGTACATACCGTTTGTACTTTCATTAGAACACTGAAATTGTATGACAACACCTCCGCATGTTACTTCACTCATTCCCTCCTGTCCGAAATAACTTAGTTCATTCCCATCCAATACAACTGATGCTGTGTAGAATACGTTTGCCTCACATTGTACTGGATGCCTGTGAAAAAAATTTACAAACTTAAGTGAAAGATGTGCATGGAGCAAATAATACAGTTTTATCAACAACGCTCGGCGGAGTGGCGCATCGTGCTAAGCGATTGGAATATGCTCGCCACCGAACCTCTGATTAATTACCCTACATGGATTCGCAAGTTCAAATCCCATGCGGGGATAGTTATGTGCGAGAGGATTGCTGGACTCCTCGTCACCAAAGGTCGGTTCGGCTTCCTCCGCCATCAAGTCCATGCTTCCGAAAACAAATAACTGGCCAACTAATCCCATACCCGACATTCATTGACTGGTAGCCGGACGAAAGGCTACATGGTTAAGCCGTCTTATCAGATTTCCTCACTCTAGGATAAATACGTAAATCCTATCCTATTTCGAATGTCTGAGAAGTAAACCATTTTCCTTGCCAGTTGAGCTTGTTTCACAGTAAATAAGTCTTCTGGTCAACTCTAGGAGTTGGGGCAAAGGGACTGATCTTGCACCTCAACTATGTGCTGAACAGTCGTACAACTATCTGTTGGCAAAACCGAATAATTTAGCATTTTGAATACATTGTAAGTTCTAACATTATCTTCTCTTTGAGGCAATTAATTGTGAATTTGCGGAATAATTGAGATAAACAAACATTGTTTTAATTAGTATTATCTGTATTATAGAGCTATATTTTGTATAATCTAAATGGAAGGATAGTCAGGATTTCGTTCACAAAGAATCATTCATAATCACTAATCTGTGTGTATTTGTTACCTGAACCAGACTGGGAATATTTTTGTGCAACCATCTGTTAAAAATGATATTTTTTCTTCAGCAAGTGTGTCTTGTCCTCTAGTTAGTTTCGTATCTGCTGTGTATTTTGCTGCTCCACTGCTGGAACCGTATAGTCCAAAACCTTAAAAGATTAAAGGTAGTTGGTTAGTTTTGTGACTAATTTCCTGATAATGTGGACTTAAGCGCCTTCAATATATATTGCTATTTTACAGTAATAAATCTTTACGCTTCAGCATTTCTTTGGTTGCTTGTAGTTTTAAGTGAGAGCTTAGAATCCCTGGTTCAGTGTTTTTGTCTTTGTCTTATCTATACACACTCCAACTTCATCTGGCCTTGTGCAGTACCGGGGCTCCGGAGCTGGTTTGAAGTCATAGTTATTCCAGCTCCGGAGCTTCATCTTTTTATCCCAGAAATGAGGAGCCAGGATTACCAGTAATCATTGGTGGTCTAGCTCCTAACATCTCTTCCGGGTCATCATTTTTTAAAATTTAGTTTGTAATTAAGTATTAGAAAATTGTGAAATGTGAATGTGAAAAAATAATTAATGGTTAGGAGATGGAACACCTATGATTTCTGGTAATCCTGGCTCCTCAGCTCCATTGTTGTTTTCATGCATACACTTTTGGGATATAAATTTCGTTTACCCTGTCCCACAGACTAATGCAGGGGTTCCCAAGCTTTTTTCAGGACTACCCCAAAGACAACTTTCATGTGTCCAGTGCGACCGCAGATCGATATATATATATATTTTAATATAAAACTTCTCAGGCTTCTTTCACTGGACTTTGGTCTTGTGGTGGTATTAAGTAAATAAGCTAAAACCAAACAATGATGTCACAATAAGCAATGTTGCCTATGGACCTGTTTTACAGTAAGCCATGGTACAAACTGCTAAATTTAACATAGTTTGTCAAATCTTAGATGTTTTGTACATCCATCCTCTACTATACCCCAGCGACCCCACCTACTTATCACTTCGACCCAATTTGGGGTCGCGACCCTTGGCTTGGGAACCCCTCTAGTCACTTACCTGCTAAGAATATCCTTTTCTCAGCCATGAATTGTATTGAATCACATCTCCCCCTGTATCTCCATTGATTGCTCCGATAAGCACATGAGAGAAACCGGCGACACACTTGTGGAGTAAGACCACTGTTTGTAAATGTCACGGATAATCAATTTCTAGAGATCCTTTATTATATTTTTTTGAAACAAGGCACTAGACACAAGTTACCAACATTATGTAGGAAGCTGAATACTCTCGGAGGGATTAAAACAGTTGATGTCTTTCCGAATTGGTATTGCATACTCAATTTATTATTGTGTATCCTGCAATGCAGACCTAATTGAATTTAACTCTTTTGTATACCATCAAGCTCGAGCCGGAAATGGTTAACTCAAATGTTCACAATACATAAATTAGGATAATATATGAATTTAACAATGATTGGTTATGTGGGTGAATGTTGCGTGAATAGCTTGATTGAACGGGGGTCAAAATTAGAAATGGAGGGGTATTATTTGTAAGACGAGATAGGGATGAGCGCACGTAAGAGGCAGATACCAGTATAATTGTTTGTTGCGGATATAAAAATGCTTAAACTGTTATAATGACGTAACAATTGGCGTAACAATTGGCAGTATCTAGAACGCAAAAAGGTAAAAGCTAAGTATTGAACTATTTTACTTTTAGACTCGGCGGGCCATATAAATTCGTTAGGCGGGCTATGATTGGCCTGCGGGTCGCGGGTTGGGAACCAATAGACAAGAATCTGTGCTCCCGAAGTATGCGAACCAAGATGGCGGACATCGGAACGTAACATGGGTAACAGGTTAGGGTTAGGCGATAATTTTTTTCCAATTTACCTTATTTTATTCCTATTATCAGTTCGAAGACTAGCCAAGAGCCTCCCGTAGTATTTATACCTAAAATTATGGTCTAACCCTAACCTAGTACACATATTACATTCCGATGTCCGCCATCTTGGTTCGCATACTTCGGGAGCCCCCAAGAATCTCTCTAGTTTGCCACTACTTGATATTATGTTGTTCAGTATATTTGTTGTCAGAGAAAGAGTTCTGATTTCTAGTCTAACTTTTCATAGGACCTTTATCGATCGAACAAGATAAGGATTTTTTACTTTTACAATATTATGTATTCCTACCTCCGAGCACTAGTTGGAAACTCCAATTTAGGTTTTCTTGATGATGCAAACCAAAAAAAGATGTCAATAATCTCTTGTTGTGTAAGTAGGCCAGATCTTGCTGGACCATCTGCAAATTCCTGTGTGAAATAAGAGTTGTAGGTTTTTGAGGCGGACTTAGTATCCATAGTTATCTGGCATACATGTGTAATTATTTATCATATCAATTTAATTTATTTATCAAATTTAAGTTTCCTGGAAAAGGATGAAGTCAAGAACTTATAGTAGTAATGAAAGACCAGAATCTTGTGCTATAGGCTATATAACATAAGTAAAGATTGGAAACCTTGAGTTTTTCCGCATGGAGCTTACATGTGCACAGTATAGTATTTGAAGCATTGGTCGATAAATTTCTTAATTTGCATAAAAACTCTTGTTTTCATTATTCGTTCAATCTTTATTGGATAGTGCTAGTAGTGCACACAAGTCTTACTTTGGCTTTTGTGCTTTTTAAATAAGTTTATAATGTATGGATAAATGTATTACAATAATACTCAATAAGTAAACATGTCATGGGGACTCATAGCATAGGATACTCATTTGCTATATTTGCATCAGCATATGCGCTGATTTGCTCGTTGTAAGGGGACTCACAATATATAATTTACCAATATTCACCACTAAAATTAGAAACAATCCTCTACTAACTTGTAATGTCATGGCTGGCAGTCTTAAAAGATTTAAAGCATTTCCAAGGGCATTCCTTCTGTTCTCTAAAGTAGTTTCTAGATCACTTCGTTTGCATTCAGCTTCTGACCATCGTAAAATTGCATCAAATATGACGGTTTCTTTGACATTAAGAGTCTCTCTTTCAAGTATAGAGTTCAAAGTTCGTAGGTCAATTTCAGTGAATACTTCCGATTGAAGAGCAAGTTCTGCTTGAGCATCTATCACCTGGAATTATTTTGTATAATAAAAGTTAATATTGATTTGAAACATTCAAGCCCTGAACCTATAAAGGGTATTGGATCTCTACTCCAGGAGACACCTGTTCTCAGTAGTTCTCTCTCATGAAATTTCTCTTGTGCGCTATTCTTTCACACTAGTAATACGCATTTCACCCAAGTCCAGATCGACGTTTCATTTACAGCAAATTTTATGCCTTTTGTGTGTTAATATAATGCCAGAAAAATACTGAACAGTTATTGCAAAATCTTTTGGATGCTCATTGAATTATTTGTATATTTAAATATTCTTCCCTCTGAACAAGGCTTTACACAAGAACCCAGAATTTTCAAAACAACGTTACCTCCCAGCATCTTTGGGTCAATTCTTTTTCCTCAAACAGCCAACTTTGAGACAGTAGAATACAAGCATTCTTTGCACTGAGACTTGTCTCTAAGAATCTAACACAGGCTCTTGCAAGATATGGTATAATGTATTTTTTCGCTGCGTACAATGTAGCAAGGACTGTGTCTGCTTCTAAGGAGATTTTGTCGCAGTATAGGTACCTGAAATTATGTACTCTGTTTAGGTACAAAGATATTTACTCTAACTCGTTTTACTAGACTACTAGATAATCAAGTTTATGGACTCTAATATCTCGAATTTCCATGTTTCGTGAAAATATTTTTTTATTATGAAATTTACTTGTGTTAGTGTGCAGTGAGATTTTCGAATTTGAAATACGGTGATCAAAATCTTACAAACCAAAAGTTTGAAGGCATTTGGATCCTGTGTTCCGACTAAAAATCCAGTCAGTTTAAGATAGTTAGACTTTCTTTTCTTAAGCAACAAATTACAAACTTCCTAAGTAAAATCTCACACTTACTTGAGAAGTATTCTGAAAGCTACTGGTTCAACATCAGGGATTTCTATTTCATTCTTATTTTCAGCCATATCTCCGTATAACATTGCAAAGAATACTGAACTTCCAGTAGCTAGAATGTATTTGTGTGCTGGAATTCGAAGTGCCGAACCTAGAAAGAATAATATAATGAGCTTGATGGGCAAAATAGCAATAAAAATTAATCAAGTGATTATTGGGCACTTTTTATGTCTTATCCATCCACTGGTATGTATGTAACTACTTTATTTTGGATGGGCTAGAATCTTTCCGGTTTCTTATTGCCTACCCCAGCGGTTCCCAAACTTTTTGTCCATGTGGCACCAAGTTATCAGGAAAAAAAGTCATGACGCACCTACACGAAATATGCTGTTTTAAAAAAAAAATCAATTGAACTCATTCGTTCCTCCCTCGATATGCATAAAACTACTTTATTTCTTTAATGCATGGTGATGCAGAGCAAATATATAAAGTTATTCGAACAAGATGAAACACAAAAAACTTTTGATTTCTTACCTTTTGGGCCCACAAGAAAGCTGACATCACTCATTAATTCATTGTTAAACATCACAGAGTTTCGTTCACAAACTGTCGTCTTGGTAGCTTGCCAGCTATTATCATTCTCAATAGTTGAGTTCACAGAATCCTCCGACTCTTCTTGTCTGAAAGATCTGGATGGCGACCTGTACAATATTTTTTTTTAAATTGTCTTCTATGAAACTCTTTTCATGAAATACAATTGGCTCTCTCTTTTTAGAGCATACTCTGCTTCCTTGGGTTCTAATCAATTGCATTGACTATACTCAAACTTTTTAGTAATAAGCAATTGTGGGACAAGAGTTTAAAAGCATAGACTGGTATATATTGTTTTGTTCGATATAGTTAGGTGTCTATAACTGAGAATAGTCACAGTGAAAAAGCCAAATGACTAATATATTCAAACAGTTCGTATTGCCTATACGCAATATTGTAAATTTTTGATGTTAGAAAAAGTTCAGATTATTCCTATTTTTCGAAAAACATCATTTTCCAGCATTCAACATATGATGCTCAATGCAAGAAATAAACATCATACAGCATAAAAAACAAAAATCAATTAGAACAAGTTTATCTCAAATTTTTATCTCCCGTAGTGTGTGTACCAGGTTAGGCCATAATTTCTTTCAGATTTTACCTATTTTAGTTTCGGGTTCGGGACTGTCTGTGTTAGCCAAGTGAATATATCCATCCACCTGTCCATAGGTTTCAGTCCCTTTACACAACTTGATGTAAAGTGGGCGAACAAAATTAGTTACCTCCATATTGGTACACACACTTCTGAAGCGCCACAAATTTGCAGGTGAGCCAATATAGAATATAAATCTAATTTGGAAAAATTCTGTTGCAGAATATGTAGCATTTAGTCAGAATAGTCGATTTTTACCTTCTCATATCTAGAGTTATCTGACTGATGGGTGAGAGTAGTTCCTCAGCTGTTAAAATAGGCCTGTTGTCATCAGCACGATTTTCTTGCTGTTCATCCATATTAGCTTATTGTGAGTTTTACTATTTCATGTTGTATATTTAGAGTTACATATAATTGTGTATTATGAAGTTCTTAACATCAAAATAAGACAAAATTAAAATGGGGGAAGATAGTGTGAATGGGGACAACACTAGAGTTAATTAAGATGATCCTATGCAATCATGATTGAATTGGTATTGGAAAGTCATTATTAGCTTTCACTCCTCAATGCTAACAGATCTTTAACAACGCCTGGAATTCTAGGAAATTTAATCTTTACTTTGTGATGAATTATCATCTGTTAGTTGAGAATTTAATTTTCTTGCATGGTTTCTCGCAAGCCTTCTCAGCCATCCTTTCCAATAAAATTCCAAGGCAAATTCATTCAAGTAATGAACAGTAGCTGGTGATCCATCACGATAACCCTGTACAATAATTGCATTAGCTACTTGCTCTGAAGAGTCCTTCGAAATATTAAAAGCACCCACATATGCAGCAACTTGATAAGGAGCATCATATAAATCTTTTAAATTGTCTTTTCTTTTCGTAGCTAATTTCCAATCCACAATGCAAAGCTTGTTTTTATATTTTATGGCGCAGTCTAGTCTACCATGGTAAAATAGCATCGGATGATTTACATCAGCTTCTACGCAATGGACATCGTCTGGTGATATTTCTCGAAGAACTGGTTTCATGCTTTCCCAATGAGCTGATCCGTCGTCTTCAATTGTGATTACTTTTTTTAAAAAATCTTGAATTAATTTATGCAAGTGATGTCCCTCGCTTAGGATATTTTTTGAGTATTCTAAGAATCCTTGTTCACCTAGTTCCTCGATTTTTTTCTTCTTCCAACGATTCAGTATCGCTTCTTTTATTGGATGTATAGTATTTTTCAAAATAATGCTCACACTCTGAATTTTATCGTGAGAAAACACATCAGAAAGAACAGCATATTTATCTTTATTCTTTTTTGACATTTCCTCCCAATCATCTATGAAAAGAGGGCTATCCATGATGGTTTCCATTAATGGAAGGCATTTTTCAGTCTCTGTTAACATCTCCATCTCTTCTTGAGTCCAATTTTTCAAATTTTTGCCTCCATAAAAGGTATTTTTATTATATGTATCTTCCTTAGGACAGAGCATATTTTGGGTATTGCTTATGTTTAGCCTTTGATTCATAAACACCATACAACCAAATTTTGTCGTCTGACATTTTGAAAAAAGTTTGAATGTGCAAGACATTGAGAAGAAATCCTTATAAACAGTTAGAAGTCTAGTTAAAGCTAATCTGAAAATGATGATAATCAATCAATCATTTCATTTCGGTTCTCTGACATAAACAACACAAAGCAAACAGACGAACAAAACACAGAGATACGTGGGAGGAGAGCCTTAAAAAAAGTGTACAATTAAGGTACGTGTCTTCCCATCAAAAAAATGAGAAAGCAAGCACACTGTGGGTTATTTAAATTTCGACAATTTGAAACCCTGCAACAGAGGAATCAATGGAGCATGACTGGCCAGTAACTCATGATCTTACTAATGTTGCCAGGTTTGAAATTCAAATCCCATGCCCAGCACCTCACCCAGCTGTGATAAAATAGATAGGCCTTGTTTATTGTAAAGACTACCTGTCCTCCCAAAATATAGTTACTCCCTGCCTGGATATGCTGCTGCTTGCACAGAGCCTTGCTCAAAGTGAGGAGCATAGTGAATCATATATATATATATAATTTTAAACAAGCAAGACCATCAGAAGGCAAGGAAATTTGATAAGTGCAAGTTCATAGTATGTGCATATGTAATAGCCAGAAACTCAAAGCGATTAAATCTGAACGATTTATAAATTCAATTAAGAGAATTTCGGTACCAAATAAGTAAAATGCCTTTTCATAACAGTATGTATTACAATTAACAATAGGAATTACAATAACATGCACATATTGCTGCAATATCCGCTACCTAATGCAATATTGCTATATTCACAAATGTATAACCATCATTCACTACTACAGTAAGCTCTCTACTACCGAAAATATAACTATACCGTACCCAAAGTCGATAGAATAAACCTTGTGCGTGGAACTACGGTAGAAAATCATGTAATTAATGCTTCGCTTGCCAACCTAAACACCGGAACAATACAGACATATTTAGCCCAGAGCGTTCTCGAGTTATAGAGTTCCAACAAGTATGGACGATCAATAAATAGCGCTTATAAAACACATTGTATCGATGGCCAACGGAAGACATTATTATGAATAGCGATCGCCCAGCGCGTCTGGAACTTGATCTACGTCGCTCGCGAGCCACGGTGAACGGTTGACTAATTGTCGTGATAAAAAGCAGGGTTCAAAATGAAGCTTTTGTTTATATCGAGTTTCTTACCGTACCGGTTTTGAAGCAAATATGTCGTCATATTATAGCCAAGTTGCCAAAAATTCAACATAAACGCAATATGAATTGGCCATGATACTTAATATGTGAAATAATTACAGTAACATTGTATCCATCAAACATTTACCACTTCTTGTATGTCCCATTTAATTAAAGATGACCAATAAAAATTATTCTAAAAAATGTATTTTTAATGATTTCCATTTCACACAAAGGGGTGTTCCAGGCATTTACTTATAATTGTGCAGAAATGCATTCAATAATCTCTTTCTGTTGCCATAACGACCTGCAAACTGCAGGTAAAACCTGATTTCAATTGGGAAAGTGCAAGAAATTAACCAATTACTGAGTTAGACAATAGACAATAAGTTTATTTCGTCGTGCAAGAAATCACAACACAAATTCAAAATAGGAAATGTAATTATGCGATACAGTAACGGATTTGATTGCAATTGACTGGAGGTCGCGAAGGACCAGAGATGGTCATCATAAGTCTGCGACACCTAAATTAAAAACGAGTTAATAAAAATTGAAATAAATGAAAGTAATAAGCACAGAGAGAAACTTATTCGTTCAATAATTAACCAACAAGATTGATATGAATCATCATATATGATTTGGAAGATAATGTGGAGATAAAAGTCGTGGAAATTCAATTGATATACAGTAAATATAAAAATAATTCACCTTATCATTCAGCTGTACTTCTGTACAATTGCAGCGATTAAATTTTTTATCTTTTGTCATATGCAACATTGAATCGAGCGATCATTTCATTTGATGAGAAAAATTAAACAACCTCCATGTGCGAATTCTAAGGCATAATTTATACTCCATTTACAACCATCAACATGAAACTTTTGAGGGAGAAAATAAAATTTGGCCCAAGGTTGAGGTTGGGCCTCAAGCGCATATATCGAGATCGGAGTTATTGACTTTCATTGATGATTAATAGTGACTGACTAAGATGCATTCTGTGTAGTCCAGTTTACATCATAATAAACCTATTCACCAAATGAATTTTACTGGATATTTGCACTTCATCAAAATTTAAATATAGTGATTCATTTGTTTGCATGGCAATGCTGAAAGCTTCAAATTTCCCTGGTTGTCTCTAATTATTTCAATATAAAGGGCTGAATGAATGGAGAAGATCGTGCCAAACCTTATAAATAAATATGAATATTAACTTGGTGACAATATGGTTACTGGTTATCATATTGAAACTAATTTGTATGTTGATTTCAGAGAATTAGAGATCATATGTTTAAACCTCTGGCATAAACCAGAAAGATCTTGGACCTGCATTGGGGAATTCCCTCTTTGCCCCAAAGCAGGCCGAATGTTAATTACCGTACATGCAATTTGAATTGCACGATGTTGTTGTTTGACTACCAAAGCCTCGCTCATCACTAATACCAGTACTTCGATAATCAAAATGTTAGAACTTAAAATATTTAATCAGATACTTGAACCATGGGTGTTGATGCTTGCTAACCAGCTTTGGTTCCCCGTGGCTTTCCTCCCCCAGTGAATTATGTATTCAACATTATTTCTTTGACCTTGCATGTTATTTTTTTACTGGATGGAAAAAATAAACTTGACTATGCAAAAATATAATAACATCCTACATATCAGTTGATTCATGTTATGAAACATATATTGTACTAATGAGTTGAGCTAATGAGGAGTTAGCTGATTCCAAAAATAATGGTAACCATTAATTCTTGCTGGGTATATTTGCTATTTGTATAATATTATTTGATAATGTCAATTTAAATAGACTTTAAATTATCAAGACAGTGGATTTATAAAAATGTCTTGCATCCATAATGCATTGACAACAAATTAAGGATTTCAATTCAAACATTCCTTTATTTGTAATAATAAGGGTTAGGATGAAACATTTTAACCCTTTCAATCGCATCGCCGATCTGATCCAATACCTTTTTCATTGTTAATGGGTTATTCCTCTAATATGGCGGCAATTAAAAATTTGTGAAACAAGACCCTCATCCATTGTTTTCAAATCTCTTCATTTGAAGCGTCTTGAGTGCTTTTATCAACAAAGCTTTAGTATTGTTGTGAAACTAACGTGCTTCTCATCAATGAGAATATAGTTTGTGTGTAAATATTAGTTTTTGTGGTAAAAGTATAGGATGGAAATGAAAGGTGGCTATTTTAGAATATTTATTTTTAAATTTTTGTATTATATAAATACTGATATAACAATATGCTTCCATATTTCAAATTGTATTGAAATCTTAGAAGTATTTACCAAACAACTTTTGAAATACATGATATGGGAGTTTTATTTTAATTGGAAGACTTTAAATATACTTTCTGTTGCCTTGATGAAATGAGATTATGATAGGGGTCATGGGATTAGTTATCTTTGCTATCTAGATTATTCTTTGATATATTATGAAAAAAGACTTTTTTTTATACTTTCATGAAATATTTAGGTTAAAATTATGTTACTTGTACCTTGAAAAGCCCATTAATGATATGGAGGTTTTATTTTAGCTGAGAGAGTTTTTGGTCTCAGAGCAAAGTAGCATTTGGTACCAACGTATAGTTAGTTATCTCAGCCATTAGTTTATGCTTAAGTAGATAGTATAAAACAACCTACCTCACTCCTTTGCACTAGGAACATACTTGGATTAAGTATTTGTTAATTTTGCATTGGAAACTTGATGGTTCTAAGTTACACCAAATTCCAAGGTAGTTAATGAATACTGGTTTTATTTTTTTGAAAACTACCGACTACCAAAATTTGGTTTGTCTTTCTTGTTTTCCTGTACGTGATCATTGACAATGCCATAAGGGTACTTGAATATCCTTGAAGGTCTGCTGTACTGACCACTATTATAATATTGACAATGGGCTGGGTTGTATTGCTATGGTAAATACCTACCCAGACAAATTGAAGTTCAAGGGCTTAGAATTGAGGGTTTGTTTATGGAGTACAGAGGAATAGAAAGCCAATCGTCTTGTTGACTTTTGTCAAAGGATTTGGAGTTGTTGCTTTATATTGCTGCAATGGATTATGTTGTTCTGCTCTGAGGGTTGTCTGTATAAACCCTGTGAAACTATGATAATGAAACTAGCTTATAAAGCTTTTAAACCTAGATCCTGATGGAAGGGGGAAGGTTTTCAGGATATGAAGGATGATTCAGTATATTTTAGTACTATACATATGGAAGCCTTTTTAAATTTTCCAGATAGTTATCGATAGTATTATACCTATATATCCCAGACTACCAGAGGGTATGTTTGTTTTTATACAATTCTTTGGTTTTTTCCTTATTTGTATCTGAAAACCCATTTTGTCTATGAGATTGCTTGCACATTATACATATAAATTAGTAGGCTTTTTTTTAGATAGCATCAGATTATTTTTTCGCCTTCCAAACAATAGCAGATCTGGCGTGCTAGAAGTATGTGTACCAATATGGAGGTAACTAATTTTGTTCGCCTAATTTACATCAAGTTGTGTAAAGGGAGTGAAACCTATGGACAGTGGGATGGATATTCACTTGGCTAACACAGACAGTCCCCGACTCGTAAGACCTAACTAAAATAGGGTAAATCGGAATAAAATTATGGCGTAATCCAACCTGGTACACATACTACAGGAGTACCGCAAATCCTCGCATATCGTTAGATATCACTGCCTGCTTCATATTGCCTTGTTTGGAGCAAATGGCATGAATAAACTAAGTACAAAAAAAAATTTGATCAGTTTACCAGGTATTGACTTCTGCCTATTAAAATCCTTCCATTGCCAACAATCGTATCAATCTTGCAGATTAATTCAATCTTTGTTGACCATTATTATCTTACCTTTATGATCTATTATCAACATCTGTCCTAAACAATATCCAGCGTCACTCAATGCTATACATTGAATTAAATCCCCAACATTACTGTAATAACAAGATATATTGTTCAAATCTTCTATGTAAATATCAATAGAACAGGTGATTGGTGTAGACGTAACGAAAATATACAGGATGTACATAAAGTCCTTTTAAAATTTCAATTTTTTTATGAAGTCAGTTTTCAATATATATTATCCGGGTTTGTCGTTTTTTAATCAGTATTTGTTTAAGTATTTGTACTTCATTTAATACATTTGTGAGAGCCAAAACAATATACGGTATCGATAAATTCCATCTGCAATTTTAAAAAATTTCAAGACTTTATGGACACCCTAATGTTAGACAGTACAGAAATCATATGTGGAAAAGTTAATACTAAAGTTCATAATAAATTTAGGAATATTTTGTTCTAGTAATGTGTTGCTAAACTACTTTACTACTTCCAAGTAACTCCTCATATATCATTAGATATCCAAGGCTTGCTGTACAGGGCCTTGTTCAGGGCAAAATATGTGATATTGCAAATTGCAAGAATTAAAACTGTTTTATTTATATTTAGGTAAAATTGGATTTTTCAGAAATTGAGATTGTTATTGGTCAGAAAAATGTTACAAGCTTTTAATCCACCAAGTTTATTATTACTTTGCGAAGGTTATTAAGACATCAGACTCAGTGCAGTATAATAATATCTGTGGACTAAATTTAAGAATAAGCTTTTCTATTCTACAATACTTTAAAGACTAGAATAATATCAAACCATAACCTATCAGAGGTCATCTTATAAAAAGTGTACAGAACAGGTTAATGCATTTACACTTGGCTGTGTTATACTCTTTATGTCTACTTTCTCAATACTACGCCCTGACTGGCAGCCTTTTAAAATTTAAACATCATTTATTGATGGCACTATTGTATACCTTAGTTTCATTATTTCTACTTCATATTTCAGCCATAGTGTGAGAATCTTAAAAGAGTTGAGTTGTTTTCAATATACATACTTTTTATGTTTCTGAATAGCCTTCTATTTTGTGGAAAGTTTGAAAATAAACAGTGAGGATTGAATAAAAAATGGAGATAAAACATCGCGACGGAGCTCACGAAATGTATCATAGAATAATACAGCCTGAGTATGAAAGGATGGTCATACAGCATGTATTTAAGAATAAGATTAATTTAAAGTCAGGAGCAACCAGTCAACTTCTACAGAAAAGACCAAAAACAACAGGTAAGATTCTTGTTTGATAATTTTTCCAATATATTCTATTTCGTGGGTTTGATCATACGACGTGAAGTCTGTCATTAAAAACTAATGTATCACTTTACCTATAAGGTTCTGAGAAATGCTTCTCTTTTTATAATGTGTCCATAACAGACTTTGTTAATACTCCAAGTTTTGTAAACTGTATTTATTTCATTCAATATTAAACTTTTCATTTGCAAAGTGCGTTTTAACTAATTTCTCATTCAGATACATAACTAGTCATTTTAATTTGCATGAGCTGATGGCTTACGGTATAGGAAGTATGTTGCTTTGTAAATTATAGATTCCTTAGCTGCTTATTTTTCTGAACCATATAATCTATGAAACGATTTCACTCTCTTTTGACCATTAAAACTGTTGCTTATTAACCTTTCTATCATTTGGGGTTACGCAAGACTAACTACCTTTCTTTGCTCTATGCCTTTGTGCAATTGGATCTTCATGCGTGTAATGCAAGAATGCTCTGGCAAGAATAAAGATGACTATACTATTTGGTTTAATAAGAGTCTTGCTGCACACTGGAACAAATGTATTTCTGTTACTTTTCGTCCTGACGTCCTGTGTTAGTGTGCACCTTTGATGACAATGAACAATTCTTTAATATTAAATTGTGTTTGAAATATATTTCATATTTCAGGGTATCTCAGTCGGAAACGACATTTCACAGAAGTTCGCAGGCTTGCAACTCCTCATTCAACTAGTTATTGGAAACCTGGAACTTTTGATCAATGGAAATGGAACTCTAAAGCTGGTTCTACGGTCCTCAGTGTCAAAATGATGCAGGTTAGTATTAGTATTTTACTTTACAGCAGATTTGGTACCCCCGTAGTGTGTGTACCAGGTTAGGGTCAGGCGATAATTTTCTTTAGATTTTTCTTATTTTAGTTCTATTATGAGTTCAGGGACTGTCTGTGTTAGCCAAGTGAATATATCCCTTGCCCATAGGCTTCAGTCCCTTTACATAACTTCATGTAAAGTAGGGAAAAAAATAGTTACCTCCATATTGGTACACACACTTCTAGAGCGCCGAAGATTTACTGATAAACCTGCAGGGCTGATTATATGTGAGACAAGATCATCTCTCAGGACTATTTAGATAAGAATGATAAAGGGCTTGCTATTTGCGATATTAATGAACAATTTTTCTAATCATTCATCTTCTCCACGATAAATTCTTACCTGGCCCTTTGTATACAGATATCTAATTACTGTTCATTTAAGAATATTTATTACCAGTATACATAAATTATAAGCACAAACCAAGGTCTCTAATTACGAGTGGCAGCTGTTGCATTTCTAATCTAGATACCGAAGTAAAATTGGAAACAGAATTTTCTCAATTGCTAGAAATAATTTTTAAACTTATTACAAAGCGAGTTGTGTGAAACAAAACTATATTACAACCTATGACAGAAAATATGTTTTATTTTTCTGTCTAGTTTAAACAATGACAGACATTTTTGCGTTTTAATCTGAAGCCTTTGAATCCTTTCAGAATTTTTGTACGGGGACTGTAAATAGATTCAAACTTCTCATGTGTACCTTATGACAGAAATTGATGGTGCTTTTCTTGATGTTTTATTTCTCTGTTTAGGATGCACATTCCACGGTTTACCCTCGTCTGACAGATGACAAAAATTTGAAGGCTTCATCACTGAGTAATACTTTCAGTGCCACAACACGGGTACGGGAAGTGCCAGTGAGCAGTATCTACAGACGAGAGATGCAAGAGTTCAGATGCAGGAGTCCTTCTGCACGTGGAGTTCGTTCTATTCCTCTCACTAATAGATCTCTCGTCGCTCCTCCTCAGAGTGTAAAGTGAGTTCAGATAAATATTTTTCCTAGTGTGGTAGCCGAGTGCAGGAGTGTGCAACCTTTAATACAGGAGGGACAGATAAAAATAACTGGTTGAAAACGCACCTTTATTTAGCAATTGGCACAAAAATTTTGGTTATTGATCTTATGATGTGTTTTTCGCACAAGCTAGATTCTATTAAGGCTTTGTAAAGTCATAGTCATAGATAAATTGGACTCGGGTATAGGCTTCTCAAATGGAATGGAATTACTCGAACTTACCAAATTGAATTAAATTGAAAACTCATTTTGCGGACCGCACATTATTTAAAATTGGCACTTCTTTGCGGGCCACATAAATTTTCCCGAGGGCCTCAATTGGCCAGCGGGCTGCAGGTTGCACACCCCTGGCCTAGTGGTTAAATTGTTGGAATTAGCTGTGTAGCAATCGCAAGTTACCCTCTTTATATTAAATATTAATGGTTACTTGTGGGTCGCCTTGTTCAGAGGAGATGTTAATAAGAGTCAATTAAAAAAGGAGAGTTTTATATATTTCTACTGTGGGATGTGAACCTTGAAATCCCACTCAGGGTTGGCAATGATTTAATGAACGTGATAGCCTAGTAAAGCGTTTCCCAAACTTTTTTTGCTCGCGGCGCACTAATCAAATAAAAAAAAATTTGCGGCACACTTTGAAAAGCTTGTAATTGTAAAAGCACAAAATTGTAAAAGCTTATTCGTTGCATGCATGCCTGAGAATCTCAGCACACAGTTTGAAAAACGCTGGCCTAGTGCTTAGAGTGTTTGACTTAGCTGTATTGAAATACTCAGCTAACACATCTCTGGTTCAAATATCATGTCCACACCTCAACCAGGGTGTTTTAAATTGAGTAGGCAAAAGAAAGATTCTAATCCTTCCAATAAACATTATCTTGCTAGATATTGAAGGGATAGCAAACTGTTCTAAATGCTTTTTTACTGCTTGTCCTGAACAAAAGTTGATTGCTTTTCAGGTCATCATACATAACAGTTCGAACTATGGAAGAACATGGTGGGAGATTAAAAGGAAGCCATCAAGTAATGCGACATCTGGTTGAAAAAGAAAGAATGGAACGAACTAGAGAATTGAAAAGACAAGCACAGATATCGGAACATAGGATGGACAGGATGTAAGTTGTTTATATTCTTGAACTCGACCAATTTTCCAATACAGAGGGTTTGAACCAGGGGTGTGCAACAGGTGTCCTGTGGGCCACAATCTGGCACGTGAAGTTTAGTGTGGCCCTCATCATCGCTCAGGCTTTTCCCCATCAATCATAAAATCCTAATACAACAGTTTATGTTTAAAAAAACGCTCACAGCGTTCACATAAATAAAAATACATGATGTTTTTTTGCTCTTTTTGCTGCGTTAAATAATTCTTCGCTATGCCCTGTGCCCTCATTACTGTAAGAATAAGCGATAGCTTAGCACATATTTGTGTGGCCCAGCTGGATGTCTGAAGTTGGTTATATGTCTCGCCAAGAAAAAATGTTGCACACCCCTGGTTTAAACACAAAGGGCGAAAAGGAATTTTAAAACAATAATGCAAAAAATATAGGTGCTTTTTTAAAGCTGGTATTCAATCCAAGTTTGAAGCAATATTCACCCAAAACTGCAATCAAAATACTTAGCATGTGCCAGCCTCCATGCCAAATATTCGGACTAAATTCATTTCACCATTATTACTTTGATTAAGTTTTTCACGTTTCTGTTCAGGTATTACATGAATGGTGCACCAGCAAAACTTCACGAAAAATATGATGTCTCAGAAGTAGACTTAGAAAGGCTGCAATCCATAGCTGTATCCCAAGGGATCAAAATTAGTCCTTCTATATCATCCTTCCACTCACGGAATAAACTCAAAACGACGTCCGCTCCAAACTCATCTCCACGTGATATGAACAGCGCAGCAGGGTTACGAAGCAGTGATGTCGAAAGTGGAACTAAAACAATAATTCCAACTGCGGATATTCTTTCTGTAGGGGGTGATTTTGTCTCGGAGGATGGTTTATCGGAAAAACTAGGTAATATGTCAGGTCGAGAAGATGCTGCGACCTCTGATTATGGTGAAGACCTTGAAAGAGGTTCCAAGGTCGAATCTGTGGAAGGTCAAAGTCCAGAATTGAAAGTTCAAGAACCAGAACACCACGGAAATGAGGAAGTTGAAGTTATAGATAGTCATGAACCACAAGGTTCAAATGTCAAAGTTGAAAGTTCACATGAAAATGAGGAAGTTGATAATTTACCTAATAATGATGATGACCAGCAATCTATGAAATCAGATTCAGCTCTTCTATCTCCAGAAGCATTGAATGCTCCTTTAGCTGTTTCAGGGGCATTTTTGACTGATTTAACTGGTGGGGACTGACACAAGAATCATCATACTGTTTTTGATAATTTTTGAAATGCCCGTTATGGTGAATTCTAATTAACCGGTCCTGCCAAACATTTGTTTAAAATCCGAGAATGATTCAGACATCCAAAATTGCCAATTCAAATAATTTTGAAGAGACTTTTATGGCAACTTATGTGATTAGCCTGATTTGTAATACATGGCCTTAAAAAGCTGTTGGGTAGGCCAGGAACCATACACAGTACTGTGGAAAATTTTGTTTGTGAAGTCAGATGGACAATTTTTCAAAAGTGTATTTAATTGGAGGAATCCGTTTACCTCCATAATTAAACACTTGGGTTTTATGTTTTTTATTTTTGAACATCTGTTGGCTAATAAGAGTAAAAATACTTTTATCTGATATTTCTGTTTGTTAATATTTTGGCTAATACTGTACTGTGCGGTAATAGACTCAAAACCGATCAGAACAAGTTGAACAACCATTGGAGGTCCAGAAGTGAATGTATAAAGTGACTGAAAACTATGGGCATATTCATTTATTCATTCATGGGTATATTCACTGGGCTAACACAGACAGTTCTCGAACTCGTAATAAAACTAAAATAAGGAAAATCGGAGTAAAATTATGGCCTAACCCTCACCTGGTACACATACTGTGGGAATACTTTTTCAATATTAGAATGGTAACCTCGGTGTAGAAATTATCACGTCATTTTAATTCGATTATAAATTCATTTTTGCCATTTTCTGAAGTTCCATATAATATTTCTGAAAAAGCAAATTGAAATGAAACATTCTGAGTGTCAGGCTGTTTCACTTTATAATTCCACAAGAAGCAAATTCATACGTGCTATTTTAAATTGTATCTAACTCAGAGAAAGGTGAGACTTTAAAAGTGAAAAGCCACAACGTCAGAAGGTTTTTAAAATCTTCATCAAAGCAAAAGGTTTGCCCACACAGGGGTTTTAATTAAAACCTATTTTTTGATCTATTAAATTCCCATTGACTACAAATAATTCCTAATTTCTTTAGTTCTATGAGACAATTATTTTCTCATAAACCAGGTATTTTGTTTCCATTGTTTGATAACAATGAATCCATTATTTGATTGTTGTAATTCAATCTTTCTTTGTTTACAATATCAACTAAATCCAAACACTTTCATTCATTTAGGATTAGCGGTACTCCTGTGTGTGTACCAGGTTAGGGTTAGGCCATAATTTTATTCCGATTTTCTTATTTAGTTCTTCAACGAGTTTGGGGACTGTCTGTGTTAGCCATGTAAATATACCCCCTGCCCATAGGTTTCAGTCCCTTTATACAACTTGATGTAGAATAGGTGAACGAAATTAATTACCTCCATATTGCTACACACACTTCTGAAGCGCCAGATTGGATGGTCAATCTTATTTTTTATGACACATCCTTTCGCTGGGGTTCATATGTTATAATTCATAATAAATGCGGAAGCAATAGCCCAGCATTTAAAGTGCTGTTCAAAGTAGTTTGCCACCACCTCACTCTGGCTCAATTGAGCATGCCAAACTGGAAACAGGACAATCCCTTCATAACCTGAAAGTTCCCTGTTTATAAATGCCGGATTGCACGGAACCTTGCTCAGAGTAGAGATGCCTTGAAATTTTGATAGAATTATATATTTCAAGACTTACTTTTTATGAAAGCTTTTTACTCTTTGATTCAAATTTGCACATTTTTAGAACTTTGCCTTAAAAGATTAATGATACTTTTGCAGAATATGTCTGCTATTTCACTGTGAATCTTTTCTATTTTATTGATTTGTCATGATCAAATACAGAAAGCAAAAATCATTGCAATTTGTGTAATGTTTGTCATTGCGTGTTTGAAGTTTACCATGTTTAAAACGTCAGGATGTTTGATATTGCACCAGGATATTAATATTTTAAATAAGCTTTGAGATGTATCATAGTTTTGTCAAATGAATCTTGTACACACATCAAGCTATTATATTTAAACGGAGTTGAAACATTCTAGAATAATCCATTTTTGTAAATTTCTTAATCGCTCTCTTGTCGCTGCTCGATAACTGGTCTTGGTGTCTCGTGCCTCCCTTCATCCTGATGTTCCATATTACTTTTTGTAATAGTACTATTAGCACTATTATAGTGAGGTAGTAATATTTCTCGATATTTCTGGTTTGAAGATTGAGTTTTAGGAGTTTTTTGGTACACTTTTCGGGAGTTTGTTAGATTAGTTATTATAATTTTTCATCGTTTTTAAAGTCAAATATTTTTCATTTTCAGATCCATGCATGTACATCACACGTTTCGCTCATCGAATGGATTTCGGGGATAAAACAAATGAAGTCGGTGTGGCTGCTATGAGACTAGTATCTCGAATGAAGCGTGACTGGATACACACTGGTCGAAGACCTTCAGGACTATGTGGCGCCGCACTACTGGTTGCAGCAAGATTACATGGTTATTCTTGTACGCTGAAAGATGTTGTTAGAGTAGTGAGAATTGGACATGACACAATACGTAAAAGGTTATTCTTGTTTATACAGATTTATTTCTATCATTGTGATAGGCCCATGCAGTAAATAGTGTTTTAATCAGGCAGGGACATAGCCAGAAATTTTCCAAAGGAGAGGGTCCTAAAATTTTCTAGTTTCCAGGTTAGACCGCAACAGCTAGTAGGTCCGGCCAAAAACGTGGATTTCAAGAGTCTTTCGGGTTTAAAAAGCGTTTCAAGTTACAAAAAATTGCATGTTATCATACAGAAAAGGAATTTTTTTTTGTATTTTCAACGGGATCCATGGGTATGCTCCTAGTATAAATGTTTACCTAGGGGGAGAGGAACCTTGATAAGAGCATTGATCATGTCTGGTTTGGCTATGGAAATAGTTAAACAGTTACTTATTTCATTTTTATTAACTTGAATCCACAAAAAATTGTAAAATACTATCATTGCACATAAATATCTTAACGAAATTTGGACTTGGGAACTGAACCAACCTTCAAGCTGTACAGAACCAGAATACCACCTGTAGTTTAACCTGTTTATAGTGAAACTGTCCCATTTATCTCACTCAGAATTGAGAATTATTTATTTTTTATATACGGGATTGAGGGTAGAAGAAGCCGTAGCTGACCAATAGTTACAGTGTGCCAATAAGAAGTATACCAATTATCTTATACATACGGTAGTTACCCTCAGAGCCAAATCTGCAAATTTTGACTGTGATCCATTCAAACTATACAGAACCCAAAACCTCTCGTTTAATCCGTTTGTAGTGAAACTGTCCAATTAATCTCACACAGTATCCAACGATAAAAATAAATTTTTACTCTTCATGTTCAGATTATCAGAATTTGTTTCAACACCATCAAGTCAACTTACTATCAATGAATTCATGAACATCGACCTTGAATCAGAAGCCGATCCTCCTGCCTTCACAGAATCGAGGTTGAAACAAAAACAAGCAAATTTAGAAAATTTTGAAGGTATTTCAATAGACAAAATTTTTAGAAATTTATTACACTTTAATTGACGCATTGTACAATTCGAGGTTTCAAGACAAAAGGGCGAATGTCGAAATTTGAAAAACAAAATTCAATTAAGAAATTACTACGAATAGGCTGTTTTTTGAGATGTTTCTTTAATCGAAGTATGAAGCAATGTTTTTGCAGTTTGTGTCAAGTTTCCTCTTTTCTCGTTGAAGCGCTCAAATTTAGATAATTTTGTATCATAGCAGTACACAGGGATTCTGACACTTATTTTTCTTGTATTTTTTTATATAAACAAGCTCTAGGTTTTGTACCAAAAAGAATATAACTTTCTTTGCACTTTCATCTAACCCAGGAGTGGGCAACTTCTCTAGTCGGCGGGCCAGATGTGGGAAAATGAAGTTCTCGGCGGGCCGGATTATAACATGCATAGTATTCAATATCTTAATCACATATTTATTCGCTAATGCAAGGAAGAAAATTATAATTCGTGTTTAAAGTAAAGTTTGAACTACAAAAAAATAGAGACCAAAAAACAAACAATGAATTCATCATAATGTACTAAAAGTGTAATAATGTAAAATCATAATGTACTGATGTACAGTCAGCGGGACGGTCAAAATCACGTCGTATGTTGCCCGCCCCTGATCTAACCTAAATTAGAATTAAAATCCTTTTTTACTCTTTTGTGTCTTGTCTAGGCTTTCTTTATTTTCTCACTTTTTATTCATGATTTCATTTGCACTTTTGTATATATATTAAACTGTTTTTTTTTTAACAGAGGAGATTGATCAACTGAGCAATGCAATCGATAATGAAATTGAAAACTCATTACCTAAACGTAAGATGATTCTCAAAAATTTATTAATTTATTTTTGTTTGGAAGCAATGCTGCTTATTCATAGTTATGGTACTCATCGATCTTTAGATCGGTAAGTATGTTGATAAGTATTTGTCTGTTTGTCTGTTAGATGCACGCGATATCTCACAAACGCGTGGTTGATTCTGCTCCAAATTTTGCATGTGCATTTATCATATCTCGGACCAGAGGCCTATTGATTTTGGATAAATTATGTCATATAATTAGCGAGTTATTAATTTAGTGATGGGACACGCGGTGTCACTATAGAGTCATGAATCGAACTCGCAGTTTCGATCGATAAGTCTACGGTCTCCGACCGATATTCTCGTTTATTTATTGCTTATTCATGGTTAGTTGTTTATTTACAGTCTTGTCAGGTGTCAGATGATGGACCCACGATTAATTTCTTTGCTGGTTAGAAAAATGAACTTGACTTAATCATCTGTTTTCTCTAAAATTAACACCACAAGGCTTCTTTCTCACTTGGTCCAATCTCGTTCTTTCTGGTATTTCTTGCTTTTCCAGAACCTTACTCAGAGGGAACATAACATGAAAATATCATTTATGGGTGCCATTATTTATTGAGTTTCGAAACCCCTATTAACCAATTGTTTAATCAACTTATTCATCAATTCGTCACAGGTTTAAGAACAGACACCGTACCCACACCCCCATCTAAAACCTACGAATCACCATTAGCAACGCAATATCCAATAGAAGATCCAGAATTACAAGTTGCTGCAGATTTTGTTCATGCTGAAAACCCAGAAGCTGTCGCAAAAAAACTGTTAATCACTTCCAAGGGAACTACACAAAATCCACTTTGTGAGTCAGTCCATCTTCTTTTTCAACATTCATGGGCGAAATTGTTTAGAGCAGGGGCAACCTGTGGCTCTCAAGGAAAAATTATGCGGCCCGCGGAGAAGTGCAAATTTTGAATGATGTGCGACCAACGAGACAAGTTTCCGATGTAATTTAATTTGGGTTTGAGAAACGCTGCTTTAATTAACTTTTACAATTGGTTGGCTTTACATTTGTTGCCGATCGACAGTTCAAGATTTGATTCTTTCTCTGTTTCATGTACAGGATTATATTTTTATTTCACAGCTACACAAACTGCTTCGGCCGCCACACCGGGTCCAGCCCCCTCACTGTCAAGTCTTGGTTTGACACAACCTGCTGAAGATTGTTTTAAAGTCCCGACGCTACCTTGGGATAAAAACCAAGAAGAAGAAGAAGAACAAGGAGAACTTGATTTAAGTAACATAAATGATGAAGAAATCGATCAAGTAGGTTCAAATTACGAATTTTCGGTGAAAATGTTTTTTTAGGATGTTTTTTGTGGTATTCATATATCATAATACATGAAAGTATATGTAATTAAATATGGGCGCTCCAGAAGTATGTGCACCAAGATGGCGGACACCGGAACGTCTTATTTTAGTTCTATTACGAGTTCGGGGACTAGCCAAGTGACTCCCGTAGTATTTGTACCTGAAATTATGGCCTAACCCCAACCTGGTACACATACGACGTTCCGGTGTCCGCCATCTTGGTGCACATATTTCTGGAGTACCGAAATATTTTACAACAAATATTTTCTGATTTCCCAATCTCTTTGTCTTGCAACATCTGATGTTGTTTCAATAAATATTTGATTATTCTTCCACAGCATTTGGTACATTGGTGATTTGCTTCATGACTGAGTGGAGAAAATTACTCAAAATAACTGGAGTGGCATTTTTATATGACCTTTTTTAAACACCTTTTTTGCTCCGAACTCAGGACAGCCACTGATATGTTGGCGGGCTGGAATCTTTTTGGTTTGGCTTTCCTACATTCCCTTACACGCTGACATGGGATGTGAACCAACGTTCCCTCTAATCTGCGCGGCCGTGCAGCTGGCCGAAAATCCTTGCGCAGTACTTTCCTTCTGCCGCGCACTGCATAAGTCAATAAATTCTGTGTTCGTTCGAAATGTTTTTTTCTTTTTATTTTTTCTAATTTTCCGCGCAGACCTCTTTTTTGAGCTCACATGGCCTTCTATTCCGCGCAACTAAGCAAGCTCTTAGAGAGAACGTTGATGTGAACCCATTTTTAAAAAGTCTAACACTTCACCCACTAGGTCGTCGAGACCACTATATATTTGATATTTTTTACTTTCAGATGATATTAAGTCCGAATGAGACAATAATTAAAACAAGATTATGGATGGCAGAGAATGGTGAATATATGCAGGTGAATTGGGATCTTTTTATTGCTTGTGGAACATCAGTATCTTTTTATTGAGCAGTTAACATTTTTAATATCTTGACGATGCTTTCAGTAGTCACTGATAATCAGATACCACTGATACCAAGAACCCTGCTAAAACGCTCAAAAACAGTGAAAAACCGTCAAAAAACACCCAAAACCCTGCTAAAACGCTTAAAAACAGTGAAAACCGTCTGCAAACACCAATAACCCTGCTAAAACGCTTAAAAACAGTGAAAAACTGCAAAAACCACCAAGATGTCTTCTTTGGATAGAATAGGATGGGATTTGCCTATTTATCCAGGGCGAGAGGAAAGTGATAAGACAGCACAATTATGGCGAACCACGGCCTCTCGTCCAGTTACCAGTCCATGTCAGGTATGGGATTAGTTAGGTATTTGTTTTCAGATGCATGGACTTAGGAAAAGTGGGTTTTTCCAGTTTGATACTGAACTTAAGTCATGAAAAAGTAATATCGAAACTGAAAATTCAGCGTACTGGTAGTTGACTTTCCTTGCTAATCACTAGCATCACATATCAGCAAGGTCACAGCCAGGAATTTCCAAAAGAGAGGGGGAGTTCTGAAATTTCTGATTGCCCTGTAACATCTAGCGGGTTCGAAGGCCAAAACTATGAAAATTGCCAAATGCTTCCCACACCGCCCTGCCCTGGCTACGCAGAGAAAAATAGGTACTCCTGAAGTATGCGCACCAAGATGTCGCACAACCTGAACCCTAACCTGGTACACAACCTGAGTTCAGGTTGTGTGCCATCTTGGTGTGCATACTTCAGGAGGCCCGAAAAATAATTTCAACAAAGCTTCTTTCCCAAAACTTAATGTTATTTAGAATTATATTAACCAGTTTCTTTCTCAATTTTATGTGAAGTGCATCAAGAACTAATAAATTCGCATGTTCATAGTGTGTTAAATGTTTATTTTGCTTTTATCAGTGAGGTCTACATGTTACAATCTTGCTTTATCTGAGCATTTTTTGGAAAGACCTATTTTTTGTAGGAAATGGCAATTCGGGCCGAGAAACGAAGGAGAGAGGAAGAAGAACGAGAAAAAACAAGACCAAAGAAACCAAAACGAAAACTTGTGTCTAAAAAAGATTATTATGCAGTGAGTAGAATTCTTCATTCAACGCATTCTGTATTCATATTAATCTCGGGAGAGAACAACAGTCATGGTCTCGTATGTGTGCCGCATTGTGCTAAACATTAGAAATATGCTGCCACAGCATCTCTGATTACCCTGAATGGGTTCGCCTGTTCGAATCCTGTGCGGGATAGTTATGTGGGACAGGATTGCTGGACTTCTCGCTGCGGTAGGGTAGGTTACGTAACCGCTGGTCGGTTACTGTTTCTTTCGCCATCGAGTCTATGCTTCTGAAAAGAAATAACTGACTAACTAATCCCATACCCAACATGGACTGGTAACCGGATGAGAGGCCGTGGTTTGCCATATGATTAAGCCGTCTTATCGACTTTCCTTTCTCCTGGAATAAATATGTAAATCCTATCATATCATGGCAGATAGGTGTTTACTTGACTAGTTGCGTGTTCCAAATGGGTGAACACTGATACTCTAAGAAAATCTCATCAGCCTAAAATCTCTCAGATGGGGAATTTATCGATTCTATCAAAACGATCAGTCTATTACTGTTTGCATGCTTAACTAACCGCTGGAAATGTAAAAAAAAACGTTTATATATCCTCCATAGCGATTTGCCGTAGCTTGAAATGCTTTTTAGGTCCTTATTAAGACTATTGAAAACCAATTTTTCTGAGCTCCGGCCCGACCTGCTAGCTGTTATCAGTCTAACTTTAAACCTCCCCCCTTTAAAATTTTTTGGCTACACTGTTTTTGTGGTTGACTAGAAAGTTCTGTTCTTTCAATTAGTGCAAAATGCAAATATTTGCTAAAGTGCTTGCTCAAATATATATGAGATATATGCATAAGATTTTCAGCATACTGCTATTTATCCTGAATGATTTAAAAGTCTTGCTGCACACTAACATAAAAATGTATTTTTGTAGCATTTTGTCTGACTAGGGTCAGACTTCCTCAGACATACATAGTTCAACTATGGGATTTACACATGTTCAATAAAATAGTCTTATTCTTTATTTAATAACGGCGAGTGACCTGTCGTACTTTTAAAGATTGAATACTAAATCAAATACTTTTCTTTGAATATTTGACAGAATTCACAATCAGCAGGAGAAGCCATTGAAAAACTTTTACAAAGACAGAAACTTTCGAGTAAAATAAACTATGATGCTTTAAAACGAGTAAATGAGGAGCCCTCACCTCAACCTGTACGAACAGGACCAAAATTTATCGACTCTTTCGCAAATCTCGCAAAATACGATTTGACTCCAAAAATAGAGAAATTATTTGAAGACGAACCTCAGGTTGTTAAAATTGAGGAAACGAAACCAATTGTGCCGAGAAAGAAAATGAAAGTTGCTCCATGTTTGAATCCTGATGCCCAAGATGATCTTGTGAAACCTGAGGTATGTAGAATAGGTTCCTGGAAATTTCGCCATAGGAAATTTTGGCGCAAGAATTTTCGCCACATAAGAAAAAACGCATCATGAAAAATTGCCGTCTTTTGCTGTAAAACAAGTATTTGTGATAAAAACAGTTAGATTTTTTAAGTGCCTTGTTATTTAAAAAAAATTCGTTTGTTAAGAGCATATCCTAACCCTAACCCTATTCGGTGAAATTTCCTGCGGTGATATTTCCGGACACGTGTAGAATAGATGTCCTCATATTTATCCAGGGGAAAACAATGCCTATGGAATGATTTTATTTGTATGGAGCATTGCAGCCACAGATATCAAATAATATGTATGGAGCTACTATTTTTGACAGCCCTGAGTATTTGGTTGGACCTACAGCTGTTTGTAATCTCCTGCTTTGACTTGAACATTCAAACGCTGTAATGATTGGAAATATATAAAGGCACCTCCTCCTCTGTTCTATAAACTTCATTATACACCAGAACTTTCCAGAATTACTGGTGTATATGGACATTTATCTTTCAATACAAACATCATATATCTGAATACTTGATTTACCTTTGTTCAGAACATTGTTAAGAGGGAAATTCCATTGCACAGGCAGCATTTCAAAATGGCGAATGTTGAAATTAAAAAAAAAATATTGTTTAAAAAGAACCCATAAGTAATAAGTGCTCTTCAAACTAGTATATAATCAAGAGTTTGGAGCTATATTCACAACAATATTTTAATAAATTTATTTCAAAATCGTAAATATACACTTTCTCATTTTTCAAAACGTCTTTTCAAAGTTTTGCATTTTGGGTTGAAGCCCTCGGCCACATACTATACTAATAGTCCTTCTATATTTCAGATAATAACAGAATCAGGACCAGTTTCTGCGGCATACGAGGTAACTGTAGAAAGTGGTCCCGTTGCTGTCGAAGAAGAAGGATATGAGGAATATGATGATGATGAACATTGCCTCAGTGCTTCACAGCTTATGCAGGAAGCTGGTATGTTGATGAGTTTATTTTTATGGAATATGCAATAGAAACAAGAGAGCTACCCCCAAATATATGGACACGTCTGTTCGCAGTACAGTACGGTTTATCGTACCGTCAGATCACAGTCTACAAATATATTCACACCAGCGAAGCAGTACAGTCGGACACAAAATGGCATCCGATGTCCGCAGACCGTTTAGTGACGTCATAGCAAACAAAAACAAATCTCACAGAGCTAACAGAAATATTTGAAATAAATAAAAGTAATAGCCTTCTGGAGAAAAATTTCATCTTTAACCACTTAAAATGTCAAAGCAATTGGTCCAGTAATCAAAGAGAAAAGCAACTTTTTAGAATTTCCACTAGGTGTCCAAAAAGTATGACGAAGGAGAAAAATAAGAATAATAACAAGAACAACAACATAATATTGAAACGATCGCTATGTCCACTACGTGTCCAACAAGGCATCCATTTCTAGCCCAGTCATTCTCAGCCTTTATTCTTATGTTTACAAATTTGTCTGCAAATTTCAAAAAAGAATATTACCCCAAATCTATTTTTTCGCTCCTATAAGGGTTCTATTGACAAAGGGGGCTCTGGGATAGGAAATTATGAATTGATTGGATTTTGATGTCTAAAATTGATTGTGTTGAATTCACATAACTACAATTAATGCATACAGACAATGTATATGACAATAATAACAATTGATATTATAAATAAAATAGCAATTCCATTTTATTAATAACTATCAAACATACAGTATATTTGTGCTAAAAGCACAGTTGCATGAACAATGCAAGAGGGTAATATCAAGAAGGTTGCAATCTGCTCTGTTGGCAATGAACGGGAGCAGCCTGTTCTTGCAGTAGGCACTATGTGAATGTCTTTCCTACGAAATTAACCCTCAATACATGTTACTCCCTTGTTTTAATTATAAATTGTTTGTTTTTCCAGGTGTTGGGGACTCTGGATATGGCGGCTTTAACTATGAAGGCTATGATGAATATGACTGATGTGACAAGCTGTCGATGTCAATTTTCCTTTCACCAAGTCTGGGAATGAGAAAGTGATTGAAGAGAGTTTTGAAATGGGTCCAGATTCTTTCTTATGAGGACCTGCCAGTTTTGCTAGAACATATGGCTTTTTGGGTGGAGTAAGCTGTAGTATCACTACTGAATAAGAAGGAGAACATTGTGAAATTATCAGGGACTTAATTTCTGAACTAATTTACTATTTGCCGTACAAAAGGTTACTTGTTATGATATTTGGTGATGCATGCTTTGCTGCTATGATGTTTTTTATAATATTGGTTAGGTATTGTACATTTTCACTCAGAACAAAGTTAACCACAATCACAAATATATACAGTAATCAGCGCTACAGAAGTTTATGTACCAATATGGAGGTAACTAGTTTTGTTTGCCTACTTTACATCGAGTTGTCTAAAGGGACTGAAATCTATGGGCAGGCACAGAACCCGAACTCGTAATATAACTGGAGTAAGGCAAATTGGAATAAAATTATGGCCTAACCCTAACCTGGTACACATACTGTAATCTGCTAGTAATACCTAATACCTAAAAACTAATACCAGTAATCTGCTATTTGATTGGAAGGGCCAGATTCTCACTGGTTTGCCCTATTCCCCCAGGGTGTGGTCAGGAATTCTCAAAGAAGGGGGGTTTCTGAAATTTTCAAGTTAAAGTGGAACAGTAAACAGATCTGGCCGAAAAGTGTGGGTTTTCAAGTGTCTGGAAGGTCCAAAAAGCGTTTTTAAGCTTTGAAAAATTGCTATGATACCAAAGAATCTTTTTACATTTCAAAAAGGAGGGAGGTCCGACCCTCCTGGTTATGCCCTTACCCAACGTATTTTACCCTGGGTAGGAAGGCAGATACCCAAGATCTTCAACCTGTGATGTAACATTAACCTCATGCCCCCCATATCAATCCGGTATGTAATTAATTTCAGATATAAGTTGCAATGTAATAAACGAGAATATCAGTCGGAGACCGAAGACTTATCGATCGAAAGTTAGGGGATCCTTTGAAACAGCGCTCTTACTCCATAGTGACACCTTGTGTCCCATCACTTATTCAATCTCGCTTTCGTGAAATATTGTGTGCATCTAACGGACAGACAGACAAATACCTATCAACATACTCACCAATTAAAATCGATAAGTAATAACAATGCAGAAATGGATAATAGAAGCTTTTGACACATCGCGAGATGTCATTGCTATACCATTTGAACTAATCCTTTCTAAGTTATCTAGTAAAGTTGCCTTTTTCCGAGTTTACTTAATTTATGAATGATAAAATAAATTAATTAAAGTAAGTTATATCAAGATTTATTTATTTACGCGATTTTGTTGTTCTTCCATAAAGGTTGGTTTCAATTGTGTTGAAGCTTATATGTGTTGAAAATTTTATTTTACCAAATTGTTGTAACTAGAATAAGGACATTGAAATCACGCTGAGGATTGTGATTTCTACTTTTTTCGGATCATGAATATGTTAAAATCAATGACTTATTAATGACCGAAATCAATAACCTGTTACGCCAATATAGTCGGTCCAGGACCATCATACCCAATCGAATCTCGGCAATCAAATTCAAACATTAATCAGAAAATGTTTAAGTGGAAATTTGTAAAATAATCTGTAACTCGTGGGTTTTTCATGTTTTTCTACTAATTAAGGTTTGGTTGAAATTGTGGAAGTGCTTTATTATTACCAATTGAAAAAAATGTCATGTACCTTGCTTTGTCAATCAATGGTATTAGGTAAGTATTGTTGCTAGATTGATGTTCGGGGGACTTTTGTTTTTCCACTTTCCAGTCATGATTTTCTTAAAGTTCCTATTTATTGTGTTCAACATTCTTATGATTTATTCAAAATATTGTTCTCATTTGGGTACTCCTGAAGTATGTGAACCAAGATAGCGGACCCCGGAATGTAGTATGTGTACCAGGTTAGGGTTATGCTATAATTTCAGGTAAAAATACTACATGAGTCACTTGGCTAGTCCTAATAACTCGTGATAGAACTAAAATAAGGAAAATTGGAATAAAATTATGGCCTAACTCTAACTTGGTACACATACTTCGGGAGTACCCTCATTTGTGTGTCTTTGATAATTTATTTGACCTCGTGAATAAAGCCTTATTTTTGTACGATAGTCTTTTTAGGCCACAAACAGCTAGCTGTACTGTTCTCTACCAATTGTCAGTGTGGCTGTTCAAGAAATATTTTGATTTGTGACTTTTCATTTTCTGTGCCCCATGAATTACTACTGAATTCCACCATATTTTTTTTTTTTTAATTTCTCAAAACTATGTTGCCACATTTTTTCTTGAATATTGTTTTTTCTATATATCAAGGGAATCTTTTGCTAAATTTTCTTATTTTATTTTGCTGTTTTTATAGCATAAAATGATAAATAGTCCAAGTACATCTGGGAATGCTGCTCCTGAACTGCCTGGTTTTTACTTTGATTCAGAACGGAATCGTTACTTTCGACTTTTACCAGGAACAAACAACCACAATCCTTTAACAAGAGACAGAATTTCAAGAAAGAAACGTAAATTAATTCCACCGGAAAAAAATACAGAAAAATCTGCTCGAGTACGGAATGTAACTGACTTACTCAGAAGAAATGAAATTGGACAGAAAAATTATGGTCCATTGACAAACTATCGTACAGAAATAGTGAAAGCGAAAATAAAATGTTACGACCAGTTTGAAATTCATCCGCAAGACACAGATCCTGGAGTTACCGTAATTATGCATGCTGATCACAAATATAATAAACTCATCCAATGTTTAACTAAAAAAGGAAACTCAATAATAAATGTATCAGACTCTGTTCAACAAAATATTGCACAGGTAGGCTTTGCACATTTCGATAGTATCAAATTTATGACCGAATTTCCTCTGCCACGTACCGCTTATACACACATTGGAAAATCAATTCTGGGATATTGGGCCCCAGGCATTAACAGACTACCTTACCAGGTTGTGTTGAAAGGTGCAACTCCGTTCACATGTGCTCTTTCTCGTAATAATGGATGCAAGTATTTCGCAAGTTATTCTAAAGGTGAGATGGGACGAATATGTTATATTTATCATTAATAAGTTACAGAACTGTTTTAGAGATATGAAGAAATTGATGGCTTGGGAATATGACAAACTGTCACAGATACGACATGTTAAAAATGCAGATTTGTGTGTGTGTGTTTATTTGGATTTCCCGTTACAACAAAACAAACAAATAAACAAAAATCAGGAAAGTGGGCAAAATCTAAAAAAGATTTAAGATGTGGTGATGCACATGCCCACTTTGTCTTTGCTCTGAACAAGTCTCCGCACAACCACCGGTATCTAACAAGCTACTATTTTCGCATTGCCTACCCTATTTACTACACATTGGGGGAGGTGAGCTTGATTTTTTTAAAATACAACCAGAGCATGTAACAAAGGGTGCTCCCGTAGTATTCGTACCAAGATGGCGCACAACCTGAACATAGTATGTGTACCAGGTTAGCAGGTTGTGTGCCATCTTGGTACGAATACCATGGGAGCACCTAATAAGGTGCTCTTTATGTATGTGCTGTTACATATTCAGATAAATGATGTGGCGAGCTTTGGGTTGAACTCGAGAATATTCATTTCACTAAGCCAAATTGATTGATCTAACTTTTTTCAGGCAATCAAGTCGTACTTGTTTCAAACGTGCCTGCGTTCTTTCGGTGCTCTTCTTCACTTCATTCACTAGGTGGCCCTGGGTATTCAATCATCAAACTTAAACGAGACGTCCTGGCTCAAAGTTTCGGAATTCCACAAAATATTCATCATAATGGTTTGAGAGGTGGAAGTATTGTTTCGCTTGATCTCAGGCGATCTAGAAAGAACTGCGTCTTATTTTCCATGGATTCAAAATTACGTAAGTGTCATGCATGACTTTTGACCGCAGCTTTCTCACTATCCATGTGTCTTCACTTGGTAACCATTTTTATATCTAGCTTTTCCTGGTAACAGTCGAAAGATTTCTACTCTCCCAACGATTTAGCGACATGAAATGCAAGGCATTCGGAGCAAAAGGCTTATGAAAATGCATATATTTATTTTCTGTTCCTCTAAATCTCAATTAGGTCTTGGGTGCTGCTGCTTGATAGCCGTCTTCGTTCCCATGCGCCTTCCTTTATGTAGGATAGGATTTACATATTTTTCCCACATGAGAGGAGAAAGATAAGATGGCTTAACCATATGGCGAACCACGGCCTCTCGTCAAATCACCATTCCATGTAGGGTATGGAATTAGTTAGTTATTTGTTTTCAGTAACATGGACTTGATGATGGAGGAAGCTGTAACCGACCAGCGGTCACGTGAACCACCCCAGCAATCCTCTCGCATATAACTATCCCAGCATTGGATTCGAACCTGCAAACCCACGCAGAGTAATCAGAGATGCGGTGGCGAGCGTATTCCTAACGCTTGACACGATGAGCTACACCGCAGAGCCATACTTATTGTGTGCTTTTGTATTTGTATCTTTTTTTTATTAGCTGATTTGAAAAGATAATCTTGACACTGACTTTTCAGGTCAAAATGTTGCTGAAATCTTACCTTTGAAAGATGAAATCAGCCTGATTGCTGCGTACAGAAACCCTGGAGAAATCCACAAAATATTACTCTGGGATATGAGATTCACAGCAAAACCTGTACTTGAGTATAAATCAAACTGTATAGAGAACAGGTATGTTATTTCACCAGGGGTATGAAGTCTAGTATCATCTGCTATCGACTGTGGGTTGAATAAAAATTTCAACTCGACGCATAACCTGAACATAGTATGTGTACCAGGTTAGGGTTGTTCAGGTTGTGTGTCTTCTTGGTACGAATACTTCCGGAACACCATTTTATTAATATAACTTTGGTGTATACACAGCTTTGAGGGCACCTAACAAACTTATTTTTAGTTTATGGTAACGATTTGACTTTTGTTGTCACCATTCATGAATTAAAAAAAAATCAACAAAGAATAAAAACCGTAGTGAATCAACTCAATATTTTTGTATTATTCATGTACAGTTTTGGGTGCTTCCGAAGTATCCTTACCAAGATGGCGCACAACCTGAGCATAGTATGTTTACCAGATTAGGGTTGTTCAGGTTGTGCGTCATCTTGGTACGAATACTTCAAGAGTGCCCAGTATTGACTGCTATTGTCACCATTATTGAATTGATCTGACTCCCAAATAGAGAGATTTATAAAAAACTTAAATAAAATTGCCAAACTCTGACTCCACCATCTTGTATTGCACATATTATTGAATATTTTGGCTTGTCTTGCTGTCAAGTAGTAAAGTAACTTCATTCATATCTTTAATTAGCTTGTCTAGGTTTTTAGAACGTAGCCTATACGACGGCTTAACCATATGGCGAACCATGGCCTTGCGTCCGGTTACCATTCCATGTCGGGTATGAGATTAGTCAGTTACTTGTTTTCGGAAGCATGGACTTAGTGATGGAGAAAGCCGTAACCGGCCAACAGTTATGTCAACCCCCCAACAGTGGCGAGGAGTATAGCAATCCTCTCGCACAAAACTATCCCCACATGGGATTCGAACCCGCGCAGAGTAATCAGAGGTGTGGTGGCAAGAATATTCCTAAAGCTTGGCACGATGAGCCACACCGCGCTTTAATTAGCTTGTCTAGTTATTCAGAACGTAGCTAACCACTATATATCACTAATCATTTCAATAGAAAGGTCATCTGGGCTCGACTCAATCATGGAGTTCCACAAATGTTGTCTCAAACCTACCTTGACCCAGATCCTGTCATGTTTTCCACTTTATATGCTAACTTTATTTCCATTTGTCTCACAATCTATATCTATCCTTACTAAAATCACTTAATGGATCTTAGTGATTGGAAGAATTCTCATAGTGTAAAGGCCGGTTTGTACCAATTATATTTATCACTTTTCCTCTTTTAGATCATAAAACTCCAGTACAGTGTTCAGTTGGTTTTGATTGTGGGCTCTCAAGTGTTTCTTGGTGATCTTACTTAAATGAAATTTATTCTTTCAGGTGCACAGATGACATTCCGTACCATTTTGCAATTAATGTTGACCTTGATGAGATGATTCTTACTTCAGTGTTACCAGATTTGAGAGCAAGATTCTGGTCAGTAAGAAGCGGAGAAATTGTTAAAACATATCCAGGCCCAGATGATTCAGACTTAAAAATCACTACCGCTGCTTATAGCAATAACTGGAAACTTCTCGGTGGGGATTCGGCAATATTTTATGCGGTACATAATCAAGGATTTTGGTTTTGTCCTTTTTCTGAAGATGTTACGAACTCTTATCATGGACGAAGGTAGTTTTCATTATAGGTAGGGCTGCCTTCGATATGAGCAAAAATAAGGACATCGGGGAAATGTAATAAGATAACAAGGAACAGAATGTAACAGACAAAATGTATTCATGCCAGTGCGACCCGTATAATCATACTTTGCACCAGCTGTTTCCGTTCCATCTCACTTCTAAGTTCACTTACGCCATGAATGCGCCTAGCAATCAATGAGGTTCTAATATCATTTCTAGCAAATCAATCATTCAAATTGACTAATCTAAGTGCCTGGTATTAGAACCTCTACAGAGGAAACCTTCAAAATAGGGACAAATCTTAGAAATAAGGCCGTTTTGGCAGCCCTGATTATAGGTCATATTGGTACACTTCCATACATAGCACTTGTCCCACTGGTGTAAAGCTAGGATAGGATTGTTATACTTATCCCAGGGGAGATGAATTTGGATAAGATGGCTTAATTATATTGCGTACCACGGCCTCTCGTCAGGTTACCTGTCCAAGTATTGGATTCATTAGCCAGCATCACGAACTTGGTGGTGGAGAAAGTCGCAATCGACCAGCGTTTATAAGACCACCATACAGTGGCGAGAAGTCCAGCAATCCTATTCACAATTGTATACATGCAATTGTATTGAATTTACCTTTAAGGGCATTCACTGTCAATATGATTCAATAATCAGACCCTAATACCTATTTCATGTACTGCTGCTTCTTTGAGCACAATTTCAATAAACTGTTTTCATTAAAAGCAATACCCGTGTGTAAAATCATTAGCTTGAAAAGCTGAAGATCCTCGAAATTTTTAAGTTTACTGTGACATTTCTAGTCCAGCCATTAGATCTCGCGAATGATCAAACCAGAATCATGTTTTTTATTGAATCTGTGGTTTGTCACATTTTTACTGATATCAGAGATGTAGTCACCATTCCAAGTCCATAACCAAAACAGGAGAAAGAATAGGGTTGATAAAGCTTTCTGAGCAGACAGTTAAAGCAGGCTTGAGAACTATTTTCTGTGATCAAATTTTTTAGGACTTTATTTGTAGTAGAAAATCAAAACTAAGAAAACTGAGTCTTTTTGTATCGCTATGTTTAGTTTGAATTTTTCCCTGACTTGACTGACGGTGCAATATATTTTTGCCCTGTGAGTGACCTGCGTTTGTTGTCATTTGGGATAAACATTAGTGAGATAAGCCTTCACCATCAAAGGTTATTACAGTAAGTCCTCACCTTACGACGTTGTTTCGTTCTTGAGACGCGGTGTAACCCGAATTTCAGTTTAAGTCTGAACATTATACATAAATTACTCTATACATATCGTACTGTATTGTAAAGTATGGTACTGTAATAAAATGTACATATAATGCAAAAAAGTACTTTAAACAGAAAACAATTCCATATCCATAATCGTAATACTTCGCATTTGTCCACGTCATTTGTGATGTAGATGACAAAAACCAATCATGATTTTCTTCTTGATCACAATGATCCAGTTTAAAGGCTTCGATATTACAATATCATCTTTTATTTACATTTTTATGGAGTGCGTTCGTAACCGCGAAAGAGCGTAAGTCGGGACCGTCGTAACCCGAGGACTCAATGTATTGGTCTAGTTATACCTGCAAGAGACCACTGTATCATAATACCAAATAATGGAATCTAGAAGATTAGATCCCTTTACTCTGGGGAAGATGAAAGAATGCATGACAACCTCTTCATATAGCGTACCACGGTCTTTTGTCAGGTTTCCTCTACTTTAAACTATAAAATTCTAAAGAAACGAAGTATACAAACTACATTCTGCTTATTTCAGTTCAAGTTCGATCACTAAAAGAAGATCCTTACTTTTAAGTTGGTCATGAACCTTGTGCACATGACTAATATGATGCGAGCTCAAATGGTCATATCGCTAGTGTCTAACTCTAAAGGTTAACAAAATGATAAAACTCTCATCCAGAAGCCCAAATACTAAATACATATAAATGTGGAAAAGGGAGCATTTAATAAAAAATATGATTGGAACTTGAAACTATTCGAAAAGGAAAGACATTTGGCAGTTATACGGTGTCAAACAATAATGATGAGAGGTTGTACAAAGCACAACTGGTGTAAGCAAAACAATAGGATTTTTAGAGGTTTCGATTTTGATGGTGAAGACCTCGGCGAATATAAAGGAAAAAAAAAATTTTGAAGACTTGAAAAATCTAACTTAAACATGACAGCAATTTCGCACAATGCATGCAAAAAAGGTTAATCAAAAATTTGTCTGTCAGGATAAATATAAGAGGTCACAAAGAACTACTGAGCATTGGAACAAGTTAGACCATTCTCAGAGTTGAATATATAAAGTCACACTAAAAGACTCAATTTTCTGGACACCTGTAATTTGATAACAATATTGAATGCCCGAGAGCTTCTTGGCCGGGCTGGTTATTTATTTCAGGGAATATACAAACACTCTTTATTTTTGGAATTAATATTAGGAATAAAATTATTTGATCCAGTTTCAGCACCGTATTGGGCATTGCAATGGAAATCTTAATTAAGAGTTCTAGTTGAAAGTACTGCCTCGGTTTCTGGCTATAAACACCGGATATTCATTTACCAAAATGTCCAAAAAAGGTCATAAAATAAAAGGTCAGATTATTCCTGAAAAATAGGAGGCAATCTACATGAGGCTCTTCAACGTTGACAATTATGTTCAATCTCATTCTATGTTTTGTTGCTTTTTCAACAACAAATCCATGTATGCACCAGTTATTAGATCTGATTCTTCAATGCCAAGTTTCTTCATTAAATCTTTCGCTATCTTGTTCCCTTCTTCCACTGATTGTCCGCTCTGCATTTGGACTTCCAACTCCATATAGGTTCCTAAACCATCCACCTCATCTGCATGAATTCTCGTTTGTCCCACAAGGAACAGAGTTCGTCTTTTTCTGACTTCACCTCGTGTGCCATACGCTGATGTTAATGTCTGTTTCAACTCTTCCGGATTATTTACAGTTGTGAAGAAAAATTCTGACAGTTTTGGGCCAGATTGGTCTGGTCTTGTGTAGAAAATTAATTGCCCTTTCCCTTCATTTTTAAAGCAACGAAGTTTGAGTCGTCCGTTTGGACAAACAAAAAAAGTGTCTGTTTGGCACAATAATGTTCCTTCTTGTCCACTTATTTCTTTTGCCAGTTTCAGAAATGCGTCAAAGTTTTTTACTTTAGCTTTTATTTCTACATTAGAAGGCATTTTACTTGTGAAATACTGAAGTAGAAAAATACAAATTGTGATTGAAAGTTGTAACAAGCGAAGCGTTGTAGCAAGCATTTTACATTTTAAAAACATCAAGGATGGGACAATATGAACATAGAAATCACTTAAAGTCATGACAGCATACAACAAAACTTGATTACTCTTGAGGCAACGCTTCCTGTAAGTGGATCAATCAAGATTAAAATGATCTCAATCATATCCTATTTCCTATACATCTTTCGCACCTGTAGTGTGTATCAGCTTAGGCAATGATTTTATTCTGATTTTAGTTCTATTACATGTTGGGGGACTGTCTGTGTTAGCCATGTGAATATAACCCCTGCCCATAGGATTCAGTACCTTTACACAACTTGATGTAAAGTAGGCGAACAAAATTAGTGACTTCCATATTGGTACACACACTCATGGAGCGCCAACTTTTATATTAAGTGTATCGTATGATCAAGACATTACAAGCCATATCTTTTTTGAAGAAAATAAAAAAATACATGATTCATAATATTAGAAAATCCAATCTGCGTTATATAAACAGTTGGAATTCATGTAATAATTATCCTGATCACTTTAAAAAAAAAACGCTTTTCAAAAGTTAGTTATCGCAAAAGATCCATGTATTATCTAGTTGGCCAGCGGTTGAAGCGTTAGATTTTAGTGTTGCTCATCCCTAACCCAGGATGTAATAAATTAGGTATGCAATGCTAATGCATAAAGATTAGAGTCCTCCCCAACAAAAGTAGCTGCTCACATGTCATTAGATATATGTGGCTTGGCCCATCAGTGCAGTATGAAAGGTATTGTATGATAATATACATAACCATAAAATATTGGATGAAATTGATAATCCTGCCGTTGTGCAGCATTTATTTATTAATGTATACCATTACAATTTACCCTAATAAGAACCTTTTCAAATTGTAAAACGATGTTATTAAGACCCTGTATATCTATTGTATGTAAGGGAATCTCTTCTTCTAAAATGCTGATGTCCTATATTGGTAGAAATAAGACCAGATTCCACCTCTTAATTCATGTAGTTAGTCAATGAGGGTCACATTAAAATCTTATTTTGAAACTAACAAAATATCAATCAAATCTGGAACCAGTACAAGGATCCACCATCACCAAAATAGAGTCAAAATTCTTTAATTTTTGCGAGAATATGCAAGCACGTCAGCAAATGAAAGGTAACGCCAATTTTAATATTTTTCTTCCAATAATTACTGTAGTACTAGAGCAGGGTGGTCCAAGATTGGAAGGTCGCAACAATTGTCAAGAAGTCATTGCGGGCCGCATGGTTAACAATAGAAAATAGAGGTGTGTTTTTATTGGAAAAATGGCTATGGATACAACCTTAAAAATTCCGTAATTTTAAAAAATATCAACAATCTCAACATCGGTTTTTGAAAAAGGGATTACATCCTGGGATCTCGAGCCCAGCTGGAATGGCTAAAAAACTCACATCTATATGCTAAAATTGTTCAACTGGTCGCACGAAATATGTTCGGGTCATGCGGCCCGCATGCCAGGTTTGGACCGCCCTGTTCTAGAGGGTGCCAAAAATTTTGCCGGTACCAAGTGAGTTGTGATAAAAATATTTTGAAGAACATTGCTATACACATTTGTTTACATTATTTAGTGCTATAATAGCTTCACTTGCGGATTTAATTAAATTACAAAGTTGTATTCTGAGTTCTAATGAAGAGCAATTTTGAAGTTCCTTAGTAGCAGTTGTAATTTGTCTCTGAAGTTCAACGATAGTTGTTTTATGAGTTACACATTGCGAGTCTTCCATGGGGTCACATGAAGCATCACCTTGCTCATGAGTTTGTGGTAACTTCTGGGAAACATCTGGCATTGAATTCACATCTTGTGGCATGGGACTAGTTCCACCGCCAATTTCTTGGTATAAGGCCATTGTTTCTCTTTTCACATCAACAGATGTGGACGGTACCTCCTTTTGTCCTTCCATGGCTGCCACTCTTGCAGCTTCAGAAGACAGTACTGGATCATCTTTCGCACATTCAGACTCAAGTTCGTTACAAGCAACACAGTAATTCGTACCGTCTCTATCTTGCAAAAATATCGTCCCACATTCGCATAATTTATCGAGCATTCTGTATCCTTTTAGCATATAACTTCCCATTAATTTACTGATTTGGTTCGACCTTTCTTGTCTAGCTTCGATAATTTTCATTTCTGCTGCAGTGGGCGGAGTCCAGTCATCATCGTCAATATTTTCACCCATTTTTTTTTCTCAAAAATAAAATAAACTTGAAACAATGAAATATACTTGCACCTAAGAACAACAAAATAGCAGATTGAAAGTATTTCAACATTTTCAAGGAATGATAGATGCAAAATGTTCACTAAGTGCTTTTACTATTTCCAATTTTGTGTTAATAAAGTCATTCCTCAATATACCTTATTACCAAGGTTTGTTGAATTTAAGCAGTGTTTATTTATATTTTTCACTTCATTTAATACTTTCATATGCCCACAATTAATTGCATGAAACACGTCAATGTTCTTTTACCAAAATTTAATACAGGACTTCATGAATACCCTGTATATTTTCAAGGATTCAGAGACATATATATGCGCATCAATATACTTTTATTAGAAATGATAAAATGTTAACCACAAACATGCTATAACAACTCACAAAGATAGGGGATTAAACTAAAGACCTCAGAGTTTACAGAAGAAAGCAGGTTTCCACATGTTCCAATGAACAATTTAGGGCACTCCCATAGTATACGTACCAGGGCAATTTGCTTTACTGCCTTCACATTGGTAGGCACACTTCTGGAGTGCTCAATTTAGAAAACCAAGAGCATGAACCAGAGAATGGGAATTATGGTAAAAATTTCAAGAAAAAATTGAACTACAATAATTGCCTTATTTATGCGAATACTGCAGTTGTCACTGTCAGCACTCTGACTCAATTTTAGATTTTTTATTTTTCTTCTTTTTACTCTTATTTTTCTTAACCTTTTTAGTTTTTTCGTCCAATTTAGTTTTATTTTTTCGCTTTTTAAGTTTTTTGTTTGTTATTTCAGTATTTTCAGAAATAAGTTTTCTTTTTTTCTGAGCTTTGTCTTTTTTCTTATTTACAGTTTCATTTTCATCTTTTAACAATTTTTGTCCATTCCCTTCGTACTTTCGCTTCTTTTTATTCTTTTTGTTAATCAGACCATCTAATGTCTCTGATTCTTGTTCTTTCAGTCGCGCCAATTTCCCCCCTAAATTAACGCCATGTCGAGCACCTTTATGAGCCGTCCTTCCTCCACATGCCGCTAGGAGTTCCTCATCGTTCAGAATTTTAGATTTTTTTGTATCTCCTTTTTCGGAATCTGAATTTTCATCACTAGAGGCATCATTATCACATTTCTGAACTTTACCATTTTCGAGAGTCCCGCTTTTTACAAAGCTCCCGTACATAAGTTGTTTCTTCATTAGTTTTTTATTTTGTTTTCTGGTAGACGCTTTCTCAGTCTCTGATTTTGCTTCCACTTCGACGCCATGTTCTTTTTCAGTGACCTGTAAATATGAAATTAAATTCAGCATTTCCATATTTATCTCCAAGTGAGAGAAGTTGATAAATGTCTCAATTAATCACCACTGATAAGGGCCTTCAAACTGTTATCCAAGAGGATTTCTAATCTCAATGATCCAGACTGGATTCCATGGCAGGTGTGCGCCCGAGGTCGCTGGCGCTCCGCAAAAATGCATGCAAGCGAATTCTGCGAAAGTTCATTTGTCCGAAATGGCACCTGTGCCGACTAGGGTGGCTTAGCCAATTTGCGGCCACCACCTATTTGCCGCCATCAACTTCATCGATTAAATTAATGCCGAAAAAATTATCGTCCATTTATCCCCATAGCTCTGCGAAATTACACTAGAATGTGGCCACAAACAAATAAGTTACGACCAAAAACCCGACCAAAGAAAAAAACGGACCATTTTTTCATGTCGTCAACTACCCATTGTCTCCTGGAAATAAAACTCGAAAATCCATACAAATATGAGAGAAAAAACAAATGAAACTTGGCAGGTGGGTGGAGTTGTGTTTCGTGTTTCTTTTAACCATCTTTAAAGTTTCGCGTTTCCACATTCAAAGGGGGAATAGGGGGGTGCGCATTTCCAATACGTCGATAATATCTTTGTCGACCAATTTGCGACCATCGTGTTTTTGTCTGTTTGATTGCTGTGATGTGGTGCTTTGTTTATAATTTGACGAGTTTTGTTCGAAATAACCGTGTTCTTAAAATATATGACGGTCAGAAATGCAATTAGAAGCCCAATTTTTCACGCATAGCTGCGTATGCTCTAGTCTCGACGCAGCAGAAATGATGTTCAAGGCTTGAAATCCATGGTCGCACACTGGTCGTTCGGTCGCAAATACTTCTTCCAAGTGTCGTACTTTGGTGGTTTATATACTTTAACCCCTGGTCGTAGAAAGTTAATTCGAGGTTTAGCGTGTAGAATAAATGCCAAAGCACCTATGATGAGAAAGTTAACGGGTTAGAAATATTGGTTTTTGTTTTATAGCGGTTTGAATGAAATAGTCTGCAGACTGGCTACCACCCTAATGAACTCACTAACGCCAGCGATCTATCTCTTATCGGTATTGTTGTGGTGAGAAAAGAAGAGAAGTGCTCAATTTGGAGAGCTGTCTTACATCACTGCGACTTTCAGACTTTGCAATGATAGACTTTTCGAAGAGGGGTAGGGGTTAGGAATGAAATATGCAAAAATTGTTGAGCCAGGCAAACTAGAAGCAGTTGCGGGTGTGTACTCATGAGACCCCATATTGAAGTAGATCAGGGGTTCCCTAACCACGGCCCGCGAGACGATTTCAAATGGCCCGTCGAACATTAGTGAAACTATAACCGTGAATAAATACTAACAATTTAAATGTGTTCATCCTTTTATGTCGTAGATGCCAATTGTTACGTCATTATCACAATTTAAGCCAGACTGGATTCCATGGCAGGTGCACGCCCGAGGGCGCTAGCGCTCCGCAAAAATGCACGCGAAAGAATTCAATTTTGCACGCCGAAAATTTGCAATTACTCACCAATGTAAATCGGTTAAAAATGTTTTAAAATCAATAATCCAGAAAAATAAAGATGCCAAAATATTATAACTCCACAATTGTCGACTAATACTAGCTTGCAAGATTTGTTCTGATCGAAAAATTGCGAAGCAAAAAAGACCATATCGTGTTGAATGATAGGAACCCCGTGAGAATAGTCATGGACGAAAAGATCGCCTCCGCACCAACGCTGGCCAGGTACGGCTCTGATTCAGCGTATTTTCCATACAATAATTTTACACGAATGTACTGAACAGTACCGGTATCTAGAGTCGCACAAACACTCAAAATTATTGACGAAGTATGAAAATAATGTTTGGGGTCAAAGGTCAAACGTCCATTTTGCTCGAATTCGACGATTTTTTTATTCATTATTTCTGCGTAAAAACACTCCTAAAATTAATGACAAAGTATGTCCATTTTGCTCTGGTTCAACGTATATTTTATCCAATAATTTTACGCGGATGTACTGAACAGTACCTGTATCCAAAGTCGCACAAACACTCTCAAAATTAGCGACAAACTGTAGGAATAATGTTTGGGGTCAAAGGTCAAACGTCCATTTTTGCTCTGATTCAACGTATTTTTTATCCGATACCAGTAATCTAACGCGGATGTATTGGGAGGTATCTAATGTCAAAGTCAGTTGCACGCGGGCGCAGTTGTTTTGCACGCCGTGAGCTATAATTGCACGGCAGGAATTCTTATTTGCACGCGGGAATTTCTGATTGCACGCCGGATTTCTCGTTCAAAAAGGCCATGAAATCCAGACTGGAATTTAAGCACGTGTATATCGTAACAATTCAATTATACCGGTATTTTATTACCTTACGTACCGGTATTAGGATTGCGTACGGCAGTCTTTTAGGTATCACGTATCAGCCCTATATTAAGGAAGCTTGAAGATGTCACAAAAACTAGACACTGAAAACAGGCGTTTTTCGGATAAATGGCAGCGTTCTTATTTCTTTATTGAAAAGAATCAAACTTCAGCGATTTGTCCTTTTTGCCAACAAACTATTCTTGTTCTATTCCTGTTAAACTACGGTCCAGACTGACAGATAATCACTTAGAGTGCGGTATTGCAAATACAATGTAACAAATTGGAGCCACGTTTTGAACATCATTTTTCGAGCAAACCCCAATTACACGTATCTACAAAAATGCAAGTAAATTATGTTGGCTATTCGTTTTTTTTTTTAATATTCATATACATTGAGACGCTTTTTTGTTTAACAAAAAAAAACATGAGGTGCTATCTGGGGTCATCTCTTATCTCTGGGGTCAATCTCAACTTCTGTGTCAGTGGATAATATTGGTAGTACAACTGCAAAAACCATACTCACCAGAGATAACAGTGTTTTATAAACTTCAACTACAAATTTAATTAGATAACAAACCTTGGGTGTCGCTGCCTGATTATCAGTTCCCAGCGATTTCCCTTCCCAGTAAAATGTGTGTCAATTTTAATTTTTTCATAATTTCGTTTGTTATTTTTACTGGATGGAAAAAATAAACTTGACCATGATATGAGTAGACATTTTCGAAGCCGTACTCCAGATGAGCAAGTAACTTCATTAGTCGCTATCAGCTACAAATCCTTTTTGAAAGTCGTGCTTGTTATTCCTCGGGTATTCTATCACCTAACAATTATACTTATGAATTTAATTACATAACAAACTGCGATACTGGGTGTATCTAAAATCAATCTTGCAGCCTATTTTGGTGCCTATTTTTCAAAATTTTCTCAAGGCGCTTAAGCGCGCCCCGAACCCCAGCCTTTACGTCGGGCTTTTTTCGTCATCTCGCTTTACTGGCCCGCGAGTATCCTCGCCTTGAAATTTTGGCCCGCGAGTATCCTCGCCTTGAAATTTTGGCCCGCGGTCAAATAAGTTTGGGAACCCCTGAAGTAGACTATCATTTCAATTCAACTTAGACTTCTGTCACTGCAGTCTGTGCCTTCCATATAAAACAATAAAATTGAGTGGTCTACCTTAATATTTTGAGCAGATCTTTGGAATGCATGTTCCCACCAATGAAAAGTAAATTGCTCTCCAGGATCGTGGCCAATTCCAGCATTATCTGTTTTGATTTTCACTTTTATTGCTTCTGACATTCCATCTTCGTTCCTTCCCAAACCCTTACCCTCAACCCATCCCGTCTGTTTCATGTGACTTTTAGCGAAATGAGATATTGTTTCAGCCATCCTGATATTTCGTAATTAATTAAGAAATGTGCTACAGAAAATTATTAAAAACGAGAACAGGCAAAAGCTGAATCGCCTCACGCAAGAAAACGAGAATAGACCACATGTTCTATCCCCCGTCACGCATGAGTAGGAAGGGCTCTGTGGATTTTCGCATTTACCCCGGGAGAACGAAAGCCGTTAAGTAGACTTACTCATATGGCAAGCGAACACGCCCTCTCGTTCAGTAACCTCAGGGTGGTCCATACACAAGCCCGCGGCGTCATTATTTGTGGATCAAGTCGCATTCGGAGAGTAATCAAAAAATCTCATTTGATGTTGTTTCGTCCGCTCGGCGGTGTGGCGCATCGTGCTAAGCGTTAGGAATACGCTCGCCACCACATCTCTGATTTCCCCCTCGCGGGATCGCAGGTTCGAATCGCATGCGGGGATGATTATGTGCGAGAGGATTGCTGGACTCCTCGCCGCCCTAGGGTGGTTCACGTAACCGCTGGTCGGTTACGGCTTCCTCCATCATCAAGTCCATGCTTCCGAAAACAAATAACTGGCTAACTAATCCCATACCTGACCTGGACTGGTAACCGGACGAGAGGCCGTGGTTCGCCATATAAGCCGTCTTATCGGCTTTTTTGTCTCCCGAGATAAACATGTAAATCATATCCAGAATTAATCAGAAAAATCTTTTGGAATATTCTCACATCACTAATGTCACTGAATTGAGTAGCTGAGCCAATTAGCGCTAGTTGAATGGTTTGCTTGGCAGTTTAAAATGTTATCTGGCTTTCTATCTTTGTGGTCGGGAATATATATATATACAATTTTGGCATCATACAAAATTTAAATCGAATTCGGATTTTGTTAGCCTAAGTTAGTTATGCCAGTTAACTAAATATTAATGCTATGGGTTAACAATATAATTCCTGCCGAGTGTGTTTTGCAACCAACCGCAACAGCATTACAAAAACACTGCATATATGTCAGAAAATTTGATAATTATCATCCTGCACCTAACATTTAAAAATTCCAGCATTATTATTCAGCATTGTTATTTTATATGGACCGCAGCGGTCTGGAGTAATAAACGAATCGAATTGAATATCAATTAATCTGCAGTTAGTGGCATGTTATTTTGTAATATAATTTAAAAGTTTTTATTCAAATATTGTATTGCGATCACTAGAATAGAAGTTACTTTGGCGGACCATTCAACTTTATATGAAATATGTTCGATCTTTCAAACAGTTTTATTGGGTTCTATTCAGAATACTAGAAAAAATTTTAATTCAAAATATATAAAGGGCTAGGAGATAGAAGCCAGACACCAAACTGAATTAAAAACAACATCTTAAATGAAATTTAATGCAAAAAGTTAGTTAATTTACAGCTCAAATCTCAAATCAGTCTAATTAATTTCACACGTTAAAAGTATGAATATATATATATATACATAAAAGTATTTTTAAAATATGTTTTCCCATTGTGACGATTCACAATAAGAAATTTGTATTATTGAATTCAAAATTAATTAATCTGCAGTTATTTGTATATATGTAATTTTGTAAACATGAGTTTAAAAAGAAAGCTAACGAATTCAAACAAATATTTAACCGGACGTGGGAAGAAACGAATTCTTGCCTGATATGCCGGCATAACTTAAAACGGCATTTCGGAATTTTGTGAGCAATGAGCATTTTCCAAAGTTGAGATTTTGCTTTGTAAATCCTATCGATCTTCGAAAGCCTTTACATTTAAGAAAACACTTTTTCCGTAATGAAGAATTCGATATCTTACAGCACTAAATGTAGATATAGAAAGACTAGCGGGTTTTAGTGAGTTTTTTTGGTGTTTTTTGCATGTTTTATGTTGTGGCTCGCGCACAGTGCAAAAATAACCTTGGACCACCCTCAGTTATCTATCTATTCATGCCGGGAATGGTATTAGTTATCTAGTCATTTGTTTCAGATACATGGCGTTTAAAGGTAATACTTATCTTCTCCGTTTCTATGGCGTTTACGATTGGGCTTTTAATCTTTAGGAATTTATTGAAAGTAAAAGACTCGGCGCGGCAATGTGGCGCATTGTGCTAAATAAGCATTAGGAATACACTCGCTATCGCATCTCTGTTCCAAATATCTTTTACACATTGATCAGCAATTTTCATATTTATTAGAGATGTCATTTGTATCTTGAGGTTCTTAAAATTAAATATTATTTGAATAATGAATTGCCTTCGTGATAAAGCCAGATTTTCCCTTGTTTTGCTAACGTGATATTGTGCGACAACAAATTCGGAGGTATTAGGTATGATAATAAAAGTTCAGAGATGGATGAGGTCGCGTTCAACGCCGAATTGTTTACTCTTGTTTCGTCTCGCTGACAAAAGAAAGAATACGAAGTATGGAAAAATACAAGTTAATAATTGTGTCATGGGAACGTCAACCCGTTTTCTTCTGTCGCTATTTTATACCCAATCGTGGATTGTTATGTACTCATTCAAATATTGTTTTTTTTTACAAATATTGATCGACGCGATCACTAGAATAGAAGTTAATCTGGCGGACCATTCAACTGAAATTACAAATATTGATCGACGCGATCACTAGAATAGAAGCTAATCTGGCGGACCGTTCAACTGAAATATTTTCGTTCTTTCAAACAGTTTTATTGGGTTATATAAGAATACATTTTAAAAAAGATATAGAGGGCAGTGGGCACGTAAACAGACGCCAGACACCAAACTGAATTTAAAAAAAAACATCTTAAATTAAATTTAACGCGAAATGTTAGATAATTTACAGATCAAATCTCAAATCAGTCCAATAAATTTCACCCGTTAAAGTATGAATATATACATAAAAGTATATTTGAAATAGATTTTCCCATTGTGACAATTCACAACTAAGAATTTATATTTTGAAATATGTCAGAAAATTTAATAATTATCATCCTGTACATCACATTTGAAAATTCCAGCATTATTATCCAGCATTGGTATTTTATATGGACCGCAGCGGTCTGGAGTAATAGACTAATTGAATAGAAAATCAATTAATTAATCTGCAGTTATTTGTATGTTATTCTGTAGACATGAGTTTGAAAAATAACAAACGAATTCAAACAAATATTTAATCGGGCGTGGGAAGAAACAAATGCTTGCTTGATATGCCGGCATAACTTAACGGCATTTCGGAATTTTGTGAGTAATGAGCATTTTCCAAAGTTGAGATTTTGATTTGTAAATCCTATCGACGTTCGAAAGCCCTTACATTTATGAAAACACTTTTTCCGTAATACAGAATTTGAAATCTTACAGCACTAAATGTAGATACAGAAAGACTTTTGCGGATTTTAGTGAGTTTTTTGGTGTTTTTTGCATGTTTTAGGTTGTAGCTCGCGCACATTGCAAAAATAACCTTGGACCACCCTCAGTTATCTATTCATGTCGGGAATGGTATTAGTTAGCTAGTCGTTTGTTTCAGATTCATGGCGTCCAAAGATAATTTCCTATCTTCTCCGTTTCTATGGCGTTTACAATTGGACTTTTAATCTTTAGGAATTTATTGAAAGTAAAAGACTCGGCGCGGCAATGTGGCGCATCGTGCTAAATATGCATTAGGAATACACTCGCCATCGCATCTCTGTTCCAAATATATTTTACACATTGATCAGCAATTTTGAAACAATTTTCAGATTTATCAGAGATGTCATTTGTATCCTGAGGTTCTTAAAGTTCAATATTATTTGAAAAATAAATTGCCTTTGTGATAAAGCCAGATTTGCTTTGTTTTGCTAACGTGATATTGTGTGACAACAAATTCGGAGGTATTACGTGTGATAATAAAAGTTCAGAGATGGATGAGGTCGCGTTCAACGCCGAATTGTTTACTCTTGTTTTGTCTCGCTGACAAAAGAAAGAATACAAAGTATAGATAAAATACAAGTTAATGGTGGCGTCATGGGAACGTCAACTCGTTTTCTTCTGTCGCTATTTTATACCTATACGTGGATTGTTGTGTTCTCCTTCAAATATTTTTTTATTTTTACAAATATTGATCGACGCGATCACTAGAATAAAAGTTAATCTGGCGAACCATTCAACTTTATATGAAATATGTTCGATCTTTCAAGACGTTTTATTGGGTTCTATTAGAATACTAGAAAACATTTTAATACAAAATATATAAAGGGCACGGATATAGACGCCAGACACCAAACTGAATTAAAAAAAAAACATCTTAATTAAATTAAATCTAATGCAAAATGTTAGTTAATTTACAACTCAAATCAGTCAAAATAATTTCCCCCGCTCGTTATAAGTATATACATAAAGTTGTATTGCTGAAATATGTTTTCTCATTGTGACAATTCACAACTAAGAAATTTATATTTTGAAATCTACAAAGTAAGGAAAAGCATTTTAAAACCAATTTTCATCATAAATATCACATAACTGTAGTTATTGAGAGAAAAAATGTTTGTCATAAATAGGCTTAGTTCACCTCGAACCGTTTTGTGCATTTTCCGAATAAATACAAGCCGTCAATTTGTTTTATTTTTACCGGCTGATTACATTTTGATATATAAAGGAGAATTCAAAATATCATTTTACCAAATGAGGTGAAGATTGGAAAATAAAATACTTCCGTGCAAATTGATTTGTCTAATTTGAAGAACTGTATCAATTCAACAACAAAACAAAATTACACCCGCCAGGCCGCGTCCAACGCCGAATTGTTTACCCTCGTTTTGTCTCGGTGACAAAAAAAAAGAATACAATAGATAGAATAAATACAAGTAAGTGACTGTGCCATAGGAACGTCGAGTTACGGTTGTCGAGAAATTAGTATTCAATTTTACTCTGTGAAAGATTTCAGATGTTTTTTTATAAAATACTCATTTGTATTAAGGAACGGACATTCCGTGTTGACGGCGGGTGACTGTGTTACTAGTATAAGCAGGCTTGATAACAATATAAGACGTTGTTGTGAATAGATTATGAAAGTGTGAAATCAAAAAAGAAAGACTCTGGCAATAGGTCATCATAGTAGATACAATCTCATTTACAACGTATGTCTTATGAAAATCTATGTCAAGACAGAGTTGTGTGCAACACGCAGCGCCGGATTAACCATCAAACAATATAAGCACCCGCCGGTATTTTTACAATGAATAAAAAGTG